AAAAACACGCCATTTCCTGGCGAAGCTGGGAGGCTTCCTTTGAACGGCTCCCTTCCCAGCACTCTCCCCTCGTTTCAGGCCTGGCCGCACCGAGGCCTGGCAAACTTTATCGGCGCGGCCGGGAAAGAAGACATACTTTAAGCCGTATACCCACTGCTTCCAGGCAAACCCTACACTGGGCAACCCGTTTAAGGGATCCTTGCTCTGTTTTGCCCTGGGTGGTTTCCCCTTACCCACTTTCATGGTAACTGGAAGCACTGGGTTAGGGTCATGACCCCACCAATGCAGGATCGGGCGACGAGGCAATGGAAGCTTCACCGTTGGTCAAAGGACAGGAACAAAACGCCTAAAACAGTTTCGATCTTAAACAATACAAAACCAAGATATGTACCCGGCATACAACACCGACCAATTCCTCAAGAACCCCCTGCAAAAAAACCCATTTTGAGTGCCCCAAAATCAATCGAAACCCTTGGGGAAGCAGGGCACCCAGAAAGAAAGAATGGGCAACGGGGACCCAATTCGGAGGCTGGCAACCCTGAAGTAAACCATGATTGTCACCCGAACCCAACCATTGTTTTCATGGTTTGAACCCCAGGATACCCTGGCAAACCTGGAATTCACCCAAGACATGCTGGGGCTTTTTGCCTTGGAATGCTCGAGGCTCCGAGGAATTTTCATCCAGGTGCCGAGGTATGCAGTATTGTTGGGTTTAAGGCTGGCGTGAACTTGCGGTAAGTGGTTAACAGCAGCTGTAACCCACCTTTGCAGCTGAGTTTTAGGATGCTTTCCATCAACAGAGAACCAGATGTCCTTTGAAGGGCTTGAGGCCCAAACAGCAGCCGCGCAACTTGGATACCCTTGACGGGCGGGAAGCATCAAAACGCTGTTGAATGTCGTACTTCCGCAGCTTCTTCTTCCCGGAGACCATGCTGAGGCCCGAGTCACTGACCGTGATGTAGATCAGCATGTCGCGATCTGGCACCCTGGGCGCATTGACCTGCTTGAGGTGTGGCTCAGAGATCGTTTGCGAGGTTGCTGCCCTAGACTCACTTCCTGCATGGATTGGCCAAACAAACCAACTCCCCCACTTTTTCGCTTGCAGATAAAATGGTCCAAACCCCACTAGTTTAAAGTCCAAGAACTCAGGAAGCGAGTAAACTTATAGAGCAGCTCCCTTTTTCAAGTTGGTTTGAGGGTCCAGGCAAGATCATGGTGCCAGAGCATCGCTGCTTACGATGCCTTGACCCTCACACTATCCATGAAAAATGGAATTCACCAACCATATGTTTGGGGCAATAAACACCTGGAGATACCTGGGGTCTCCATGACCAGTTAAAAATGAGTCCATGACCTCATTATTTTTGGTAATGGCCCACCATGTTCAAAGGCTCAGAAGGAGACTCCAGGCCACTTAGAAACCATGGAAAACCCATTAGTTCGCGGGCATTTACGTGGGAATCGAATCATTCCCGAGTTGCGGTGGTGCGAAACGGATTAAATCCACTCCACCCACAGTATGTTTGGGGCAAGAAACAGTGGAGTCACAATCACAACCTGGTAAACAAAATGGTGAACCCAGAACCATGTAAAGAAATAGAAAGGCGGCCGCAACTTTTTCCGGCTGGGACTGCCCCTTATTAACCTTCATCTACCCGGGTTTTGATTGTGGCCCAGTTGTTAAAATGAACTTGGGGAGTTCCGATAATTCGGTTTCCGCCTCCTTGATGCCCGCGAAGCTCTGTGCGAATCTCTCGTCACTGGCGAGCGATGCGCCGTGCAAATCGAGCGAGTGATCCTAGCAGAAACCTCTGGACCCGATAGAAACATAGGTGTCCTTATAGGGGAAGTAGATGGCCCTGGCTCTGAAAAAAATGAGACACGCTAGTATCTTTGGAGAACTCCCTGGTACGGGGTCTACGATATATCCACCATTTGCTGTGGTTCCCTTTTAGGGGAAATAGATGGATATCCCTGTAGATGATTAAACCAACTGGTAAACCAGGAATATGGATAAAAAGCTACCCCCACACAATTGGTTCCAAACATAGGTTTGCCGAAATCCATGTTTAAACTGGTACTTGAGATTCCACGTTGCTTTGAGGGGCACTTGCACCCAAACAAGAAGGTACATAAGTTTCGCGGGACGCGAGTCCGCCTAGATCTGAATTCTGAAGATTGAACCCACGAATTCCCATTCGAGCGTGGATAAAATCTAAAAATAGGGGCCTGAACCCTCCAACTCCAACTCAAAAATGGGCTTTAGCAACTATATGGTTGGTGCATTCACAGTTGAAAGGTAGTTTCTTCAGGTCCAGGAAGACCCCCAACACCAGCATAGCATGATGGAAAGGCGCCAAAATCAAACCACGGACCCATTGAACAAATGTGGACCACACCCCCCTCACAACCATCCGTAGGACCACTAAGCCAAACCAAGCGCCCGCCAGCGCTTGCGGCGGCGGTGCTCCAGATAATAATTGGTGTTTTTCCTGGTGGGTTTCCCTTTCAACCAATCCAGCAAAGTGCACCATCAGAAAACAGATGCTCGCATTTCCCCATTTGCTGAAGTCCCCTGAAAAGCAAACAGAAATTGCCAGTATATAATCCCCACAGCTGGAAACTACAAACAGGCCTCAAGCCAATGGATTTTGGGGGTTCCACAGCCAACAGGAAGCACCCGGATCACCAGTTGCGTTCGTTTTCTTCCATGCACTCACTCTTCCCCGAAAACCCAGCCACCAGTGACTGAAAAACCAGCGATCGCAACGGGGATCGCTTTCTAGGCATGACCTTTCGGGTAATTCCCCACTCCAAAAGAGCCGCGAGCCAGGTGCGAAGGGTCTCCACGGTCCCATGGCTCCAATGGGAATCCTTCAACCCACCCTTCGGGTCCTTAAAACCCCTCCGGAAAGGCTGAAATGTACCCCGTGACTCCCTTCAGGTATGGGCAACCGCGTGGAGCCTCAGAATATCCAACTTACAAATGCGAAGCGCCCCATGTATGGGGCGAATTCCCAATTTTGCAGGGTGGTTTGAGGGAAATAATTTCAAGGGTGGTTTGAGGGTTTAGCCCAAGGGAAGTCCTTTCACCTCCAAGGCGCCATCGAATTCCACTTGCGCCGGAAGACTTCTGACGCGCCTCGTTTCTCGCACGCCCTCACGAAAGCATGATCACATGTGCATCACTGACCACAGACTTGCCAATCCATACACCTCGCCGCCAATGCACATCACCCTTGGAAGCAGGGAAATGGCCATATACTGCCTCTCCAAACGACACCAATGTGCCATCATATTTGCGTCCGTTGGCCAGCTCCAAAGGCGTGACTCCAGTGCGCTTCAAAACATGAAACCGGTTGTACAAAAAACTGGCGTGGGTCTACGCCCACGTGCGTACATGGTGATCTGCTGGTAATCTGATTTCTGCGCGGCTCGCCAGGTGTCTGATCAAGGTTTTGGCCATGCCTCGCAACGTGTGGACAGCTCGCTCAACATGACCGTTGCTACTGTGTGACTTTTGGAGCAGCCCCCAGGCAACACCTTCACTTCACCCACATCCAGCTGTCATCCCTTGGGTTGCTCTCCCCCCCAACTTCGTGCAGGGCATGATGTCAACCCTCTACTAAAAAGAGGGATCGGTAGTTGCCCTGACAACCGACCGGTTTTCCAAATGATCGGTCCAACAAATGCCAGAGGCTCCAGATTCATTTGGGGCCCTCATTAACCGCCAGGTTTTGAGACCCCAAACACCTCCGGGGTGTATGGGAAGCTAGGAGTCCTGTGGAGTCAAAGGATTTAATTATCTTGCCCAGGAAGGGAAAGAAATGTTCTCTACTTCTGCCACTTGAGGTTCTCCATAGTCCTCTCTGGGTCTGCACAGGGGTCATGATCCAGAAAGGGCATGTAGAAAACTCACCTGGCCAACGCCACGAGAGAAAGTCACTGTCTTGGTTAACCCGACCCCACTTATAACGAATCAAATAGCTTGGGTCATAAGCCAGGTTACCGTTGCAACTTACCAACTTGGCGAATCGAACACCCAGCCATTATATCCGTTACTGTAGACGTAGGGTCTTTTTGCAGGAACCCTGAGAAGGTTTTTTGTACACCGGGATCTACTCGTTGTAGGTGGCCTTTTGGAACACCATCCATTTCTGTCCAAACTACCTGGATCGCCAGTTGCTGTTTTTGCTTGCCCCCGTGCACTCAAAACTCCGACCGATTCGAGCGAACCTGAAGGCCGCAGCCGCCATGGACGACCGCCTCGCTCGCGAATCAAGTCGCCACGTCGCCATCCGGGCAGAGGGAACCGAATGCAGGGTGCCCTACGTGGGTTGGTCCTCTTTGGAGTTCGTTCCAAAACTGTAATTCTGGGGGATTGCTTCAAAATCCCGGCCCCTAAAATTTGGGTTACGGCCCCAAAGAATACTCTTTTTCCTGGGTTTGAGGGCTTCAGGCATACCTCTCGCAACCCAGTGTAACTCACCGAGAATAAATGCACTTGTATCTCTACATCTGCTCCCAGTGAACTTTTCCAAATCAGCCAACCCCCAGGCCTAGTAAAAAATCACCCACCTTCATCTCATGACTGTATGCATACCTTGAGGAGCAAAGCTAGAGACCTGCTCGCAAAGAATTAGCAACTTAACGATCTTAAAGTATGATTGCACCTATTTCATCCCAAACTATACCTAAAGTCTTCTTTTAACCCTTTGCTCAGACTCGCTTGCCCTCGTAACGCCTTCCCCGTTCTGCTTGTTTTTGTGCGTGTGTCTAGACACACTATCAATCGTGACTTACGGGATACCGGGTTCAGGGTCCTTTGGGACCCAGAAGTATTTCAGATAATCACCTTTTCGTGTCACTAAAAATACAGCGTGTTGACAAAATCCTGCACCAGTTGGGATGGATGAAACCCGAATTGAATACTGGGATAAACCAATATGAACCACCAATCCCAACTGGCGCAAGGGGAATTTTGTCAAGCCACAGAAGTTCCAAAGAGGACAAACAATTTCAGATGTTCTCGGCTGTCGCTCTGGCACGGAACACCTGGTTACTCTTTCTTATGGCCTTGGAAACGATTGTGGGGGATTTGGGCAGTTGATCTAAGCTTGAAGTGGATGGGCAAAATAACGGTTGCCAGGCCTCAACAGAACTATCAACTCCAAAAGAAATGGAATCCACCAACCAGGTCGGGCTTTGGTTTCTTTTTGGGTGCTTGGACCCTCAAGCTCAAAAAAAGCAGACTAGTTCAGGGGGTCGATGAAATTCACCAGCCGAAGTTTGGGGTTGCGACTCATCAACCATACGCTAAGGGTCATGACCCCTCCAACGCACACCCCCGGAGATCCCCGACGAATTCCTCAGGGGCCCGAAAGAAAAAACGCTGTTGAGGGCCCAAAATCAATCAAATCGGACCCTTAGGGATTGTCGAAAAATATGGGTGAGTTCCCTCTGTCATGGGTAGTTTGAGGGTCCAGGTGAATCTTACTTGCAAAGGCTCTACCTACCATCTACCTGGCACTGAACATACCCAAATAGTTGGTGAGTTGCAACCCAAAAATATGGCGGGGGGGGGGGGGAAGGGAATGCCAAGAATTGGTTGCCTGATATTATTGGATGTTCCACCTAAGTTATGATATAACCATGGTTAAAAGGGCAACTAGGGCATCGGTTCCCATGGTTAAAATCCACCTGAACCCTCAAAATTCCAACTCAAAAATGAGTGAATCGCAGCCCAAAACTATGGAGTGATGTCCAACTTGTTTAAAGTTTGTATTTTGAAAATCTTGGCAAACAACTGGTTACCCAAACACATGGCGGGGGGATACCAAGAAAATAGTTGTTGCCCTAGAAATCTGAGGGCGAACGGCTCTTAACATGCCTGGGGCCCGGAACTCTTTTGGTGGTTTCCCTGAGTTTGACAGCAAAGGAACAATTACAGCATGGTGGCTGAATTGATTCCCCCAGTTTTTCAGTTGGATTGCCTCCATTTGCTTAAGCCCGCTGGAAAAACTGATCTAATCTGTCCAGTAGTGATAGATTCCCTTCAAAAACCAACAGGGGAGAATGCATCAAAACATTTCAGTAAATAGAATGGAAGCTTCAGGGTCTTTCCCCATCTCGCTTTGAAACAGTTCCAATTTTAGAACCACCCCGGGAAAGTAACAACTGGAACATGGAACACCTCCGAAGAAAAAAACCAAACAAATCATTGTTTAAGCCCCCTGAAAAAAAAGAGAAACACCACCGGGAACATACGTCCAACTAAGAAAAGGAGATCCCAACTTAAAAACTGAAAGCACGAGATAGATTTCAGCTGTACAAAAAGTCGAGGTTTGAGAGTCCCAGCTCGACGTCTCGAGGCTTTGGCTCCCGGAAAAGTTGTCCAAGGCTCCGGCGACGGAGAGGGCGAGCCGAGCCTCGGATAGGCGGGAAGACGTTTGGGGAGACGAGTTGTGCGAAATGATCCCCAGGTGGGACTTCTTTTGGACTTCCCCAAAGGTCTCCCCAAAGTCCGGATTGTGCCAAGTACATGATCCCCAGGTGGGATTTCCTTTACTTGGACTTTGGCAAATGACATGCTAAGTGGATTTCCTTTATTGATTTTCCTTTTCTTTATGTCCATGTCCTTGTTCGCTTGTGTCAAGTGGACTTCCCCAAAGGTCTCCCCAAAGTCCGGATTTTATGCGGATAGCTCAAGTACTTGTGTTCAGTTTTATCCGGAGTTTCCTTTACCTCGACTTCAGATATCCTTGCAGGTCTTGCCCATTCAACAAAGGATCCAATGTCTGTTTTTTTTCGGGCCAACTTGCCCAAAACACTTGGAAAGTTGATCACCTTTTGGGAGCTTGACTAAAAAAGGGTGTGTCTTTTGGTAGTGGACCCCCCAAAGTGGCTTTTGGGTTTCCTTTTTTGGTGCCCTTCACCAAGCAAAACAAAAATATCTCAAAAAAAGAAACCCAAAGGGATCGAACCCAGAAAGGGAACACTTGGGTGTTCGATTCAACCTAGTTTGCCAGCCACTTCTAAGTCTCCGTGCAGTTGGGGTTAACCTTGTTGGTGGGTTTTCCTACCCAGGTGGCGCGGGTTACTTGTACGATCGGTTTTGAACTGCCGGAAGGGTCATGACCCCTGAGACGCCCGGGGCGGACCACCCAATTCCTCAGGCCCGAAAGAAAACAGCCTGGACCCCCGAAAAGCCCATAATCAGAGGAATTCATCCCAAAAATGAGCTTTGTTGCAACCCAAACTTATGGTTGGTGCACTCCGTCTTGTTTTTAATGGATAGTTTGAAGGTTGTTTTAAAGAGACTTTTGGAATCTGCTGCTGACCCTTTGGGGAACTAGGTCCTATAGAGAGCTTAGAATACGGGCACCCTTTTTGCTGTGGTCTATGTTAATAGGGGAACCCTCCCCCAAAAAAGACAGGGTAAAAGGGCACTACTGGGGTCAACCAGGGGTTCCAACAAATCCGATCTAGATCCCACCAACCAAGCTACCGGGACCCAAATATGTTGCTGGTTTTTTGCTACCGGGTAAAAGTTGGCCCCAATGGTTGGGGGGCCTAAGGAATCCAGGGAGCTGAGAAGGAACTCCTCGCCCGCTCCGAGCTCCCGTCACGAGCCAGGACCAGCGCTCGTAAGCGTCCCACCTGGCGATCCGTTCGGATCGGCGTTGCCCGGGCGGCCCCGACTCGAAACACCTCCTGGACCCGAAGAAACCCAGAGATGACCCTCAAACTACCCAAATGCGGGGGAATTGAGCCCAGAATGTTGGGTTGCAATAATACATGTCTAAGGGATTTGTTTGATGGTTCGGGTAGCGGAAGGCAAGCCACAAATGTTTGCGGGGACTCCTTCGCCAGCTTCCGAGAAGCTTTCAAGGGCACTTGGATGCTCAAGCATTCCCGCATGGGAACAGCAAAAAACGTGCCCCCTACTCCAAATACCAAATGTCAGGGTACTTTTCGGCAAACCAGGTTGTCCATACTACATTCCCCTCTGTTGTCAGGGGTTGACATGATACCAATTAAAGAATGCGGGTACTTTCAATCATCCTAGGTTTCCATCATGCAGCCCCATAGACCTCAGGGTTTACTGCCCTGGCAGATCTTGAGAGGGTATGCGCCCCACTTCGCCTCGTGCTCCACCAAAAGACTATACGGATCCGGAGCAACCTGTTCAACTGCTGAACATGATGGACCCTCTCCGAAAAATGCAAAAAAGGGCAAGCAAGTATTCAAAATGTCTGGCACCGCCAAGTGCCGCCATGGCTTAAAATGGGCCTGTCTTTTTTGAGGATACCTTTTGTTGTGGCGTCTTTAAAGTAGAAACCAGAAGGAAAACCGAAGCCATGTGGTCCCCTAGAAAGGACACGCCCACATGTGTTTTGGTTGGTTATACATTGGAGGAGATGCAGCGGCCCGTTTGGAGCTACCACCACGCCATGCCTCGCTTCCTGAGATTGGCCAAACAGAGTCCAGGAAATTTTGATTTCCCATCCCGAGATTGACAAACAACGACTCTGAAGCTGTATCTCACTTCCCAAGTTGACTGGCCAAAAAAAGTCTAAACTTTGTATTTACCACTAAAATGGTCTTTCCAAAAAGTTTAAAGTCCATCAACTCAGGAAGTGAGGTATTTATGTACCAACATGGCCACCAGACCCGACAAAAATGCCTCACTCCGAGCTCCGGAGCACAAGTAAGGCACCCATGGAACTCACCGCGAGAACTCGCCCCGACAAAGCAAGACGGGGCGGCATGAAGGGGCAGTCCTCACGGAAGTGGCCACGGTCAGCCAACTAACCCACCTGGACCTTCAAACTCCGGGAAACATAGAAGTAACTAATTCATGATACAAATGATAACAACTAGTGTTGGAAGAAACAAATCAAAACACAACGATATTCAATGATACTAATCATAATAACTGAAATAAGTAACTCATGATTTGGCCATGGGTCAAAAGCCAGATCGTGCCCCCAGTGAACATCCCAATCCCCACAAAAAAAAGGTTCTAAACCGGGTGGTGCACCTATCCCACAATGGGATCCCATTCGTGTTGACCCACAGCCATATAACCAAGGAAAGCCAACAAAGTTACGAACCCAGTTACCAACCACCTGGACCCTCATAAAATTCCAACTTAAAAATGGGATGTAGCAATCCAAATAATAAGCCCTTAAGGCCTTGGACCGAGCCTCAAAACATTCTGTCTGCCTTTAACATGGGGTGAATTGCAACCCACAATCGTGGGATTGGTGAATTCAGAATTCCCATTTTTATGGGTAGCTTCAGGTAGGAAGACACCTCAGGCCGATCGATTCCTCGCTGGCTTGGCCCACCCCATGCGAACACTATGCCCCCTGCTAATTGCATGTCCCTTGCCTCCATGTGGTGAGCAGTCCCCTGGAAAAAGAAAATAATTATGTCCAACAGTGATAGATTCCAACTTAAACCAACAGGGGCAAACAAACACATATCATATTCTTAAACAAATGGAGCTCTCTTTAAGTGGGCGTGTATCACTTTTGGAGGGAACCTTTCCTTTAGGACGGGTTGATGAATCATGGGCTCGAATTTACCCACAATGAAACAATGTGCGAACAGAATGCTCCTTTTTGCAACCCTCCATACATTGATTAGGGGTGAGGATCATGTACCAGCTTCTGTTCGCCTTTGAATCAGTTTCTAATACGCAAATGAGAGACTGCTACCTAGACCCTCAAAACTGCCAATCAATTTTGGGGCAAGATCCGTTTTTGAAGGGTAGCTTGATTGTCCAAATACCCGCATGGCTAAACTACAGGCAAACGTCATTGCGTCTGGCGCTGACTTCTCAACATATGATCGAGAACTTGGAACCAGAGTTCCCAGTGGGAGCACCAGGCGGGAGTTGAAGGACCCTTCGGATGGGCCCAAATGGCTCAGCAAGCTGTTCGGTAGGTCTTTGAATGGGTGTCTTTTTGGGAACAATGATGGCACTGGTAAATGATTAGAATTGATTAGAACCAAACTGAAACCAGGGCCATCTATGTTCTATCAAACTATGGCATGGTCTTCCCAAAACTGTTCAGAGTCCCTGTCCGGAACTAGGGTAGTGAGAAAACGGCTCCGAAAACTGTGCCTTGGGGGGCTTCTTGGATGTTCAACTTACTTCAGGGAAGCAAGTTAATACCATGGCTTTCTATGCCAACTAACCAACCAGTTACCAACCAGCTATAACAACTTGGTTATAAATTACCTGATGAAGGCAACGCACATCCATGGCTCACTCTAACAATCATCAAAACATGTTTGTACCTGGAATCTCCTTCTGACCCCTAGAAAAAGGGGTCATGACCCCATTCTTAAATTTGGGTAGTCTGACCAAGTTAGAAGGAGACTCTAGGTTTAACCCCCCCCTCAGTGCTTCCAGTTACCACTATGGTTGGTAACCAGCCATATTCCTTTCAGTTGTTTAAAGGGCTGTTCCCTTGTCAGAAGGAGACTCTCGGCAAATGTTTGGGGGGGGGGTGGCTCAAAATTAAACAGCTGGGGTTACGCAAAATTTACTCTTAGTTTCCCTGTACCAATGTGCCATTTTCGGAATTCCGTTTTTTTGAGCCACAGCCAAATGGCGGTGGCTCAAACACCGGATCCAAAATGGCTTGCCCTGGCAAGTGGAAACATGGACCAAAACCTGCGGTTTGCCTCTCCTGGGTAATTTTGAGCCACAGCCAAACAAAAATTAGGGGATGCTTCGTTTCGTCTCCTGGAGGCACTTGGCGTAGCACTCCACCGCCTGCTCTCGCCGGCCTTGCCTCTCCTGGACCTCCCGACGACGCGGTCTCCGACGACAGGTGGAGCCGCGCGAGGTGAAGATTGTGCCCCGGGGCTCCGTTCCTTATTTGCGGGGAAGGGATTTGGCCCAAGAAAAAGAAAGAAGATGACAATCTTGAAGGGTAAACGTTTTGGTAGTGCAATATGAAGCCGGGAGAGATACCTCTTACATGCAACAAGGGAAGCACGATCTGCAGAATTTCGCGAGAGGCCCTCAAATTAGGGTTGATCACCCGAAACACGATGCAAACAATGTGTTGGGTGCTAGGCGTAGGCTCTGAACATCTGATGTATTTGCTCCAACATGAGGTGTTGTGCTTTTGTTTGTCTACTCAAACATGTGGCCATGGGTCAAAAGCCCGTACCCCCAGTGAACATCCCAATCCCCACTGAAATGGACTAAAGTGGATGGTGTACCTACCCCAAAATGGTACCAAAACGGTTTTGATCCACGGCCATATTGACCAGTTTGTCTACCGAAACATATGTAAAATAGGGGAGGAGGCACCTGTTTGGGCGAATAGTAAGCAAAGTGGTAGAACCATTCCAACCTAAACTTTGGTGATAGCCCCAAACATATGATGGGTTAAATTTCCCTTCTTGTGGCTACCTGGACCTCTAAATACCCTGAAGCACGGGATATAGCCCTCAACATGATGGGGTGAATTCCCGTGATTGGCAGTTTGAAGTGCCAGGACCTTTTTTTTGTGCCTGGAGTCTCCATGACCCCTAGAAAAAGGGGTCATGACCCCTTAACTTTCGCGAGTCTGACCAACCATGCTTAAAGGGTCATGAAGACTCCAGGTGGTTTTCAAGGGGCGTCTCAAGGAAACCAACCAGTATGGAAGGTAGAAGATTTCGAGACAGCCCTATTTGCTGTGATTCTTGCCTGCGCAAAGCGAGTTGATTCTTGCTTGCTGTGTCTCTTTCCTGGGCAAATGGAGACTCCAGGTAAACAAATACCATTTCAAGGTCTGGCTTTAACACTGGTGGCTTTGAATTTTAACGTGGCGTCTCCCTTCCCGGGCAGCTCGTTGCTTCCTTCAGCGACTCGCAGATCCGTCCCGTCCCACGTTCGCCGGCGCCGGCGCCGTGTCTCGCCTGGCCCAGGAGGAAGAGACCCGCGGCGCCGTTCACCACCTCGCTCAGCCCGCCTCGCGAGTCCGAAGCCGTACTAGGACTGCAGGACTGGAGCCGCTTAACACGGACGCCAACACATCGGCCGAAATATGCCTCTAGGACTTACGGCTAGGACAATATTAAAATATACCCTGAACAAATATATTTATTGGACCTTACGGCTATGATTACGGCTATGACAATACTAAAACGAATCCAGGAAAATATTTTATACTACAATGAACCCTCAAAATTCCCCCGAACATATGGGTCATAGCCCAATAGCCCTCAAAAAAATATGAGGTGCATGCAACCTGTTTTCTTTGATCGTGCAGGTGCATGCATGCACTTCTGCTTGCCCATCACAGCGACCATGCGACCGCAATTGATCACGTGTTGCCAAACCCAGCATTGGCCACTGGAAACATGGGGCGGGCCATGACCCCCCCTTTCTGTCGTGTGACCCCATGCTCAAAGGGTCAGGAGATGGCAAGCATAGCACCCGGGGAATTCTCCAGTAGCTCAAACCCCGTTTTTGTTTCATTGTTTCGGGCATTTGTCCGCCTGGACCCTGGGGTGAGTTGCCCCCCCCAATGAGGGTTGGTGAATTCTCTTGTCTACCTTGGTCCTAAGTTGGTAGTTTGAGGGTCCAGGTACCATCGTCGACTGTCCTTTTTTTGAGGGTACCTGGTCCCTCAAGATGCCCTGAAAAATGGGCTCTAGCCCAACATCTAGGAGTGAATTCCATGTCTTGGGTAGTTTGAGGGTCCAGGTAGCGTTTGGGAAACCAAGAGCCACCTTAGTTCGCTTGCGAGATCAGCGTGGCGTGCGCGCGCTACCACCCCAGAGTTCCTGAAAACATGTATACCCGCACTTGGGTGTTTAATTCGGGCCTAGGTATAGGCCCCACTTATAGAAGCCCTAAGGTGGAGATGACCCAGTCATTGGTGCAGTGTAACCCAGGCGGCTTACCACAAGATAACTCCAAGTAAACAACCGCTTTCCAAATGACCACGGCTTGATCACGCTCGACAGGAAGAGCCAATCCTTCGGGACCGGCGATCATCCTGTTTCGGGTATCTTTAATGGCAAGAGAAGGGGATTGAATTGTCACCTCATACGTATCTCCTCTCTTCAGAATGGTGACAACCCCTGCGAAAAAGAAACAAAAACAAAAAACAAAGCGGGACGTTTTCTACCTTGAACAACCCGAAAGCTCGCCTTATGCAGACCCCTGCCCCCTGCAGTGAGCCCTGACCCTCCCAACCCGTCGCCTCCCGGGGAGATCAGGGCCTCCTCAGCCAGGTCCCAGCCTGAGTGGCTCGAAACCCACTCAAAGTGCTTGGCCCGGTGCGTCCGTTTACCCGCATCAGCTCCGAATACCCTTTGCCTGCTCTGCTTTTTTGTTAAGCTATGTTTAAGACCACGGCTTGTTTTAGGGAAAGCCCAACGGGGTAACTACCAATGCTACTATAGTGGCTTGCCTGGGATCCACTGGATGGATAGCTACTCAAAGGACACCTCTTTGGAGAGCAGCTCCGAATACCCGTTGCCTGATTTTTTTGGAAGCTATGTTTAAAAAGAAGCCCAACCGGTAACTACCAATGCCTGGTTTTAAGCAAGGGTCGACCAATCATGCTAGCTGAGTAGGGGGTAGGTAACCATCGGAACCGCACCTATAGCAGCGAAGCGCCTGGGATCCGCTGGGTGGATAACTACTCAAAGGACACCTCTTCGGAGAGCCAGAAGGAAACCCATTTTGAAGCCAAAAGACGGGTCAGGGAACCATTTTGGGAGCACTCCAATCTGGATGCAAAGCCAGAAGGCGAGCAGTTGGAAGGTTTTAGTCCTCCGGCAATGACCTCTCTCCCTGTGGCCACTGAATGCCAAAGGCTCGCGACCTCTATGGCCTCTAATTGAAAACATGCGCACGAACTGGAACCAAGTACCTTGCTTGCGCCTACAGGACCAGTTGCCCAAAGGATCCAGAAAATAGAAGGGGCCCCAAAATGGGGAACCCCAAAAACAGGTCATGTCAGGTGGATTCGCATTGGTTGCAAGTGAGGACCTGAAGAAAAAAACGACGAGAGCCTGGACCCTCAAAATACATGCTTAAACATAGGATATTGCAACCCAACACTGTCCCAACACTCTTGCGGGTCCAGGAAGCCATGCAACCCCAATAATAGATATGTTCCTTTCGGTGTCCCTTTAAAACCAACAATAGAGGGAACCAAAAAGAGGAGATCACCTTTTTAGGTATTCTTTGGGGGATCCATCTGGAGAAGAACAACTACAACCAACTTACGAAGGAAACTTCTTTTGGGGGAACACCCCATTTTGGGGAATCGGCAAATATGCAGTGGAGTTGTTCGCGCGAAGGGTGGGGAGTCCATTTTGCTGCAACCAGGGGGTTCGGTGTGTCCCTACGATTGACACCTATTCAGCTTGGCAGGTGAAGAAGGCTTGGATTGTACCGTCTTCAAGTCGTGATGGTTTATTCTTGTTGTTTTATCTATTTTTGTTTGACTTGGTTCAACTTACAATGAGGCCTACGACCGCAGGGTCGCTAAGGTTTCATGCAACCACTGCCTTCAGATCTCTACGGGGTTGTCATGGTTGTTTCCTTCAAGATGTTGCTTAGGGCATTGCTAGTACCTCTAGAATTAGAATTCAGAATGGCCCCCCAATTGCAATTGGACCCCACCTATTGCATGGTTTCTATGTTTACTCAAGGTCTCAGAAGGTTAGCCTCCTGAAACTATGGTCCTAACAGCTGTGCCACTCCACCTAGATAGCCAAGTTGCTGTTTTTGTGCAGTCCCTGTTGCTGGTTTTGGGGGTAAAGTGCGTGGAAACCAAAAAAAACAGGAGAACCAAAAACAAAAAAAACAGAAACTGGCGATCCAGGCAGGAACTGTGTGAAGCCCTCGCAGTGCGGAACCCCACCATGGGTTGAGTCGGGCTCCACGGCAAGCCATGCGCCAAGAGGACTCGCTTTTCCCGGCCAAGCGGCGCTTCATCTGCAAGCAGCATCTGGCGAGCAAGTACCTGCGAATGCACTCCCGCCATTTGGTTCCTCCCCCCTTTTTGGGGGCGGAAAGGCCTTTGCTCTTCTTTCACAGCATAAAACGGATACCCTGCGGCCCTGGGCTTGAAGTGCGCATGTATTCGCGTGTAAGCGACGTGGCCACTCTGTGAGAAGGCGCAAGGTTCCTGGTTTCTTCCGTCAAACTCCCGTATTTGGCACATACGTGTGGCCATTGTTTTCGGTCAACGGCGTATGACCCAAGCAAAAACGGCACTATGGGGTGACAGGTGTTGAAGAGATTTGCCAGGCACGAGAGCAGGCCGCTCGTCTTCAAGGTGCCTGGACCCTCAAAGTACAAACCAAAAGATGGGACATTGGGCTCAAAATTAGGTGAATTCCCACTTGTTTTCCTGACAATGGGATATTGCCAACAAAAAAACTCAGTGGGTGAATTTCCCTTTTGTCAACTGGGCACTTTCTTCGGGTCCAGGTGCACACTAGATGATTTATCCCGGGCCTTCTGGAAACCGCCCTGCGTTGCTAGTGCGACGACACACCAAGTAACCTGCGCCCGATAAATCGCAGGCCCGTACAGCAACGCCTCAACGCCTCACAATAGAACCGTGCCCCCGCCGTCCAAAGTTCGCCTCCCCGAACCTTTCAAACCCAAAGCGCGCTCATGCCAACCCTCATGCTGACTAGCTTTAGTAAGGGTTGCTGGCAAGCCGTTGTGACACCCACACGGAATGGTACACATACATACCGCACGTCTGCCCAAGAAGAGACAACATCTCACTTCCTAAGCAGATGGCGCCAATTTTTTTTAACCAAACTTCTTGCTTGCCACTCAAATCGTCCAAACCAAAAAGTTTTTAGTCTACAACCGGGTCCTCCAGTACAAAGGTTAGAATAAGGGTATGAACTTTTTTTCTGTAGTCTATTATTCTACTAATTAGGGGAACCCTCCCCCGAAAAGGGCACCACTGAGCACCTAGCTGGGGGACCTGGACCTGGATGTCTGGTTCCACCTTGACTGGTCTTTGAGTCCTTAAGCAGTCCATTGGCCTAAAACTTCCTCAACACCTCCGTGAAGGCCGCGCCAAAGTTTTTAGTCTACAAGAACTCTGGAAGTGATTGCAAATCCGCACTCCGAGTCGCTAACGCATCGGACTTTTTGGCCCGCCTCGCTTCCGGCAGCTTGTTGCCCTGAAGGCGCGAGGCGGTGCGTGCCGTGTTTGTTTGGGAGGACCCCGACCGAGCAAACAGACGGGTGTGGGTGTGGACCCGCATTAAAAAAAAAAAACAAAAAACAAAAAAAAACACATGATATTGCCCCAAACATATGGATCCCTGAGCCGGACCCTGAACAAACAAATGGGGTATTGCCCAAAAAATATGGATCTATGAACCGGACCCTGAACGAACAAATTGGATATTGCCCCAATAACATCTGCTTGTATGGGTAGCGCGAGGGTCCAGGTACCCTTTTCTAGGGTAGCCCCTCCTTTTGTTTGGTCCATTTTAGAAGGCAATCGGGTAGGGGGCTTCCAGGGTTTCTGACCCACGAACAGATGCCCGCAACCCTGTCAACCTCAAGATGAGGTTCACATGTCCGACGCTGTTTGTGTGGTGGGCGCTTGGTCAAGAAGGCAAGTTGCCCAAAGCTGTACCCCGAGTGGCACCTTGTTACGGTGTCCTGTCAATACCCATCGGTCGCGCGCCACCCCTTCATGCAGAATACCCGATTGGTCATCGGTAAGTTTGCGGGTGGCACTTTGTCCCATGAGCATCATAACCTCTCGAATGCAACCCCCACTCCCCTCCAATACACATCAATACAGAACTTGTTTCGGTCCAAAACCCTCCAACACTGGTCTTTTCTAATGCTTGGGGGGGCATACCATGTCTTCGGAGACATCCAAGAGGCAGACGTGACGAAGGCAAGGGCAACTCAGCGCGTTTTTGGATCATGGCCCTCCAGATTGCTTTCCAACCCATGCCCTTTCAATCTGTCAGAATCGAGCTTGCAGACCATTTTGACGACTCATTTGGTAAGATCAATCCCCAGTCCTACCAACCAAAACGCTCCCACTTCTCATACAGCACTTAAAAATAACTTGTGCTTCGTGACTCTGGTACGTCGTTGTATCAGTCTGACGTGAATGCTACCCATAAAAAAGGGAACTCACCCCATAGTTTTGGGGCAATCACCATTATCACGGGCTCAAACAAATGCCTGGACCTTCAAACATTTTGTAAGCATTGAAACCAACTTAAAGTTGGAATTATTAGTGTTCAGGCAGGTCATAACCATGGTTATAACCTGGTATAGATTGAACATCCAATAACATGTCAAACTAGCAGTTGAGTCGCAATGGCGTTACAACCAACCATTTCTGGGCAAATGACACGACGTTGAAACAATAGGGCTTTGGAGGGTGCCACTTTCTTGCGTTTGGGGTGTGGACGGAAACCAATACCTTCTTCCCATTGATAGTGGTACAAACACGCTTAATATGTATTTGTTGAAGCCAAGCTTTTCTAGGCTGTCCAAACCGATCCCCCGCAAGAAGGTGGCTCAACTTCAGAAATCCAACCACAGCAACTAGACATATCTGCAAAATATCTAAAAAGCTAAGAACCACTAAAGCAACTAAATAGATCCAAACAGATCCAAGAAGCTAAGTTCATGATTAGAGTTGGGCCCAGTTCAATGTATATTTTATTGTTTGCTTCACATGGAGTGGTAAAAATGTAAAATGTAAGTCTACCCCAGAGTTGAACCGGATGGCTGGCCACCCAGGTTTGGTCTCGGCTCGAGTCGGTTGAGCCCGCCGGCCTGGAGGTGCCACTGCGCCCTTGCCAGCTCCTGAAAGGCGGGGGGCTTTGGGTCCCAACAGCCAAAGGCGAGTCTTGGGGCCGCAGATCCTCAGATCCACCATGGAGCCGATCAAAAACCCAGAAAAAAATGGGAAAACACAACTATAGCCCCAACATGGGTTGTAGCCCCCACGTTATGGGGTGAAATCCATTATGTCTTTCGGGCAGTTTGAGGCTTCACCTGGGATCGCCAGTTGCGATCGTTTTTTGTTCATGCACTCAAAACCCCCAAAGACAGCAACAGTGACTGAACAAAACAGCAACTTGGCTATCTAGGCAGAAAAAAGCTGGAGTTGACCAACCCTCAGCGTTCGATTCGATGGATTTTGGGCCAAAATGAGTCCGTTTCCTTTTGTTTGCCCTTTTTTCCCATTTCCAAGCCAGATCAAGCGTCGCCTGACCCATTAAAACACCTTGGAACTGACCAACCCTCAACGTCCGATTCGATGGATTTTGGGCAAATCCTCGAAATGGGTTGGGTTTCTTTCAAAAATTGGTCGCCGAGCGGGTTCTCCATGGGCGGGCCCCTGGGGTGTGCATTGGGTCCCGGGTCCCGTCATGACCCGAAGGGCAGATCCATTTTTATCCAGACCGCGCCTCAAACCACCCTCAAGCATGGGGTGTTGCCCCGAATTTATGGTGTGAAATCCCTTTTCTAAGGGCAGTTAGAGGGACCAGGTACCTGGTTTTTGGTTGCACCCAAGAGAAAAAACAAGGAAAATGGCGAAGGGCTACGGGATCCACTGGTTCTAAGACGGTTGTAAAGGTGTTAAGCACGGCCCGAGCTTTGTGAAATGAGGCAAAAGGGGTGACAGGTTGTTGCATTTTCAACACACTCCATCATCCCTAGCACGAGCCCCCAGAGGCCGTGGGAGGGAGATGAAGCCTCCCTCCCCAAACAGGGTGTGTTTGTGTGTTAACATTGTGTGCCTGTTTTCTCTTGCAATAGGGGACTTGGATGAGACATAGACTACCAGAAGTGTGACCAAACCGCCCCAAGGTCCGCTGAAAAGCTGTCACTTGATTTGGAGACAACACTTGTCTGGGCGTGTTGATCTATTCAGGATGTGAACACTGAACACAACGATGGCACCGGTCACCGGACCGCATATCTGTTGAGCCCTGTAAACATAACCCGACCGGGGATAAGAGGTCTCAATTGCTTAGAAACAAAGTTCAGGCCAATCACCTGTTGCAAGCTGTTGCAAGCTGTTGCAGAGTCTGCACTGTTCGAGGGCACCTGGACCAAATTTATGGGATGAACTCACGTTTTCCAACGTAGTTTGAGGGTACAGGTATCCCTTTTGGGTTCGATATTGAAACACCACACGGTCGGGAAAGGATCGAGGCGAGTTTAGCAAGTTGCAGCGGTAACCCAGGTTATGACGCACTTATAAGCCTCCTTAAGTGGGGTCAACCAAGTCATCAGTGGGATATAACTGAGGCAACCACTTGCTTATTTGGCGAATCGAACATCCAAAAACCAATATACCTGATGATGGGGCAAGGAACCAAAGGTTCTAACCCGCTCAAAGCACGAAAACAACCATGATGCTTTAGTGAAAAGCAACCATGCGGAAAATTCCACCCACCCCACGCAACAATAGCTACCCCAATAAATGTACCAGGGACCCTTCAACACCCACAAGAAAAGGGCAATCCACCAACCAGAATCTTGTAATCACCTCTTTTTGATGGCTATGACCCTTAAATTACCCAAACAAAAAGGGAATCCCGGGCAATAACCCATTTGTTGTGGATATTTTCAGGCTTGGTCCAGGTAGGTGGCAACGTGCGTGTTTTTGCCCTGAGCCGAAGCGGTTCAGTTGGCGCCAATGCAACACTCAGCTCGATGCTCAATCTGGGCTTCAGTGCGGAATATCAGTTTCTGTTTGGTTGAGCCCAAGTACGCACATCAATCGCTGGAGCTTTGTGTGCCTTCGCAATTTCATGACAACCAGGTGGCTGGATAGTAAGCACGGCTATCCACCAGAGCCGTGGCTGTCAGTCCCAAGACAGCTATAACCGTGGCTGAGAACCACTTTGCTAGGCTGGAATTAGGAGCCCAGCAAAAATTAGTTTTTTTTGCCTGGTTAGTGGAAAACAAAGGGACCCAAAAAAAGCAAAAAGAAAGAAAGAAGGAACAACAAGTTCTGTGGAGGTTTGCACGCCATACGGTCTGCGGGGCGGCGCATTGGCCTCGAATAACCCCTTGCGGTGCCCAACGCGCGTCCTGGTTGTGAAAGTACGCCAGGCCAAGCAGATAGGTCCTCAGCACACGCGCCCTCCTTTCTCAAGAGGCTCTTTGCTCTTAAATGGCCATGGGTCAAAACCCAAATCGTACTCCCAGTGAACATCCCAATCCAACCACTAAAATAGGTCCTAAAATGGGTGGTGAATTCACCTACCCCAAAATGGCATCAACCAAAACGGTTTTGACAACCACAGCTAAATGGACTGAACTCTTGCAAGAACCCTCAAGACTCAAAACAATCTGACTTGGCTGACGGGAGAAGGATGGATACCCGGGGACAAGAAGGGCACTTGTGTCTGTTCGATTCGCCAAGTCAGTAATTAAGGTTACCCAGCTGGGCCTTTAGGGTGGGTTGAAACCGTTGAGCTTTGTTGGGGTCGAGCTGTTTGAAGACGTTTGAGGGAGTGTCTGCTTTCCTGGAGTCTCCAAATCTGACCCAAATCAAACATGGCCGGGCCACCCCATTCTTTCGAGAAACGCACGTTTTGATTCGGGTGAGATTTGGAGACTCCAGCGACTTGTTGATCTGTGAAAAGGCGATGTAAATTATGATGTCGAAACGTAAACCGTGTTAGGCTGGGGCTTCCACAACCAAGGTTCCTCAGAAATCCCTCAGAAATCGCTGGCGAATTGCTTGTTGTGAACGCCTACTCTCGGCGTTCGATTCGCGAAGTTCGCAAGTGGTTGGGATTCTTAGGTTACAACCTACCATTTTCAGCTTCCTTAAGTGGTACAACCAAAAAGCCTTTCAACCCTAAAGCCTTTCAACCCTTCCACCAACCCTAAAGTGTTTTCATTTGCAAATACGCCCCTGAAAAACACAACAAACATCCAGTAGTGTCAATTTCCACTGTTTTCCAAAAAGTTAAAGCCCAAAGATCCAACCAAATAGCCACAAAGCCTACTCTTCCGCAAAAGGAACCAATTCCATTTCCCAGCTGGACCCTCAACCTATCAACTTTCACAAATGGGATTTCACCGCATGATTTTGGAAATATCCACCTTTTTAATGAGTCATAATCAAAACCTGGAATTAAAATGGTGTACCCAAACCAATGAACAGACTTTAAGCAGCGGATATCCGCATCATTTTCTATGGTTGGGATTGTCCCTCAACTTTCATTTACCCGGGTTTCGATTTTGAGGACACGGCTCCAGTGTATTTTGAGCAAGTCAGATGCCCAGTGGATTTCCATGAGAAAGAGGCATCCTTTTTTGGTTGGTCGAGTTTCAAAGGGAACCCTTCCCCGAAAAAAAAGTTGAAAAAAGGGCGCTACTGGGCCACAGAGAACCCCAAGATGAGTGTCCAGAACCAGAAGTCAATCAGATTCTGCTTTGGGTCAAAACCCCAAGATGAGTACCAGGAGTCTCCATGACCCTTTAACAATGGTTGGTCATTACCCCAAACTAAGGGGTCATGACCCCTTTTTCTAGGGGGTCAGAAGGAGACTCCAGGTAGTGGGTTTCCCTGTGTTCCTTCAACCCTCTCGGATCCCTTTGGCCTTGCGGCCACCCTCCCCCCCGCTCAGAACTCAGAGGCCCCGGCGTCTCGTCGCAGGGCCGCTCCGCCACAAGGCGCTCCCCAAAGAAGGCCTCGAGCCCAGCTCGAGCCGAGCAGCGCCAAAAACGGCGGGTGCCCCAGCTGTTTGGAGAAGAAAAAACAGACAAGGAGACGTGATTTTTTCCCTTAACAAGGTGACCTGGAGCAAAGAGGAAACCGCCGACTGAAACATGGCTCAGCATTGTTCACCCACCATTGTTTTGGAACTACCCGCTTAAACATGGTTGAACATGCACCGACTCCATCTGTATGGGTTGTAATTCACCTCATGCTTAAGTTGGACATTTATGAGTGTCCAGGTTTATAAACCCCAGTGCTTCCATTTTGGAAGACCTGGGCTGACGACCAAAAGGAAATTGATTGTGTCGGGTCGGTTTTTTTGTGAGCCTGTAGGCAGGTGGCGAACTCTTTTTGCCTTACATCACTCATCTAAGCTGTTTTCCGGTGACCCTCACAATTCCCCCCAAAAAAACGGGGTGTTGCCCCACAGCCCCAGTATTGGGGTCCATTCCCTTTCTGGGTAGTTTGAGGGTCCAGGTTCTCCGCTTTTAGATGTTCGCTATCCAAGAACACTGGAGTGCAACCATACCCTCTTCCCCAATTCCTTTTAGGATGCCAAGTCTTGACTTTTCTCCCCAACGCTCCAACTCGATCTATTTTCGAGGCCTCAAGCCTGGCCAGCTTTGGAGACTCCCCAACACCGGGCCCGCGGGGTGAAAAAATGGCCGAAGCCAAGCATTTGGGTAAAGAGAATCGATCACCTGAAAAGTCCAATGACTTGCTCTGAGCCTCGTTGCTCAGCTCAAAGTTCGAAAGGTTGTGTCCCTGCCTGTCAATGCCAAGGCTCAACAGAATCTCTGGGATGTAGCCAGAGATCGTGTTTGTGCCTGGAGTCTCTATGACCCCTAGAAAAAGGGGTCATGACCCCTTAATGTTGCATGATGACCCCTTTTTCTAGCTCACCAAGAGATCTGTGAGCCAGGCCAACTTCTTGCAGAAGTCTTCGAATTTCTGAGCTGCAACCTTCATGAGCCGTCCGCTTGCATCATCATGCTGCCGAACGCTGAGCTGAGGGGATGCTTGTTTCAACCTCCCCCCTGCCATTTTGAGAACAGTCCCAAAAGTGGTCCGACAAAACCATGCGTCACTGGATTTCCCCAAATCAAAAGTTGATCAATTGCCTGGTGGTTGTCCACAATCGCCACTTTTGGAGGTTCCCTTTGAAGGCAAAATTGGCTCAGACACCCTGAGCTGAACCACCGGCATCTCCAAACCCGGCCACCCGCAACTCGATCCATTCGAAGGAGCTCCGGGGCGCCAGCGGCTTGTTTCCACAAGAAGTTCTTCAGGGAGAACTCATACGCCAACTTCGCCTGACAGCGGACGGCGTCTGAAAATTTGGGGTTCCTAGATGGCCCAGTTGCTGCTTTGTTCAGTCACCGTTGCCGGTTTTGGGGGAAAGTGCATGGAACAAAAACATCAACTGGTGATCCAGGTTGGTCCCTTTAAATTTTTGGAAGTTCGTTTAAACTGCAAAACCCGGACTCTGGGTGCGAAAAGCGAATGCCGTGTACTTTTGGACTTTCGATTCGCCAAGCTTGTAAGTGGCCAACGCCACCTGGGTTCTCCACTATTGACGGGGTTAACCCCACTTAAGGAGGCTGATAAGCGGCCATAAGTTATAACCTATACCAACAACTTGTTAACTTGGCCGAACGCCCAAGTAGCCCTTTAAGAAGTTACTTTAAACCGTAAAACCAAAGCAAAAAACACCCATGTGAACGTGTCGGCTCCCAAAAAAAATCGCCTGCAGGCCGTGCGTCCGCATTTGAGTTGGTAATCACCCTTGCTGGAGTCAATGAAGAGAAACAACAGGGAGACTACAGCGTTCCTTTGGATTTAAGACACACTCAGCTGCATCTCTTCAAGGTGTCATTTAACTCCTCACTGCGCGCATTGAGCAATCTCCTAAGTGGAAGAATGAGTTGCATTGTGAACTTGTAGTGGGCGTTTTCTCCGAGCAGTTCGTGCGTTCCCCAAGATGGCTGTTCGTTTCCCTTTGCACCAACCCAGGATTCCTTTACCGCCTTTACCCCCAGACAAAAGGAATCGGCCCTTTGGGGGTCCAGCCTGGGGCCCGGAAAGTCAAACACACCTTTCATCAAATCGACTTCTGGTTGCTTTCAAGGGACCCTGAGAAGGTCGGGGTTCTCCATAGGGCGCGGGGGTTTGGAGGGTCAACGCAGAAAAATATGGCTCCTAGATGGCCAAGTTGCTCCTTCTTTTTTCTCAGTCACTGTTGCTGTTTTTTTTTGGGGGGGGGTTTGAGTGCAGGGAGGAAAAAACAAGGATCGCAACTGGCGATCCAGGTGGAGCCTCAAACTGCCCAAATGACATAAAGGATTTTACCCCATAACGTTGGGGCTGTTACACATGGGGCTATAACCTTTTTATGGGTTGTTTGGGGTTGACCACCAAAAAGAATTGGTGGTCACCGGGCCAAGACGCCAACACCATCCGATGGCTTGCGGATCGGTGTCTCGGTGTCTCGGTGTCTCGCCTGGCTCACAAAGCTGGCCGCATCCAGGGCCTCCTGGCTCCAACTAGCCGGACGGAGCCCAGGGCAAATCCCTGCCCTCCCCTTTTCTTCCCATTCTTAAGGGTAGCTTGACTAGGTCCGCCAGTAGAGAGGTTAGAATAAGGGTACCAACTTTTTTCTGTACTCTATTTTAAGGGGAACCCTCCCAACCAAAAAAGGAAACGGTGAGAGGTCGGGCACCAAGTGCTGGACCTAGTATTGAACAACCCGGCCCAGGACAGGGATCCGGATGCAATAGAAACACCTGAACACTGCAACTTATGTAATGTTGACCTGTTCTAATTCGGCTTCTTTGAATCTCGGTGAAGCAGAAAAACCGCAAACAGCGGATCTTCCGAAAGGAGCTTCTTCTGCAGGTTGTGTGGGAGATCCATGCGGGCTCACTTGTCACGTCTTGGTCGGGAACCCCCCCCTACACATCTCGATCAACCACTATTTTGAGCACAGAAAGAGACGCGCGATGTCACTTTACTGCCCTAAGCATCTTGGACCCTGAAAAAAGGCTTCTCTGGAGGCAACCAAAACCAATGAGATTGGGGTGGACCCCGTTGATGTTGGCCAATCGCCGCCCCAAAAAAAGCCTGCGGCTTCACAACGACTCTTGCGAGCACCGCCTCGCGCTCCATGGCAAAGCCTCGGATCGAGACTTCTTCCCATGCGAAGTTTGGGGCGGGAAAGCTCTACCTGGAGTCTCCGGTCATGACCCCTACAAAAGGGGTCATGACCCCTTAATTTTGGGCAATGACCAGTTTTTAATTGGTCATGGAGGCTCTAGGTACCCGAACCCTCAAAATTCCAATTGAACAATGGGTTACAGCCCCAAATTGATGGTTGGTGAATTCCATTTTCTTTTTCAAATGTAGTTTCAGGGTCCAGGTATGGATGCCCCACATACTGCGCAAGTACAGTTTTTTGTGACCAGAGAACACAACCACCAGTAAATTGCAACATTTGCAGGGAACATCTAGTGATTGATCCCCTGTCCCAGTGAGTCTAGTTCCGTTGAACAACGAAAGGCAAAATGGCAGGTTGCCTACAACACAGGTAACTGAGAACTGGGTCAAATACTGACCCTGAGGGGTCCACCGTTTTGAGCAACACTCCACGGGGCCTGTTTTTCGACGGGTAACCGAGTCCACCCAAATTGAGCGCCCGTTTTAATTTAGCTGACTTTTGGTGCAAGAAATCCGTGAGACAAGGCGGAACCATCTGCTCAACTGGCCACGGCGGTCCTTTCGAGCGGATCAGATTCGGGGAGAAGCCATCTGGAACCAGGGCTCTCAATGGCATGCCAGGAGGAAGCTGGAAAACGTTCTCTCCCTTCAATATCAGGTTCAGAGGAATCTCGCTTCAAGTAGGAAAGCAGGAGTCGTTGACCTCATCCAAACGGTGAAAAGGTTAGTCAAAGCAAACCTAGACGAAGACAATCAACTAGCACCCCTCAAGCATTTTGATCTGAGGGAGATCCTGCGAAGCAAACCAATCCTTTGAGGGACCGATTGCTTTTTGCAGAAAGAACCCTCGAATGAAGCTTCTGCAGCACCTAGGCTTTGGACCACCTAGGCTTTGGACCTCAAAAAAGGGAAAAGCAGGGCCTTGGATCTTCGATTCACCAGGATTCGTAGAGAAAACCCACTAACAACAAGGTTAACCCCACTTGATGCCTTCTTACGTGGGTCATAACCGCCCGTTGCAACCTCTTAATGGGTTATAACCTACCTAGATAGCCAAGTTGCGATCAAACAAAATCAGTAACTGTTGCTGGTTTTTGGGGTAAAGTGGATGGAACAACAAACAGCAACTGGCGATCCAGGGGATGCCTTTTGTACGTGGGTTATACCCGAACGATTACTGAGGGAACGGGAACCAACCATTCCAAGGCGCCAATTTGTTTTAGGGCATGCAGCTAAAAAAATGAGAAATCGGACCCACCAAACTTTAATGACGACTCGATGGTCCTTTTGGCTTCCCTCTAAGCCCAGCCCCTACTCCAAATACCATATATGCTTTTGGTTTTCATTGTTCTCCAGGAAAAATACCGCCTTTAGCAGTCAGGGTTTCAGAACGGGAAATGGCTCGGGTTTCGAGACTCGACACCCTGAGGGCCTTTGGCGTGTCGAGGGGGATCAATTTTGAGGCCCCAAAACCGTGAGACTGTCCCTTACAAGCATCTCCACGAAAACGCAACAAAACGTGTACAAATGTTACCCTCCCAAACATAAGTCGTAAAGTCTGGGCCCCGTTTGTGGACCTTAAACTGTTCATGTTTTTAAAAACCAACGCCCCCCCCCCCCCCTCCCCATGCCCCAGGCAACAACAAAAAAGCCGCCGCCCCCGACGCCCCCGCCCCCGACGCCCCCGACACGCCCGAAACGGGCGGCTGGCCGGCCGAGGCTCCGGGGTGGGCTTGGCATCAAGGCTCCGAGTTTTTTCTGCCCCCAACTGGAGCCCAAGCGGCGATCATGTGGACCCGAATCGAACTGAGGGGGCGAGCTGGGGAGGGGGCGAGCTGGGGAGGGGGGCGAGCTGGGGAGGGGGGGGGGGTAACTCCCCTTGTTCATGGACAACGGGGGGGGGGGGGGGGTAAATCTGGTATGGCCCTTTTTGGCCTTGTCCAGGGAAAGCAGCCCCCCAGAGGTCAGCAACAATGCCCAGCTGTGCGAAAACCCGGGCCCGATGAGCAATAAAGTAAGCCTTTGGCGTTCGAACCAAACGCCGGAGATAGCTGGGCTTAGAATCCAACCCTCAAACTGTTTGACCCCATCCTCCGATATCACGATCATACTTTTGCAGGTGGACGACCTACGAAACAGAAATTGAAAATGTGTTTGTTTGGTGTACTATGGGGTTAAAACATCAATCCTCTACTCAAAACAAAAAAAACACGTTCAGGCAATTGTTGGAGAACTTGGTGTTCCATGGCAAACAATTCCTTTGTTAGTCAGGAGTTTACATCACGCCTTACAACATCGGGATTGGAGGGGCAGGCTTGTAAAAAAACAACAAAACACTGGACCCTCACAATTCCCTGAACAATTGGATACTGTAGTTCTTTCGTGAACCCCCGCCCAAGCCAATGGATTGCCTTGTCTCTTGAATGGGCCTTCATCGAGCTTGGGCTTCGGCGGGTGCCGGGCTCTCGGGCTACATATCAACCAGCCCGTTGTGGCTGGGTCTGTTTGAAGAACCCGGTCGTGTGGTTGATAATGTTTAAGGAAGGAAAGGGGGTCCTGTATCGCGTCCTTGGCCAACATCCCCGGGAGTGTTTGGCGCCAAACCCTAGGCCTTCGTGAGATAAGGAGCCAGACTCTCGGGCGTCACCCTCAATGTCAAGACTTTGAAACTTGCTGAGCCTAGGGTAACTCACTTCTTGAGTGGCAAAAACAAGTCCAGGAACTGTCCATTTCCCACTAAAATGACCCAACAAGTCCAGACCCAAAACTTTCCATTTCCATTTCCAGACCCAAAACAAGTCCAGACCCAAAAAGTGACTCAAGTCCGGAAACTCAAGAAGTGAGCCAAATGAAGCCTCAACTGCTGAGGGGCTCTTGACGCGGGTGTAGGATGTGTGCGAATGACCACTGTGATAGCGTTGACTGTACAAACCCATAGCAAACCATCTGCAGAATCAACGAATCAACCTCTATTCTTCGACAAGGCCTTCCCTTCTTTACAAGAAAGATCCCTCCTTTTGGGCTCCCAATATACCATGGATAAAAAAACCTAAATGTTGCCCGTGGTGTATCCCAGTGGCTCCACCAACCAGCTCCATCCCATATCCCAGTATTGAACACTTCAGGCTCCATCCCAACTCGATCTTGTCCGCAGTAGCACCACCAGAAACCAGCGGAGATGGACTACCTGGACCCTCACAACCCTGAAAAAGGAATTCACCCGCCACATGGTTACGGCAACTTGCACAGCATTTTGATGGGAAGCTCTTTCGGGTCCAGGAACTATCAACTTGCAAAACTGATGGCAAAGGGACCGCCCAAACCCCATACTCTGGAAACCCCTTTTGAGACCCCTGCAGTTTTTGTCGGGGTGACCCTGGGTTCCAAGTGCAATCCTTAAACCGGGTCCCTGATATTTCGCCTTAAACAACCAGCCCACCCAAAGTAGACTCACTTCAAAAAGCCACCGGAAGGAAAAGTAAGCTTCCAGTTGCCCGTTGCTCGCATGGGTGGGGGGGAAACTCCTATCGCACCTCCAATGAGTTCCCCAACTGTGGGCTTTTCGCTTAGTCAGATTGCCTTAGATCCAAGGAAGCTGCAAATGTCTTGTTGAGCCATTTACCTTTGCTTCTCCTGAAGGAGTCAGAAGTTCCCTACTAAAACAAGTGGTTATTTGGAGCAAGAAGGGCATGTCGAGCCTGGCTTGCTTAGGGGTAGGGGCACCCGAATTGGGCAATTTTTTAAAATACCTGGACCTTGAAACTACCAAAACAAATGGAATTCAACCCATTCTGCTTGGGGCAATAAAGCTCTGAAGGTCCAGGTTCTTGAATTTGTGGAGTTGCGCCATTTACCGAGCCCACGCAGCCAGGCACAAGACCTTTTCCGCAGCCCAAAAGGCCATGCCACTCTGTGCACCTTGGCGAGGGGGCCACGGAAACACGGGCGCCTTACTTCCGCAGGGATCCTTACATTCTACACCTGAACATTGCCTTGTAAATGGTGGTTTCCCTGTATTTTGGTGTTGAAAAAGCAACATGTAACATGTTTCAAATGGTTGCAAAATGTATCTTTTAAGGCCCTGTTGGCGGTGACTTGGCCGGATCTTCAAAACTTGGATCGCGCAAACGGGGGGGGGTTGCCGGGCTTTGGCTGGCGCACACCTCTCAGCACATCCGGATTAAAACGGGCTGCTTCGGGCTGTCAAGTGTTTCTGCCTGAAACTGCCTGACATCCAAATCCGATATCGCGCCAGGGCTCTCTGATTTATGGACCCGAAAACCCGAAAACCCGTGCACCCGGGTCAGGTGTGCAGTTGTTCATTTGGGTGCTCGGCTTGCGGGGATGGGGTGGGGGTTCCATGGCTTTTCAGAACGGGATCCAATGCACACACCCCACATCTGGGCCCTCCAATGGAGACCTCACAGTGACCAATTCCTCAGGTGTCGGGACCCCTAAATTGATCACCCCACCAAAAGTGGATTTCCCACCCCTGTTTCATCAGCCTGTCAACTTCTTTGAGCGAGCAACATGCAAAATTGGAACAGCCGCCGATCTTCGGATCTTTCCCTCGCAGGCCTGCTTTTGGTCAATCGACGCAATTGAAGGACTTTATGGCGGGCACCAGCAGGGATGGACATCCCGCAGGTGCTCCTGGGCTTTCTGCTTCAGCATGCAAAGGTCACTTCCACTTTGTCATCAGTGTGCTGGAAAATGGCTCTGTGGGATGTCACAGAGGGCAGCACAGTCTTGGCATACATCCCAGTGGCACTGGTCACAGCACAAGCTCAGCTTGTCGATGTTTCCTGCGCAAAGGTCGCAGCTTGCTTTCCTATCCCCTCGCTCCTGAAGCTTGTGGCCTGCCGGGCACGTTGTGATTCCGGCGCGAAGGTAGTCCCGCTGCAGCGCAATGCGCTGCTGAGCTGCTATAGTGAGACCCTCAGCCAGCTGCTCCTCCTCGGCTTCGCCAAGTATCTCAGGCACACTGCTCGAGCTCTTCGTGGAACCAGCCTGTGTAGCTCCCTCCAGCCTAAAGGGTCCAAAGGAAGAAGTAGCCGCATCCAGCGTCGTCCCAGACTCCACCGTGGGCACCACAAAATCATCAGACCGGGCAGACTCGGGCGCATCACTTCCTTCACTCGTAATGTAAATGGGAGGGCGCGTGGCCGGGCGCAAACTCCCAGCTGCAGACACCATCGTGTAGGGCACGCTCTCCCAGGCATAGTGAAACTCCTCGACCCCGCGGGCAGCTTGCAGCGCCCAGTGGGCAGCGCCCGTCGCCTGCCACAGCTCCCGCGCCATGGCCTTGAAGAGCTGCCGAGGATGCCCGTGTCCTGGACACCGAGGCAGGGGCGGCTGGAGGATCTCCAAGGCGTGCAAAGCATGTTGCCGCATCAGGCGGGCCGCTCAACTGCTGGACTGGAGTCGACCTACTGGCAGATCTAGCCTCCTCGGCCATCTCATGGAAGATGCTTTGCAACATCTCCTTGCAGGTGTGTTGTTCTGGAATGACGTCCGAGCATGCAACACAAGAACTCCACTCCCCTCTTGCTCAACCTGACCTCAGCTTGGGGCCCAAAAGCTTGAGTCAAGGCTTTGCCCAAAGTTTCAGCATTGCAATCCACTGCCCCCGCCTTGCCTCTTGGGCCGCTGCAGCCTCTGCGCGGCACAGCGCCCCGGATGCGCTTCCTCCCACGCCAGCCCAGGTGTCGCAGCAGCAAGCCGCCCACAACAGCCACGGCGGCTTGCTCAGCACTGGTGTCCGCAATCCCCTCTAGCCTGAAGGAGGATGTTGCCCTATCCACATCCACCACTACAAAGCGGCACACCGCCCGCAACGGGCCCAAGAACCGCCGGCCGAGGAATTGCAGCAGCGCATCCCGCCGGCTGAGGAATCGCAGCAGCCCTCCTCACACAGGTGTGTCGATTTTAAAAAATGACGTCTGCGCATGCAAAACCTCACCTGAACTTTCCTGCCCACTGGCAGCATCATACGCTGCTGCTGGACCAAGCATGCTTGATGTAAGGATACCTCATGCAACTTGAACTCTTGCCGTCATATCTCCGAAGGAAACCAGAAACACTGTTAGAGCTTTCCGAGCTTTCCATGTGCTTATTTGATTTTCGCTAGTCCAACAGTGACCACCCTTGCACCAATCGGGAAGTCACCTCCTTGTCACTACTCAAACATTGCATGTGGCCCTGGCACTTCAACTCACAAGAAAGGCAAGGCGCACCACTTCCATTGGCTGACCTGCAAGGACCCAACCAACAAGCCTGCTATCCTTGCGAGCTGGCTATTTAAACAACATCACTGAGCAATTCATTCCGACTTCCAGCTAAGAATCCCAACCTGAGATGTGTGTTCTCCCTGTGCCGGAAGTCAATATAATCCACTCCCAAAAAAGCCAACATCCCAGTTACCCAGTCACCCGCGGCAGCAGAATTCGTACTGTATTTCCGGGGGTGATGATATTTTTGGGCCCGGAAGCCACGAATCAAATTTCAACCACTGACCGTACTAATCCGGGGTGGTTCCCAATTTCATTGACTAAGACAATTTTGAACTTTTGCGGGTTCCTCTCAATAGTAGGGTCCTTGGGACTGATCCGAAGTCAACATTACTGGAAACTCAACCAAGACACGCCAGGCCCTTCAATGGCGAGTCCATAGCGACCAATTCCTGCCTGTTTGAGGGCCTGGCAAAAGCCAGAACGGACCCTTCAGCCTAAATAACACTTTGCGTCTGCGAAAGCTGTTCGTCTTTTCTCCGGAGCCAAGACTCCTGCCAAATGATGGGGGCGCGAGAAAATATTGGGCACAAGCTGCAAGGCAAAATCCCACCTCCCTAATGGCACACTCCCATGCCCCGAATGATCAACATTGGCTTTCAAAATTCGACAGTAATCCACCAGTAACTCACAGTTAGGCCAGTTCTGAGCCAATACTAGCGCAGGGATTGCTATTTGGGCGGCACTATGAGCGGGAAGGACCAGTGAATGCTAACCAATTCATTTTGGGAAACCCGACAAACAATTTGCCAACCTGGACCTTCGTCCTCCTGAAAAAAAAACGAGTTTCCGCCTTTGACTGGATATTCGGGAAAATCGTAGCTCTTGTTGACGCAAAAACCTGAAACTCCTAAAACTCCCAACAACGCACTATTGCAATGCTCGCGGCCTTTGACAGATTAAAGGACGCTTTGCAGGGGTAAACGACTTAATGCAGCCCGCAAGTTTGTCCGATCAAGGCATCCCATGGTGTTCACTCGCACTTGCCAGACACGTGGGCTTACTTGTTATGGCCAATGCGCGACTGGAAACGACGCAATACATATGTGAAATTGTAGCTAAACCACTGGAATCCAATAAATCGTAGGGGTCTCCTAAAACACCCAGACATTTCCCGGAGATTGAAGGTTCTCGAGGTGACTACTGGAGAAGAAACGATTACGATTGCCTGCCCGTGGGTTCATGCGTGGCACCTTGCACCAAGGCCTTTGTGGATGACACAATTGATTTGACCTTGTCTAGAGTGGACAATTGCGTCGCAGCTGCGGAGTGTAGTTTCAGCCGAAGTGTCACGCACACCAGGCCCAGCAAGCATCGCCGGGTGAGGTTAGACCGTAGGAAACTAGGGCATCCTGCCTACTGGCCGGCAGTCAAAGCTGCGATGGACGCAGCAACAAAGCTGGAAAGATGTGCGCCTTGGGATATTAGTGTGCATGACCACTATGACCGCATCTCCAAAGTTATTAGTAGAGAACTTCCCAAGGCCATCCCATACACCAAGGCGGAGCCCAGGCAAACGTACATCCAGCCTTGCACATGGAGCATGGTGTTGGTCAAGCGGCATGCATGGGCAGAAGCTAAGGTTGCTCGCAGAATAATTCGCAGTTGCCTTGTCGCCCTTACCTTCGCAGCTTGGCGCAACAACGGCCCAGCCCAGCCAACCGGTTTTCTTGCCACACTCAAAAAAACAAAGGGTTTCAGAAGCCGTGCTCTCTGCCAAGGTGAAGCAGGTGTCCAACTCTGTGCGCGATGCCATTCGCCATGATAAAGCTCGCCCGGCTCCGGGGCAGCCGCTGCCTGCTGGGTGCCATCGGTCCCCTCAAAACAAACCTCACCCCACCAAAAGGAAGCTCGTGTCGAAATGACCAAACCAAAAAATGCAGGCTTTAACCATGTTTCATCCACCGACGGGGAATGTAACGCACTCTGTCCCTGGCCTTTTTGTGCTCCGGGCTGCAGCGACCTCCTCATCCAGTTGGATGGGCCCACCAGCAGCAATCGGAACCCTTCTTCGGGCTGGCTGCTGCGTGTCTGCCCTGGGCAAACTGATTCGGACAAAGAAACGCGCGCGCCAACATCAGTCATCAGTCGGGTCATCAACAGCTTCTCCGAACAGACAGCCTCTAGGACCCTGCCTGGTGATGAGTAAGTCTGTGTTGTCAGTGGTTGCGCTGGTTCACCTTTGCACCACAAGCATACAAGTTGTGCAGCAAATTAAACATTCAGTATCCTCTGAATCATTGTGCACATCGGTCAGAAAACCAGCGCGCAGCACATCATGAGAACATTGCCACCGGTCCGGGTGTTGATTTGTCTGATAGAAGCCCCCAACATGCTGCCTGATGGGGTCGTATCGACATAGCATGTCAACATCAGGCGATCTGACAAGACTTGATGGTGCTCAGTAGGGAATGAAACATGGAACGACCCCTATAAACCATCCAAGTGGTGGCGTCCTTTGGGACGCCAAAACGGTTCATTCTATATTACGATTTCTCATTCTCCACCCATCGCACCGATCCCCCGGAAGATACAAATGTTCTTGCAGAGTTGCCTCAAGATTTCAAGGCAGCCCGGACTTTGGCCATTTTCTGCTCCACTTCGCTGGGCTTGTCACCCTCCGCATCCTTTGCCTGGCCTTCTTGTGCCTACAGTGTGGCACAGCCAGATGTATGAATGGAACTGTAAACAAGAAGGGCAGCCCATGTCAGGTGAAAATGTGTCACAACGATTTGGACTCGTTGCCATTTAGGAAGGTGCGGAATTCATCTTGAACCTCTCTCCTTATCCCCCTTTTCAATTGGCCATGTTCAAACGGGAAGTCTCTAATTTCAGGAATTTTCACATTTGAGGTCAGTCCAAAAATGCGGGACCTTGTTTCGACTGGGAGAGGAAGAGGGAGAGGAAGAGGGAGAGAGACAGGAAGAGGGAGAGGGAGAGGGAGAGGGAGTGGGAGAGGGAGAGAGAGAGGGAGAGGGAGAGGGAGAGGGAGAGGGAGAGGGAGAGGGAGTGGGAGAGGGAGAGAGAGAGGAAGAGGGAGAGGGAGAGGGAGAGGGAGAGGGAGAGGGAGAGGGAGAGAGAGAGGAAGAGGGAGAGGGAGTGGGAGAGGGAGAGAGAGAGGAAGATGGGGGTACCATTTTCGGGGTTTCGAGCAAACCCTTCCAAGGTGAGTTTGTGATTTTGCCGGGACCACATGTTTTTTGTCAAATGTCACATTTTTCAGAACAAGCACTCACTACAATTCACACTGTGATTGTTGGCTTCAGGATTTGCGTCGCTTTGGGATGGGATTCGACCATGGGTCAAAATCCCGTACCCCAAGTGAAAATCCCAATCCCCACTAAAATAGGTCCTAAAATGGGTGGTGAATTCACCTACTTCAAAATGGTACCATTGGTTTTGACCCACAGCTATGTAGTTCCCACAAACGAAACACTCAGCTCTTGGTCCGGCGTCCGGCCTTCTTCCAGGCCTCCAGCCGCTTCCGCGGCCGCGGCGGCGCGGCACCCGCGGAACGGAAACTCCAGCTGTCGCCTGAGAGATGTTGAAAAGGCTTTGCACAGTAAAACTGTAAACTGTATATCCGCGGCGACAATTTGGGCAAATTGACCTGGACGGAGAGTCACACCTAACTATGATACGTGACGTGTCAATGCTTGATCAGCTGGCAACCTGTTGCCCGAGAACTGTACTCCAGGCCTTCTGACCCTCCAGTCTTGATCGGGCCCACTTGACTTCCTTGCGCTGCTGTCAGGGGGTCAATTAAAACGCCGGCTTCGAAGATTACAATCCTACGACAGTGACAACTGACCCAAGACGGATATGCCGAGGAAGAGAAACCGGTTGTTTGTGCTTAGAAGAAAGAATACGGATAGCTTGACGGTCTTCATTGTGAGCGTGTTAAGTGTCGGCGGGACTTTGGGCGCCAGCGAAAACAAAAAACTACATGTAGAAAAGTGAATCAGTTTTGGGTTGTGACGTGGTACACCATCATTTGGAGTTGGAAGTTCCAAAGTGCCCTGCTGTTCATTAAAAGATGTGCATATTGCTTTGGATCGGAACTATTTCGCGAACCGGAAGCCAAAAAAAAGGCCAGGCGACGTCGGCCATGGCGATACATTGAGATGCCCTTCAAGGCAAAAGGGTGATGCATTGAGAATCCACGCGACTTCGCCAAATTTTGCCGGGTCTTGTTCCAAGCAAACCTCAAGTGTCTGCCATGGCTCGGGAGTGAGCCAAACCAATCTGCGCAGGGATAGCTTGGCTCGGGTTTCCTGACTCATGGGTATTCCCCCACAGAGCATGGCGATGGCTGGGAGAAAAAAAACATGCGCCGACTCCATTGTCCCACCGGCGTTGCAGGCAAATCTGTCTGCTTCGCTACGAACAAAACAGCCACACCTAGCCCATATGCTGCATACTTCCGCGCAAGAGATTTTGCAGGTCAAACTGAGACACAGTCTGGCTGTCTTGAAGTCCATTTGTTGATTCTTGAAAAAAAGCCTTCATGTTGCCGACATGCTCGCCTCGCTAGGCTTAACATGCTTAGAACTTGGTTAGAGCCAGAAGTGGAAAGGACACGCTTCGGAGAATGCCGTGGAAGACTACGATTTGCCGCTCTCATTTATCCTGTTGTGCTCTCCCAAACTGCGCAATGCAATCTGACCGCAAACTTTCCGCGGGCGCCTTTGCCTTGCTGGATCCCTGCAACATGTTCCAGTAACGATACTGATGGTTGACACATTGTCAGGTATCAAGGATGACCCCACGAAAAGTTGTAGCCCTTGTAAAAAAAAAAGCCTCTGGCTACCTTCATCCAACCTAGAGAGAGAGGGAAAATGGCGGTCACACCGTCAATCTCTGACTTGCGCAAAGCCCTGAGCTCAAGAAAGCCTGCGCGCCCAGCTGTCCCCTTTTGGCATTGAGCGGCTGGCCGGCGTGCGGTTGCGTCTGTCCTGATGCCAGATCCACTCCTGTCGCTTCTCAGTCCGAAGAACCGAACCGAGCTGCGCTCAGATTGCGAGCAACCACTAACTGTAAAATCCAGCACCGACACCTGCACCCTCTTGTGTGGCGCTGTCTGACTGCCTGCCACCCGCGAAAAGTGGATACGCCAGTCTATGCAGATGCTGGTTGCTAAGCCCGCAGGCACCAGCACTATCTAAAATGGTACTATGAACAGTGCGTCTCCTCATATGAGATGAGCAAAGTCCCTCGGGAATGAACACGTTGCAAGGCAGACATCCATCTGTAGGATGTTAATCAGAAGGGGCTCTCCTCCTCCTCCTCCTCCTCCTCCAATAAATCCAGTGCGATGTCATGGCCTGCCCGCGCTAGCCGCAAACGGCAACCCTTTTTAAAACAAGCACAATCACCATGGCACCAGCCGTGGAGTGTGACCAACACATCACGTCAAAATAACACGCTCGTTAGAAACCTGATGGCTTTTTGGTTTTTCTCCCTGACTCCAGCCTTCAGAAATGCCTGGACAGGCAACTACCTTCAGCACCTGGTTTGGCCGCAGGATCACTTCGGAGACGCAATTTCGCACGCAATACTCGCTGAACTCCTTGGCTGGTTTCGATCATGCTGCTGCTTTGAAAAGCACTCTCAAGCAAATTCAGATACATGCTGTGAGACAAGGTCGCTTGCAGACTTCTACCCAGTCGATCTAAGATCAAGCAAAGATTACATGCCGGGGAGGTTGATTGCCTTTTGGTGAAAGCTAGACACACTGCAGTCGTGCCAACAGTCCCTCATACTGTATCTCTTGTGCTTCCAGCACACTCAGCGCTCTTGTCTCATGAGCCCCAATAGCTAAGCCTGACGGGATAGCCTGTATCTTGGCTGTCAATCGATGCTCAACCACTTGCAACCGGACTGCTGAGATCTCGCAAACCCAGTGGGCTGTCAGGCGGATGACGCCAGCACCAGCAGAACGTGCCACTTGGAAGTGGCGTGTCCAACTGGTGAAAGTCCGCCAATAGATCTTGGAATGAGTCAAGAAAGCCAATGTGCACAAACTACGCACATGGCCCCAGTCTTAAGGCCCTGACATACATGCCCTCCTCCAGGGTGAGGTTCATCTCTGGCATGCCGCCTCGGTTTGATCGCTTTGAGAGTAAGGGCAACCGCTCTGCCGGACATTGTCTTGGCCAATGATGTCGGAATGCCAGGCCGACAAAGTGTGTCTTCCCTGTCGCGCATGTTCCTTTCAGAAAGGAAAGAGTTGTCCTGTCTCATCAAACAGCCCGTCTCAGAACGCTGTGTAAGGACATGCTCACTAGCTAACGCGCAAATGATCCCGCTGTTTAACTTGGGATGCACCCCAAAATTGCTAATATGATGGTGTATGTCTGGTTCCCATTTAACTTGCAAGGCACAATAGAGGAAGGTCGCCTCGGGCTGCCGCTGCGTCCGCTTCTCCACTGCCTGCTGGAAGTATCGCAGGAAGAGCCCAGCCTCTTGGAGCTGGCGCTCCCGGACCAGAGACCCCAGCAGTGCCCAGAGGTTGGCACTCGGCGGGGCAGGGGGATGGTCATAGGCATAAGCGACCAGCGCAAAGAGCTCGTCCAGCTCCAGGCCGAAGGGTTTGGCTTTGCCGTGAGCCTTCATGATGGAATTTGCATAGTTGCCACATTCCTTGTCTACGGCATGGAACTATGCAAACTCCCACGTCGTGGTTCCACCCGAACAAAACCAGAACAAACCTGAGATTGCCTACCCCCTTTTTGCACAAATCCAGGTGTTGGTTTCAGACGGCTCATGCCACGCCAAGGCTCCTTCCGTGCCACGGCTCCCCAATTCTTCCGCTTGTCTTGCAAGTGCAACTTCATGAGCTGCTCGAAACACTCCGCACACTTCTGGCCTTCCTCCAAGTCCGGCAGAATGAAGGCGCCGTACAGCGACGGCTGCAGATCTTGGGTGGAAGCCACGAAGCGCTCCAGCCAACATCTGCGAGCCTAGCACGCCGCAGTTCAACGCATTCCCACAGCTGTAGCTGGCAGGCTGTTACACCAAGATTAGGAAGTCCCTTCGTGCAAAGCGCATAGCCACGTGCTGCTTTAGCGCTACTGTGGTCAATTGACAATATGCAGCTCTGGCAACGAAGACGCTACCAAGGCGAGAGGCTTCTCAAAGGGAACTTTCAGGCTGTCACGGGGTACCAATCCGCCTCGCCCATTGTACATGCTGATTTGTGGTATCTGGTGGGAGTTCATTATGTTGCGTAGCTTTCTTGACTGGGAGGAACGCCTCTCCATCCATCTAATTCTGCTTTCCGACCTCGAAGCAAGGTATCTGCGTCATGGATAAGCTCGTGTTCCCCCCCCGCCCGACGTGACGCGTGTATTATCCATGTGCCGGATGTGTATGTCGATATACAACCATTTCCAAACGGCCGCCAGCCCAGTTCCCCAGTCACCCGCGGCAGGAGAATTCGTTCCGTAATTCCGGGGATGCCATTTTCGGGCCCCGAAGCCACAAAATCAAGTTTAAACCACTGAACATCCACTGAACAACTGGGGTATTGCTAACTTAGGATTTATCCGGAGGACCGTACCAATGTTAGTTAGTAAGGAAGCTATCAATTTTCGGGGTTCCTCTGCCTAGTAGGGTCCTCGGGACTAATCCGAAGCCAACATCTGGAAACTCAACCAAGACACTGCTACGCCCTTGGCGAGTCCATAGAAACCAATTCCTGCCTGTTTGAGGGCCTGGCAAAAACCAGAACGGACCCTTTGGCCTAAATAACACTTTGCGTCTGCAAGCAGTCCTGCGAAAACTGTTCGTCTTTTCTGCGAAGCTCCAAAAACTCCTGCCAAATGCTGCCGGAGAAAGGGGGAGGGGGGAGCGAGAACATCTTGGGCAACAGCTTCAAGCTGTTATTGGCACACTCCCCTCCCCTAGTGATCAAGTCATCGAAAACTCACAGCAAAGCCAATTCTGAGGCAGCGATTGCTAATAGGGCGGCACTATGATCGGAAGGAACATTGGAATGCAAACAGCAACAGCTACTGGTAACAAATCGGGGTTGATGGCCATTTTGGGAAACCCGACAAACGATTTGCCAACCGGAACTGAGTAATCCCGAAGTCAGGCACCTGCATTGTGGGTTGGCTCGTGTTGCCCCCCCCCAAACGCGAGCTGAGTGTAGTTTGTGTATTCAAAGGCTCCTGCTTGATGAGGAAACTCAGAAACTCTGCGGGGCTCTTTGCCACAGCGGCTGCATCCAGCACCGCGGCTGCGTCCACTTGTGCCTCTGAGAGGTGGTGCAGGAGAAAGGCAGCGGCCTGGAACTCCGGCGAGTCGTCCCAGGTCTGTCCGCCCTTAGCAACTTGGCGCTGGCACCTCCAAACAAGTGCCAAAAATGCTTTTCCAATAAATGTCGATTTAGGAGGCCAAACCATGAGACACATTCTTCTCTCATGATCATGACCCACTTTGGCTTTCAAGTGACTGACAGCCCCATTCCAGTTGTTTAGGCCCTGATATACTTCCGTGGAATTCTCACATAAAAAATAAAAATAAAATAAAAAACAAAAATCGGATGGACACTGAACACATAAGCAACAGCAAGCACATTGTACAGATACGCAAAAATGACATTGGCTGAAGAGCCACCCAAGTCGTCTCCGCCAACTTCTCAAGCCTCGTAAGGAAAGGCATGTCCCGCATCAGGACCCTCCAGTCCTTTCAGGGTCGGCGATCCCATCTCAAGTCTCAACCAAGAAACGCTGTCAGACATCAAACCTTCATTTCCGAGTAAAAGGCTAGGCCACTCCTCAGCCTCCGCGAAGCGGAGATCACCTCTCTGCAGCCATCCTCTTGCACTGCGCTCGCCCTCGAAGACGTGCAGCCGCGCTGGGCTCACCCCACATTGCTTCGCCACCAATTCGCGCACATGGTCAGCAGTGAGCTTCACGACCGGCCCTGGAGGGGCTGAGATGTGGGACGGCGAACAGAGTCACTCGATTCCGTAAGCTGCATCCTTTAAAACAAAAAAAAACCCGCTGCATCCTTTAAAAAAACTCGCAAACACTTCCTGTGTCCTGAAACTTGCCTGGTGCCAGAACGCTTCCCTTGAGGACCGCAGAGTCAGCATGTTCCCCACCAAGGACTATATGAAACTCAATGTTGGATGTTTCGACAGAGAGGAAAGCGAGGACCCGTGTCTGAGGTACCCCTTGACGCATTGTGGTGGCTTCTCAGGTGTTCATTGACCGCTGTTTCAACTGGTTTCCCTAAGCCGGCAAACAACATGTCCAATCCAAAAGCTAACCAAAGGGTGTCCCCGATTGGGTTGATCCCCATTTTCCGAAACCAGCGTTGTTCCCTGAAAGAAGGATCGTTGGAAAGAACGGGGAAAAGCTTCCTCGCCTGTCGCCAGATTGGCCGCGCCCAGCTCGCGCACCAACTTCCTTCGAGTGGCCATGGACAAAAAGAAAGGACTTCCCCGCTGTTGAGGCTTCCTGGCAGGGCAGCCCCGTAAAAATGAAGCAAAGCAACAGGACACATGGTTCTGCAGCAAAAACCGCGAGGAGAAAGGAGGCACCGAACCCCCAGCCGGGCTTCAGCAGCCCCCCGGGCACGGCAGCCTGCGGCACCTTCTGCAGCCTCGCAGCGTGCCAAGTTGCCCCGGACTGGCGCAGCATCTGCGTCCAAGCCTCCAGCTCCTTGTGAATGCTGCGGATGGTCCTGTGAAGGTGAAATGTGGTTCTCCAGCCCGGCTTCAAGCTACTAGGTGCCCTTTTTCTCTGTTGGAAACCCCTGTTGGTTGGGTTTAAGGGGGAGCCAACATGAAACCATCCGAATCCTAAAACAAACACCCATAAGAGTTCATGAATCGGGGGCGCCGCCAAAGGGTACTCAGCAGGTACTGTACCAGGTTCCCACTTCCCCTTTTCCGAAATCCGAGCCTGGCCCAAACGAAACATGTTTTTACGGAAAATCAAGACCCTTTTCAGGTATGGGTGTTGGAGGTATGGAGGAAACTGGGGTTGTTGTTCGCACCTGACCTGCGCATATATTGGCAAATTCGCTGGTAAAATTCGATGGCCTTCCTATCTGTCGGACCAGCGATGGCAACCAAAAAGGCGTGGACCACATGAGACTTGGTGAAAGCTTTTCGCTTTGCCCATCTGGGAAAAACATGGGGGGAACGGAACTCAAGGCTTAGTTTCCTATCTCTTTTCAAGAGTTGGAATATATCCAGTGGAAGGTGTTTTGAGGGTTCAGGCCCTTGTTGCAGGGTGGACAAACTTCCGATTTCCACTCAAGGGGGGGGGTCTGGGGCTAGTGTAAATGGTGCAACTGTCCCAAGAAGCGACCGCTTCAAGTGGATGGAAAAGAACCCCGTAACCACACAATACTCCACCTTGCTTTCCAGTATAAAGGGTTATGATGTCAACCCAGAATGGATGTCAACCTGTATGTTTTTCAGTTGGCGTTATTTCAGCCCTTTACTACAAAACGGATCGATATATTTATCCCGGAAAACCCACACAACTAAAACAACCCGGGCATTTGGAGTAGGGCGAAGACTTCCCAGAATTACTAAGCAGGCATTCTCTCAGGTCATCAAAGTATCCAAATATCAAACTGACCCAGCCAAAACGTGCCTTGCGGCAGGTGCCTTGCGGCCCTGCTCCAGTCCACATCTCGGATCTTTGACCCCCAGACCAGAGTTAAACAGGTATATGATTGGCAGGGAAGCTGTTTGCGCAATCCAAAACATCAACCGGTGAACATACTACATGTTCTATTCGGTGGACAAGTGAAAGGCCAAACTCCAAAGAAACCGCCAAAGGTCCTGTCATCAAGTGTCGGCAACTGCAGCATGATCCAAATGCTGCCGGCTCCAATGTAGATCTTAGTCTCGTACTTGTTGGTCTCAGTGTCTTTCTTCGTGAAGTGGTTCTGCAGGTGCTCCAATTGGGCCAGTTGTTCTGCTGTCAACGAGGATGCGCGAATGCCATCCACGCACCATGCAGCAACGATATCGATGGTAAGCTCATAGATGAACCCTCGATTTTGCTTCGGAACCTGCTCATCCTCCTCTTTGATCACGCATGATGAAGTCAGAGGCGGCAACGGTGTAAAGTATTCTGACAACGTCTTGAAGACCTTTTTGGCTACACTGGGGACAAACAAACCAAGCAGTCAGCTGTTTTTTGAAAGGCAAGAGCCAACTGTGGAAAAGAAAAGGCGAAGAGCAAAGATGAAGGAGAACCCTGTCCCGGCAAAGGCCTACTTCCAGCTTGTCTTTCCCGAAAGTTTGCCAACTCCGGCAAGATGCATCTTTAAGATGTTTTTCGGACATCAGCCACTGCTCGCCTTCCTGGCTGGAATATGTGTGACGAGCTTCCACCACACATTTGCGAACAACCTCTGGACATCGCGGCCGAAGGGATGATCCGACAGGGTCCTCGGCGCGCTCTTTCACATCTTCGAGCACCTGGAGGACTTCTTCAAACGATTTGCACCTTACCACCCCAAGCTCGAGCTCCCAATCAGAAAGGAAGAGTTCTTTCTTCTCGTGGAAGACTTTTGCAAAGCGCTGCAACTGCGGAATGAGGTATCGCAGCGTGTGTGCGGAGTCTTTGAAGGCTGGCAAATGACTTTTGTGATCCTGCTCCACCATCTGCTTGGTATCCTCCAACATTTGTCGAAGGATAACTCCAGTCTGATACACGTTATCCATGATGCAGTCACAATGACCATACATAGCAAACGTGTCCCGCAAGGCCTTATACTCTTCATCCTCCAAAACACGTCTTACCTTCGCGCGCTCAAAGGGCAACTTCAGCTTACGGCACTTGGCTGGGAAAAAAGCCTGGTCAGGAAGGGTGCCTGGCAATTGCATATCGGTCCGCCCACCCGTGATGTCGCGCAGCACCCGCTTTAACCGGGTGAAGAACATCACAATTTCAGAATCCTCCTCACCAGTCCAAGGCAACAAATAAAAAACTAATCCATTGAAACCATGACTAACAACACATTCATGGATCAACTCAAAAGGTTGGCTTGTGGATAAGTGAGAGTCTGTTTCAGACAGCATCATATGCATCAGTGCAGCTAGCACGAGGCTGGAAGTCCGCATACGGTGGTTAAATTGGCAGAAGTAGCCGAAGCGAAAGGTGTTGCTTTCGCTTGGCTCAGGAGGGCTTTGGTAAAGCGACTTATGTAACTCGTCTCTGCAGGAGTCCAGAAGCACCTCGCTGAGTTCAGCATTCGCGCCGTTTGGCTCTGAAATAAACCAGCCCTGAGCCTCTATCTCAATCTCAAAGCAAACAAGGAACATTGAGCCTTGCGTGACCATTACGTTAAGCAAGTATATCCCACCCCAAACCTGAATGTTTGGTGGTGGTGGAAACCATGTTGAAGTCAAAGGTTGACCAACTCAGCAGGTAAGGCACGATGACACACACATGCTCCAACTTCGCCTTCTCCACGGCGCGCACGACTTCATCCTCCAGCACGAGCTTAAGCTCGCAACTCGCAGTCCTCTCTTTGTTAATCGACTCGCCATGGCCGGCGTAGTAGACCATCATGTTTTTAATATTATTTTCTTTCATCCGTGTCGCTCCTGCAGCGAGCTTTTCTCGGAGATCCATTTGCAGGGGCATTATCTCATCGATGTGTTCAAAGTAATCGTCTTCCGGCTCTTCGAACGCCGACGCATCACCTTCCGGCTTGCTCTTAAGTTCTTCCGCAAACACCACCGGCTCTGAGCAGAAGCATATGAGTTTTGTAAATTCTGCAAAGATCTTGGCGTCACGGCATGGGTTCGCGCCATATTCGTCATCTGGGGCATTTGTGTACATCTCGCCTTTCCTCGACACGCCGATGGTCACCACCTGCCACTCGCCCGACTCATCCGGCCCATCCGACATCTTTCCGCTACGCCCGCGACTTGCAGGAAGTGGACACGTGTTCTATGGCCAATGCACTTGGAAGAACTTTGACACACTACGGCTACTGACACAGCGATTCAACTTCCCACTCAGCCGAAAGCATGTCTTTTGGGCACGAGAGCGCATGATGTCAACCCCTGACTTCTATATTTACCGGAGAACAATGAAAAACAAAAGCATATGATATTTGGAGTAGGGGCTGGGTTTAAAGGGAAGCCAACACAAAACCATCGAGTCGTTATTAAAGTTTGGTGGGTCCGAATTCTCAATGTTTGGTTGCATGCTCTAAAACAAATCGGCGCCTTGGCATGGTTGGTTCCCGTTCCCTCAGCATCGACCCTGAAGCCTAGGTTATAACTCACTAAGAGGTTGTAACGGCAATCGTTCGGATATAACCCATGTAAAAAGGCATCCCCTGGATCGCCAGTTGTTTTTCTTTTGTTCTCCCATGCACTTTACCCCAAAAACCAGTAAAGTGACTGAAAAAAACTGTTTTTTTTTTTCGCAACTTGGCTATCTAGGTAGGTTATAACCCACTAAGAGCTTGTAACGGGCGGTTATAACCCACGTAAAAAGGCAGCCTGAAGTGGGGTTAACCTTGTTGTTAGGCGGGTTTTCTCACCCAGGCGTTGGGTAACCACTTAAGAATCTTGAATCGAAGATCCGAGGCCCTGCTTTTCCTTTTTGAGGTCCAACGCCTAGGTGCTGCAGCCGCTTCCATCGAGGGTTCTTTCTGTAAATGGAATCAGTTTCTGAAAATTGGTTTAAAATGCAGGGTCTCCCTCCTCCCTCCTGGTGAGTCTAGTTCCATTGAAAAACTAAAGGCAAAATTGCAGGTTGCCTACCTCTACTGAGAACTGGGTCAAATATTGACCAGTAAGCGAGTCCACCCAAAGTGAGCGCCCGTTTTAATTTAGCTGACTTTGGTGTGAGAAATCCATGAAACAAGGCGGAATCGCGGCGGTCCTTTTGAGGGGACCAGGTTCGACGGCGAAGTCATCTGGAACAAAAAGGGGTCTCTTTGCACTCGGATCAGAATGGCATGCCAGGAGAAAACTGGAAAAACGCTTTCTCCCTTCAATATCAGGTTCAGAGGAATCTCGCTTCAAATAGGAAGAGAGGAAGTCGCTGACCCCATCCAAAACGTGACCAGGTTGTCTCGGTCAAAGCAAAGAACCTTGACAAGGACAATCAAATAGCGCCCTGTGCCATGATACAACAAAGGTAGGATACGCCCAACTGGCCCTCCAAGCATTTTGCTCTCGGGGGTCAATCACTAGATGTTGACTGTAAAAGTCGCAATCTACAGGGGATCAATCACTAGATGTTGCTTGCAAATGTTGCAATTTGCTGGTGGTTGTGTTCTCTGGTCCCAAACAACGTGCGGTGGATGCCTGCCATATTCAACCATTGCAATCTACAGGTGATTGCATTGCCACTTTTGGAGGTTCCAGGGAAATGGCTCGGACACCCGGTCTCAAACACTGAGACTCGACATGTTGAGGGCCTTTGGCGTGTCGAGTGGGCGGATGAATTTTGGGGCCCAAAACGGTGAGACTGTCCCTTGCAAGCCTCAAGAAGGACACCGCCTCACGAAAACACGACAAAACGTTACCAAACATAAGATGAAAATTCTGGGCCCCGTTTGTGGACCTTAAACTGTTCATGTTTTGAAAAAACCAACGTCTGCCATGGCCCAGGCCAAAAAAAGCCGCCGCCCGAAGCCCTCGCCGCCCGCCCGAAGCGGAAACGGGCTTGCCGGCCGAGGCTCCGCGATGGGCTTGGCATCAAGGCTCCGAGTTTTTGTCTGCCCCCAACTGGAGCCCAAGCGGCGATCATGTGGACCCGAATCTAACTGAGGGGGGGGAGCTGAAAAAAGGGCGGGGTCGCAGCTGCCTTCCTTGATAAGGCCCTATCCACGGAAAACCAGGGGCGGGGGGTAAATCTGTTATGGCCTTTTTTGGCCTTGTCCATTCAAATCTTAGGCTCCCCCCCCCCCCGCCCCGAGGGGTCCACGACAATGCCCAGCTGTGCGGAACCAAAAGCCGGAGATAGATGGGCTTAGAATCCAACCCTCAAACTGTTTGAGCCAATCCTCCGATATCACGATCATACTTTTTCCTGGTGGCCGACCTACGAAACAGAAATTGAACATATGTTTGTTTGGTGTACTCTGGGGTAAACCATCGATCCTCTACTCCAAAGAAAGACCCGCTTAGTTCAGGGCACTGTGGGAAAACTTGGTGTTCCCTGGCAAAAACTTCCTGTGCTAGTCAGGAGTTGACATCGCGCCTTACAACCTCCGGCTTGTAAACAAAAAAAACTGGACCCTCACAATTCCCTGAACAATTGGATACTGCAGTTCTTTCTGGAAACCCCCAGCGCTCAAGCCAATGGATTGCTTCGTTACGGGCCTACGTGGAGCTTGGTTTCTTGGCCGGTTCCGGGCTCTCGGACCAGCCCGCGTCTGTTTGAAGAGCCCGGTCGTGTGGTTGAGAATTAAGGAAAGGGGGCCCTGTCTCAGTCCAGTGAACCGGGGAAGTGAAAGGGCACCCGGTCTTTGTTGGTCATGGTAGGGGAACGGGGAAACCAATCAACAAAAAGGGAAACAAGGGCATTGGAGGACTGAGCTGTATTGCCAACCTTGGCCAACATTTCTGCGCCAGCGCCAACGCCTAGGCCTTTGCAAGGGGCACCAGATTCTCGGGCGACCTTACAAGCATGGGTGTGGGCTCTCCCAATTGCTTAAGAATCTGCTTTACTTCCCCCCTGTTGGTTTTGATGCTGGACTCTATCACTGCTGCATCTTTCTTTCCAGGGGACTTAAGCAAGTGGAAGTACAGTTAACGGTATCGAGCTCCTGGACTTTAAACTGTTTATGTCTGGACCATTTTAGTGGGAAATAAACAGTTCCCGGACTTTTCTTGGCCAGCCCACTCTTGAATTGAGTTGGCATAGGCTCATCGAAGCTCAAAGTCTTGAGGAGGTATGCCCCCATTGCAATAGTTGGGGAATCAACCGTACCTCCACAGAGCTACCCTCCCACCAACAAATGGGGGCGCCGCAAAACGGTTGACCCCTTGGTAAAATCACGCGTTCGGCCTGCTTTGTTCAACAAGGCCTTCCCGTTCGGCCTGCTTTGTTCAACAAGGCCTTCCCTTCTTTGTAATCTCTTCTCCCTACTCTCCACGGGTCTTGATGGATTTCGGGCTTCCAATATACCATGGATAGAAGAACGTAAATTTTGCTCCGGTTGGTAATTCGGTGGTGTATCCGAGTATGAACAACTCGGGCTCCATCCCAACTGGCTCGATTCCGATTTTGTCCACAGTAGCACCGCCAGAAACCAGCGGAGATGGACTACCTGGACCCTCAAAACCCTGAAAAAGGGAATGCACCCACCATATGTTTACGGCTCTTTCGGGGTAGCTCTTTCGGGTCGATGGCAAAAACCGATGCCCTGCAAGCCTCTTTTCAGACTCCTGCAGCGCTCAAGCAGGGTCCCCTATATTTCGCCTTTGAAAACAACCAGCCCACCCAAAGGAAGCTTACCTCAAAAGACCCGGTGACGTGTAAAGCCATCTGAGGCTAAAGTAAGCTGGACTACCTGTACTTTTGCACGGTACCACATGCTGGGTGGGAGGGAAACTCCTATCGCACCTCTTTAATCAGCTCCCCAACTGCGGCCTAGCGCGTGTCAGACTGCCTTAGATCCAGGGAAGCTGCAAATGTCCGTGCTTGGCCCTGTTTAGCCTTACTTAGCCTTCCTGAGTTGATGGGCCAAAATAAGTCCAAACGTTTTGTTTACCACTAAGTGGTCTTCCCAAACAGTGACTAAAGTCCGAACTGTTCGCAAGGAGTGCACTCTTTGCATTGCTTACTTTACCCTGGTCAAGGCCGAAGTTCCCTACTTTCCGTGGCCAAGGGCCTATTGAGAGAGCCAAGGGCTTGGCTTGCTTCATTGTGCCTGAACCGTTGACGCCCCTTTTCACTACCTGGACCTTGAAACCACCCATCCCTAAGGGTCATGACCCCGGGACCCAATGCACACCCCTAGGCCCTCCAATGCAAACCCCGACCAATTCCTCAAGGACCCTCAAAAGCAACCCCTTTTGAGGATTGGCCCAAAATCAATCAAAACCCTTGTATAAAGGGGATTTTTCATTAAAAAAAAAAAAAAACTCCTTGTCTAGGGCAATATGCCGTTGTGGGCACTTTAAAGGTCCCAGCCCACGCAGCCAGGCGGGAGACCCCTTTTCCCGTCGCCCCGTTCGAACCCGCCACGTCACGTGCACCTCGGGCCAGGGAAACGATGGGAAACGCAGGTTGCGCTTTACGGGATCTGCGGAACCGGATGTGGGGGTCCTGGGGTTTGGCTTTGCAGAACAGGATCCAACGCACACACACACACACACACCCCACAAAAGCGCCTAGATCACCAAGTTGCGATCGCCTTGTTCAGTCACTGTAACGCGATCGGTTTTTGATTTTTTGGGTGCATGGAAGAAAAGAAAAAGCAAAGCCTCTGGCGATCCAGGGCCCTGTAGAGAACTCCTAGATACAAAGGGGTAAGGACCACTAAAACGGATCGGATGCTTCATCTGGCCAAGTGTCACATTACTTCGAGTGAGCAACATGCAAACCTGGAGCTATTCGAGCTGCCGCTCTTCGGATCTTTACCTCGCACGCGACGACCAGAGCGCCAGCTGCTGAGCAACCTCTTGAAGGCAAGCGCTGAGATCAAGCACCATCTGATAGTCACTATCTATGCTATGAAGCAGCGCCAGGCGTTTGCCTTCTCTGTGTTGAGCCGGCCTCCAGCAAGCTCTGCGCAACTGCCTGATGGCCTTGCTCAGCAGCAAGATGCAACGGTGTGTCGCCACGATTGTTCGGCTTCTCTTTGTCAGCACCGGCCTCCAGCAAGCTCTGCACAACTGCCTGGTGGCCTTGCTCTGCAGCAAGATGCAACGGTGTGTCGCCAATAGCGTTCGCCTTCTCTTTGTCAGCACCGGCCTCCAGCAAGCTCTGCACAACTGCCTGGTGGCCTCGCTCAGCAGCAAGATGCAACGGTGTGTCGCCATCAGCGTTCGCCTTCTCTTTGTCAGCACCGGCCTCCAGCAAGCTCTGCACAACTGCCTGGTGGCCATGAAAAGCAGCAAGACGCAACGGTGTGTCGCCACGATTGTTCGCCTTCTCTTTGTCAGCACCGGCCTCCAGCAAGCTCTGCACAACTGCCTGATGGCCACCCGCAGCAGCAAGATGCAACACTGTGTAGCCACAAGGCTTCACCTTCTCTTTGTCAGCACCGGCCTCCAGCAAGCTCTGCACAACTGCTTGGTGGCCAAGCACTGCAGCAAGAAGCAACGGTGTGTAGCCAAAAGCGTTCGCTTTCTCTTTGTCAGCACCGGCCTCCAGCAAGCTCTGCACAACTGCCTGATGGCCACCCGCAGCAGCAAGATGCAACGGTGTGTCGCCACGATTGTTCGGCTTCTCTTTGTCAGCACTCTCTTTGTCAGCACCGGCCTCCAGCAAGCTCTGCACAACTGCTTGGTGGCCACCCGCTGCAGCAAGAAGCAACGGTGTCTCGCCAAAAGTGTTCGCTTTCTCTTTGTCAGCACCGGCCTCCAGCAAGCTCTGCACAACTGCCTGATGGCCACCCGCAGCAGCAAGATGCAACGGTGTGTCGCCACAAGGCTTCACCTTCTCTTTGTCAGCACCGGCCTCCAGCAAGCTCTGCACAACTGCCTGGTGGCCTTGCTCTGCAGCAAGATGCAACGGTGTGTCGCCACGATTGTTCGCCTTCTCTTTGTCAGCACCGGCCTCCAGCAAGCTCTGCACAACTGCCTGATGGCCACCCGCAGCAGCAAGAAGCAACGGTGTCTCGCCAAAAGTGTTCGCTTTCTCTTTGTCAGCACCGGCCTCCAGCAAGCTCTGCACAACTGCCTGATGGCCACCCGCAGCAGCAAGATGCAACGGTGTGTCGCCACAAGGCTTCACCTTCTCTTTGTCAGCACCGGCCTCCAGCAAGCTCTGCACAACTGCTTGGTGGCCACCCGCTGCAGCAAGAAGCAACGGTGTGTAGCCAATAGGGTTCGCCTTCTCTTTGTCAGCACCGGCCTCTAGCAGGTACTGCACAACTGCCGGGTTGCCCCGCAATGCAGCAAGATGTAATAAAGTGGCGGCCTCATTGTCTGCCTTCTCTTTCTCACCGTCGGCATGCAGCAAGCACAGCACACATGCCTGATGGCGTTACCCCCGACGTAAGCTAAGTACGGCGCTCACAAAGAAATACCATAATCTCTAAAAATAGGTCAACTGGTAATGTTTACACTGGATTAATAACCCCTTCTGAGAAGGTCGAGAAGGTTTCTGGGCTCCCGACAAAAAAAACCTGGCCCCCAAAAATACCTGCAACCTCTCAATCGGCCAAAGTTCTGGCCTAGATCCAAAAAGGATCCTTTTTCTGATTTCGGCTTTTTTTGGAAGTTTCGGCTGATCTTGTTTCCTGTCGGCGTTTTTGTGGCAGGTGACGTTTTTGGTTTCTGTCGGGCGTGGGCGGGGCGGGGGCTGCCTGCCTGCCTTCAGTTCGGCCCTTGGTGGCTCCAACAGCGCGTGGCCGACCTCTTACAACTTTTTTCTGCCCACGCAGGTTGGTGAGACCTAGCTTGCTGCTTTGCAAGGCTAACACCAACCGAAATTGGGGACCCATCTTTGATTGATTTCAAGGTTGATAAAACAAAAATCCCTCTGCCCCGACCCTTCCAGAACACACAGGCGGGCGACCCGTGGTTCTATGCTGACCTTCAGACTGCTTGCTTTGTGCACGGGCATCAACATTGTTCAGAATTCCACCTTAGTTTCGCGACTTCCTGCGTGTGACTCACGATTTCCAGCCAAGAGCGGCATCCATACTAATTAGTCTTGTCCCCTTGCTGCTGACACCTGCGCGGCTTTGCAATAAACACATGCACGCATGTGGCTGAAGTGGCCGACTGGTTGGCTACGCGCGGGCTAAGATAGTGTGACTGCACACGCTTCGTGGAAACAAGCAGCAGGCCGCCCTACAGTGCGTGAATTGCGCAATTTCTGCAATGTTATGTTTTTTTCAGTAAATTTATGTTTTTTCAGCCGGCCGAAATCGGCGGAATTAGGCGGGAAATCGGCGGAATTAGGCGGGAAATCGGCGGAATTTGGCGGGAAATCGGCGGAATTTGGCGGACAACATTTTTCACAAGTGTCGTAGGAACATTTATGCTTTCGAGTTGTTTGGTTGCAGCACGGTGGCTTTGAGCCTAGTGACTTAGCACAAGCAGCGGGGTTCCAACGCAGTCATGGAACGCGGCCCGTCGGCATTAAACCGCCGTAACTCTTCTGACAATCTATTTGAAATTGATGATCCTCCTCCGGGGGTTTGCTGCTCTTGCTGAAGGGGCGCTGGCTTTCCGAATCGTTGGGTTGAGCTTCAAACCCAAGTACCACTCGATGCACCACAAAGCATTTAGGCGTTGGAACCGGGAGCACCCCGTCTCCCATCGCGACTGTATGCGAGGCTGCGAGGACCTGGTAGGAAAAACAGCGAGGTTAAGCCGGAGAGTATCAACAAGACAGTCTGGAAGGCGAGTTTTGGAACGTGTGTTCTTAAAGACCCGTGCAGTGTTTCGGAAGCACATCCTAGTCCGCCGCCAACAAGGGAAGCGTGTGCGATAACGTTTTGCAAGAGAGCTTCGAAGAGCTAAATGGCAGAAAAGGCGCTTTATTGTTTGTGGGTTCCTTCACATACCCCAGCCCCAAAAACTTGGCCTTGACTGGCTGGTCTTGTGTCGAAGTGGCGGCCCAAATCGGCAAATATTTGTTCTCATCGGCGTTTTTTGTTGGGTTTCGGCTGTTTTTTGGGAAATCGGCTGAAAAACAGGCCGCCAATCAAATCGGCTGAAAGTTCAGCCGCCGGAGGCTCTAGGTATGGAGGTCTACTCTAGTATTGGGCAATACTACTTTTGAATTGGGCAATACTACCTTAAGAATTGGGAATAAGAGTCCCAGAGCTCCAGATGAATTCCAACAATATCTCATCCTTGTTTCCAGTTGATTTAGTATTGCTGACTTTGATTTGAGCTTCCACTTTTTTGATTTCGTGTTGTTGGAGTTGAGGTTCCATTTGATGATCTAGTATTGGTGAATGTCAGTTTCAATTTGATTTAGTACTGGTGGATTTGAGTTTCCATTTGATTTAGTATTGCTCGAGCCTCCGATTGAATTGGATTTGGGTGGCCAGTTGATTCAGTATTGTTGGATTTGAGTTTTCCATTTGATGTAGTATTGCGGATTTTGAGCAGGCCTGGAGGGGGGGGGGGCAAATAAACAGCATGGGCACCGATGTCATTGACATGGGCTGGGCACTCATGTGGGGTACCTCATGTGACAATCTCATACCGGCACTTTTTAAAAATAAGTTCATAAAGAAATTGCACTTTCAGAAGGCCAAACATTTTTTTGAAATGGAGTTCTGCGTGATGTTCGTGCTGGCTTGGCAATGCTTCGTGCCTGCGCTGGTACTGGTGCAGAGCTGGCACTGGCAGCTGTTCTTGGCGTTGCAAAGCAAATGGAAAGCACATGTCAGCAAGGTTTAGGTGCAGCAGAATGGAAAAATGAGAGCAGCTGTATCACCGGGGATTCTGGGGGATTTGAACTGTTTGTCCGGATTTTTTGGCTTTCTTGTGAAGTCCGGCTTAATTTGTGTGTGTGTTTTTTTTTTTTTGCGAAAACACTTGCTTAGGTGAAGTCCAGTTTTTCAAACAGTGTAGAGTATTGAGGTTTTTGTGGGGGCCGGCTTGATACCATTACTTGAATCCAGCGTTGGCATTATCTTGTACTACCTGCCGACCGGCCCGGCCCGGCCAGCGCTAAACAAACTTTAAGACGGCCCGGTCTCCACATATTGATTTGTAGACACCATCTCAGATGCCCAGTGGCCATGGGGAAGGCCGTCCCACTAAGGGGAAGGGCAAAGCATGAATTAAATCTACTAAACGCATGTGGTGTGCGCTAGCAAAAGGCAGTCACGTTCCCGCCGAAAAAGGGCGGGGGCCACAAGAACTTGAAAGGAATCGGAACCCTTCCCCAAAGAAGCGGAAAAAGGGGCTCCACTGGGCAACTGGGCCATATGGCCATGGGTCAAAATCCAAATCGTACCCCCAATGAACATCCCAATCCCCACTAAAATAGGTTCTAAAATGTGTGGTGCACCTACCCCAAAATGGTACCATTCGTTTTGACCCACAGCCATATAGTTAGTCAACAACATGTTCAAAGCGCCTGCTTGACGACCCACTTCAGGAACTCTTCGGCGCTGGTTGCCCCAGCGGCCGCACCCAACTCCACATCCACGTGCGCGACCAGGTGGTGCAGGAGAAACACAGCGGCCTGAAACTCCAGCGAGTCGCCCCATAGCTCTCTGCCCTTAGCAAATGACTGACGACATCCAAGGAGGGTTCGATGATGGGTTGACGCTGATTCATGCCATGGCTATATTGTTACACGCATTGTTTGCTTATGGTCATGCTTATTTTGGTTGTAACCTACTTCAGGACATCTCACAAGCTCATTGTACTTGTTTTGGCCCTTCAAGCACTTCCATGGAACGTTCCCATCCAACCGGACGGCTTTCATTACAACTGAGAACAAAACCAGCAGCACGCTGCAAATAATCGCATCACAAACACAGGCAGCAAAATCAAAACCAGGTACAAAAATGGTTAACTCAGAACCATGTAAGAAATTCAGAAGGCGGCCGCAGCTATTTATGGTTCGGATCGTCCCTTACTACAGTTCATCTACCGGGTTTGGATTGTGACTCACTGGACATTGGCTGAGGCGCAAAAGTCTTCCCCGCCAAGCTCTGAAGGCTCTCACTGAGACTGGAAGACATGCCCTGCATCAGGTCTTTCCAGTCCTTCGAGGGTCGGGGATCCCATTTCAAATTTAGGGCCGCTTAACCCGCCCTCCTTTTCCTCCTCCTAAATGACCCGCCCAAGCATGAAAATTCCTCTGAACTAACTCAGTCACCGGTATCAAAGGTTTACAGCCTTCGCTGACCAAGAACACTCGCGCCTTCAGTACTGACTTAAGGATACCCAGAACGATGTCATAAGCAAAACCTGGTGTCAAACCAGAACCATGTAAGAGAGCAACAAAGCGGATATCCACAGGATTGTCTCTCACTACCCTTCATCTACCCAGGTTTTGATTGTGGCTCAGCTAAGGGGGAGGCTACCTGGACCCTCCAAGGGCCATAAGGAAAATGGGGGGGTAACTGGACATTCAACATACCTGGCTCTTCAAGAATGTAAGGCCTCTCCTCAGCCTCCATGAAGTGGAGATCACCTCTCTGCAGCCATCCTCTTGCGCTGCGCTCGCCCTCGAAGACGTGCAGCCGCGATGGGCTCACCCCACGTCGCTTTGCCACCAATTCGCGCACATGGTCAGCAGTTAGCTTCACGACGGGCCCTGCAGGGATGGATGGGCTGGGATTTGGGGTGGCAAACTGATCCCCTGGGCTGCATTGTAAAACAAATACATCGTGCCTAACAGTTCCGGTCTTCCGAACCTTGCTCGGTGACAGAAGCCATGCCTCCCTTCAGAACCACGGAGTTGGTATGCTTCCCACCCAAAGATTGCACCACGATTTGTTCCGAACAAAGGAAAGCGAAGACCCGTATTGACGCATTTTGGTGCGGCCAAACGACATGTTCGAAGGCAACACCCCACAACATCCCAGGGGTTGATTCACAATTGTCCAAAACCAGGTGTTTCACCTGGGTTTTTGGATGATTTCCTGAAAAGAAGGATCCTTGGTAAGAGTGGGGAATCTTCCTCGCCTGTCGCCAGATTGGCCGCGCCCAGCTCGCGCACCAACTTCCTTCGAGTGATCGACACAAAAATAAAGGACTTCCGGCTCTTGAGGCTTCTTGACAGGGCAGCCCCGTAAAAATCAAGCAAAGCAACAGGACACATGGTTCTGCAGCAGAACCCACGAGGAGAAAGGAGGCACCGAACCCCCCAACTGGTTGCAAACCGGGCTTCAAAAGCCCCCCGGGCACGGCAGCCCGCGGCACCTTCTGCAGCCTCGCAGCGCGCCAGGCGGCCCCGGACCGGCGCAGCATCTGCGTCCAAGCCTCCAGCTCCTTGTGAATGCTGCGGATGGTCCTGTGAGGGTGCAACGTGGTTCTCCAGCCCGGCTTCAAGCTACTAGGTGCCCTTTTTCTCTGTTAGAACCCCCTTTTGGTTGGGTTTAAGGGGAAGCCAACATGAAACCATCCGAATCCTAAAAAAAAACACCCATAAGAGTTTAGGAATCAGGGGCGCCGGCAAAGGGTACTCAGCAGGTACTGTACCAGGTTCCCACTTCCCCTTTTCCGAAATCCGACTAGCCTGGCCCAAACGAAACATGTTTTTACGGAAAAGGGTATTCAAGAGCATTTTCAGGTATGGGTGTTGGAGGAATGGAGGTTACTAGGGTTTTGGATCGCACCTGACCGGCGCACATATATATATATATATATATATATATATTGGCAAATTCGCTGGTAAAATTTGGCGCCCTTCCAACTTGAGGTATCTGTCGGACCAGCGATGGCCACCAAAAAGGCTTGGACCACATGAGACTTGGTCAAAGCTTTCCGCTTTGCCCATCTGGGAAAAACGTGGGGGGAACGGAACTCAAGGCTTAGTTTCCTATCTCTTTTCAAGAGTTGGAATTGAAGGGGGAATATATCCTGTGTGTGGAAGGTGTTTTGAGGGTCCAGGCACTTGTTGCAGGGTGGACAAACCACCGATTTCCACTGGGGGGGGGGGGTCTGGGGCTAGTGTAAATGGTGCAACTGTCCCAAGAAGCGACCGCTTCAAGTGGATGGAAAAGAACCCCGTAACCACACAATACTCCACCTTGCTTTCGAGTATCAATGGTTATGATGTCAACCCAGAATGGATGTCAACCGGTATGATTTTCAGTTGGCGTTATTTCAACCCTTTACTACAAAACGGATCGATATATGTATCCCGGAAAACCCACACAACTAAAACAACCCGGGTATTTGGAGTAGGGCGAAGACTTCCCAGAATTACTAAGCAGGCATTCTCTCAGGTCATCAAAGTATCGAAATATCAAACTGACCCAGCCAAAACGTGCCTTGCGGCAGGAGCCTTGCGGCCCTGCTCCAGTCCACATCTCGGATCTTTGACCCCCAGACCAAAGTTAAACAGGTATATGATTGGCAGGGAAGCTGTTTGCGCAATCCAAAAAGTCGGCCGGTGAACATACCACATGTTCTAATTCGGTGGACAAGTGAAAGGCCAAACTCCAAAAAAACCACCAAAGGTCCTGTCGTCAAGTGTTGGAGACTGCAGCATGATCCAAATGCTGCCGGCTCCAATGTAGATCTCGTAGTTGTCGGTCTCAGCGTCTCTCTTCGTGAAGTGTTCCTGCAGGTGCTCCAATTGCGCCAGTTGTTCTTCTGTCAACGAGGATGCGCTAATGCCATTCACACACCATGCAGTGACGATGGTAAGCTTGTAGATGAATTTGTCTTCTTTCAAATCATCCGGAACTGTGAAATCTTCTTGCTCCGAATCATCCGAATCAGCTGGATCTTTGAGCACGCATGATGCTGATTTCAGAGGCGGCAACTGTGTAAAGTATTTTGACAAAAGCTCCAAGACCTTTCTGGCTGGGACGAACAAACCACGCAGTCAGCCATTTGCCGAAAAACAGAAGAACACCGTGAAACAAGCAAGCAGGAGAGAAAGGGCGAAGGAAAACCGCTGTCCTGTACCCCAAACACCTTAAATACTTTCCCTGCAGAGGCCCAGATTCAGCTTTCCTTCTCTAAAGTTTGCCAACTTCGCCAAGATGCCTCTTGGACATGGTGAAAGGACATCAGGTCCTGCTCGCCTTCCTGGCGGTAATATGTGCGACGAGCTTCCACCACACATCTGCAAACAACCTCCGGAAGTCGCGGACGCGATGATCCAGTGCCAAGGTCCCCGGAGTCCCCGGTCACTTTTTCGATCTCCTCCAGAACGTGTTCAAACGATGTGCGCCCTGGTGTCTGGAGCCCTACCACGTCGAGCTCTCGCTTCCAATCAGAACGGAAGAGTTCTTTCTTCTTGTGGAAGACTTTTGCAATGCGCTGCAACTGCGGAATGAGGTGCCTCAGCGTATGTTTGGAGGCTGGCACGTGACTTTTGCCATCCTGCTCCACCATCTGCTTGGTATCCTCCAACATCTCTTGAAGGATAACTCCAGTCTGATACACGTTATCCATGATGCAGTCACAATGACCATATATAGCAAACGTGTTCAACAAGGCCTCATACTCTTCATCCTCCAAAACCTGCCTTACCTTCGCGCGCTCAAAGGGCAACTTCAGCTCAAGGCACTTAAGGCACTTGGCTGGGAAGAAATCCTGGTCAGCAGCCCTGGACTGAAGGGGGTCCATTTGCATGTCGGTCCGCCCACCCGTGATGTCGCGCAGCAGCGACTTCAACCGGGTGAAGAACATCGCAACTGGACAGTCCTCCTTAGCGGTGCAAGGCAATGATCTGCAAATGAAAAGGCAAATCCTTTCAAACCATGACTAACAAATCATTCAAGGATTAAGTCAAAAGGTTGAGGCTGGATAAGTGAGAGTCTTCTTCAGCCAGCATCATATACATCAGTGCAGCCAGCACGAGGCTGGAAGTCCGTACGCGGTGTTCAAACTGGCAGAAGTAGCCGAAGACATAGGTGTTTTTGTTGCTTTGGTCAGGAGGGACTTCTTGGGAAGGCGACTTGCGTAACTCGTCTCTGCAGGAGTCCAAAAGCACCTCGCTGAGTTCAGCATCCGTTCTGAACAACAGGTCATGCTGTGGGGCTCTAGAAGCCCGGCCCCATCTCAAAGGCTTTCTTCTATCCCCGAGCCTTTATCTCAAAGCAAACAGGTGACATGTGAATATATGAATTAGTCCTTCAAACCCATTAGGAAAATATACATGATATATATATATATATGGTGGACACTATTTCAAGTCAAAGGTTGACTATCTCAGCCAGGCGCGATGGCACACACATACTCCAAGTTCGCCAGCTCCACGGCGCGCACGACTTCATCTTCCAGCACGAGGCCAAGCTCCAAACTCTGAGTCCGCTCTGCGTCAATCGACCCGCCATGGCCTCCGTAGTAGACGATCATCTTCTTGATGTTCTTTTCTTTCATCCGCTGCGCTGCTGTATTGAGCGCTTCTCGGAGACCTTTTTGCAGCAATACCACCTGATCACCCTCCGGCTTGCTCTCAAGTTCTATCGCAAACACCACCGGCTCTGAGCAGAAGCATATGAGTTTTGTAAATTCTGCAAAGTTCTTGGCGTCACGGCATGGGTGCGCGCCATCTTCGTCATCTGAGGCATCTGTGTACATTTCGCCTTTCCTACACACGCCCACGACCACCACCTGCCACTCGTCCGACTCATCCGGCTCATCCGGCTCATCCGACATCTTTTTGCTAACGCGACTTCGCAGAAGTGGACACGTGTCTGGGAGGTGTTCTATGGCCACATGGACCAGGGTGACTATACTATGACTACTGACCCAGTGCTTCAACTTCCCACTCAGCCGAACGCACGGCTTCTTCACCCGAGGCCAGAGCCATTCTTCTATAGTAATGTATGCGTTGTTCCTGGTTGAAGCTGCTATTCTTCACATATTCCTTGAACAAACTGCCACGGTTGCCGGCCTTTTGCATGCTTGTTCAAGGCCCCATGCCCAAACTCTAGGCTGCGCGACTCGAATTTCCCAGATCCCAGGCAAGCCACAGCCTAGGTAACTATTGAACCGCTCCCAACTCCCCAGGCCTTTGAAATGAGTTGATATTCGAGGGCCCTGAATTGTCCCGTTCAGAGGGGTCGAAACAAGACCCTCCCTAGACGGGTGCGGTTGAGCGTCTGGGCAGTCACTCTCTTTTGGGCTTTTAAAGGCTGGCAAGCCCTCGGTTACCGCAACCAAGCCCTCGGTTGATGGATCCACTGGCTTGCGAAGAGCGTCTCTCGATCAAGCCCTTCGCAAGATGCATCGCCGACGGGCCGCCCGAAATGGACCGACCCAATTGGTGCGATCAGGCTGTAACCATGGCAACTGGCCCCAGTTGCCCCAGTCGAGTCATAGCATTGGTTACAACCAACAGGCTAAATAAGTTGAGCATCCAAGTAGTCCTGTGGCCTTTTGCGCAGAAGGGACCCCTGCGAATTGGAACCTGCAAGCAAATCAGGCACATTTGCTGGGAACTCCGCGTTGCTCCCAACACCCCTAAGAAACGGCAACCACCTGGATCGCCAGTTGCGATCGTTTTTTCCATGCACTCAAAACGACAAAAACCGATCGCAACAGTGACTGAAAAAAGCGAAAAAGCAACTTGGCGATATCTAGGCATGGCTGAATGGGTGCTATAACAAGTCGGTTCGACCGTGTGTCACACAAATCGGCATGACTGTCCCGACGAGATCGTTGCCCAAACCCTAGCCCAAGACCTGAAATATGAGGGCCTTGAACCCCCTCTGGGCCTAAGGTCTTGGGCCGGGGAAAGGAACTTCACAGGAAGTGCGATGAGAAAAGAGCAACGGCCACGGGAAAGCTCCAAGGCAGCGCACAAGGCCTGTTGACAGTTGGTGCGACATGGACAGAGACTTGTCCAGGTTTCGCTTCTTAAAGGAGTCCACCATTTTGAGGAACCCTTAGGGAGAAACAAATCCGGATTTCTAGGGGTTGATTCCTTGTCCATTCTTTTCAGCCATCGTTCTTTTCAAAAACCGATCGCCATTTTCCCAGGGTTCTTGGTGGTTTTCTAGAAAGATTCAGATCCCTGGAAAGAATCCGGACATGGAAGTTACCCCCAAGAGAACCGATCTTTCCACTTGAAACCTGAGTCCCGAAGGAACTTGGCCAACCGAAATCGGCGCCGGTCAAAACTCCGCGGCAAGGTCTCTCCCAGGGCTCTCTGTGGATGGTTGCGACATCCGAGACACAACGAGATGAGTTGCCATGGTTGAAACCCTAACGCTTGTTGGTACCGGGAGTCTCCATGACCCCTAGAACAAGGGGTCATGACTCATGACACCTTAATTTTGGGCATGGAGACTCTAGGTATTTACCTTGGGGAAGTGCCTTGCCGAATTTCGCAACCATCCACAGGTCACGGTCAAGTTTGTTCAGTTGAAAACCCTTAAGGCTCACTTTGGATTGGCCCGAAAGGTGATATGTACAGCCAAAGGAGGGAAACACGGGGTTCGGAACCTTGGCACAAGGATTCAGCAAGTCAAATGACCTCAGATAGCGGACCGCATGTTGTTAGACAGTTGCAAGGAAAACCAAATTGACGACAACCACTTTAGTGGTCACTACTTTCCAAAAAAATCAAACAGGTTCCCTCTTTCCCCGTAAAGCAAGCGGATAGATAGTGTCATACTGAGGCGAATCTGGGCGCGTTCTAAACGTAGAAACTCCCCGGACAATTTTCAAGGGAGCGCCCAAAAAACGGATGATTCCCAAGGGAGCGCCCAAAAAACGGATGATGATTCTCAAGGGAGCGCCCAAAAAACGGATGATTCCCAAGGGAGCGCCAAAAAAAAAGGTGATTCCCAAGGGAGCGCCAAAAATACGGATGATGATTCCCAAGGGAGCGCCCAAAAAATGGATGATTCCCAAGGAAGCGCCCAAAAAACGGATGATTCCCAAGGGAGCGCCAAAAAAACGGATGATGATTCCCAAGGGAGCGCCACAAAAACTGATGATTCCCAAGGGAGCGCCCAAAAAACGGATGATGATTCTCAAGGGAGCGCCCAAAAAACGGATGATTCCCAAGGGAGCGCCAAGAAAAAAGGGTGATTCCCAAGGGAGCGCCAAAAATACGGATGATGATTCCCAAGGGAGCGCCAAAAAAACGGGTGATTCCCAAGGGAGCGCCAAAAATACGGATGATGATTCCCAAGGAAGCGCCCAAAAAACGGATGATGATTCCCAAGGGAGCGCCAAAAAAACGGATGATTCCCAAGGGAGCGCCCAAAAAACGGATGATGATTCCCAAGGGAGCGCCCAAAAAAAACTGACTTTTGTTTGGCAAGATGGTGGAGTTTTCAAAAGCCCTACCCACACCTGGAAGTAGAATTGCTGCGCTGCTGGGGTTTTGGGCGCCGATCAAATGGGCGGTGAGAAACATGAGACACACCCAGAAACTAAGCAACTCACAGGCTAGCACTCCAAATACCCCTTGCCTTTGCTTAGCAGTTTCGGAGAAAATAAACAAGAAAAACAATCGGTCTTCCACGGCAAATCCAACTCCTTTTTAGTCAGAGGTTCAAATGATACTGAACAAAAAAAGGCTTGGAGGAGAAAGAACAACCCCACTGCGCACTCAGATTGGTTCACTCGAGCTCTGGTTCACTCCCGAACTTCCGACTTTGGATCTGGGGCGCCCGCTTGCAGCGCGCCAAATCCTGGCCGCTAGCCTCTGGCGGTCGCCCGGTTTGGGCTTGGAGTTGAATCAATCTGCCTGGATCGCCAGTTTCTGGTTTTCTCCAATCTACCCTTATTCTAACCTAGAAAATGCAAACCACATGTTACTAGCTGTGCCTAGATCGCCAAGTTGCGATCGCTGTTTTTGAGTCACAGTACCGCTGCATGTGTTTTGCGGGTTTTGAGTGCATGGAAAAAGAAAAACGGAAAAGCAACGGGCGATACAGGTGGTGTTTTATGGACCTAGTTTTGAACAACCCAGCCTAGGACAGGGATCCTTACGTTATACACCTGAACATTGCAACTTGTAAATGGTGGCGTTCCTTTATTTTGGTGTTGAAAAAACAACATGTGTCAAATCGATGGTCAACATTTGTATCTTTGAAGGAGCCCTGTAGGCCCAGCCTAGGACGATCCACCAATTTCTTCAAACCCACCGAACCCACCGTCAAATCGGCGCGCGACGTTTCCAACTTGCATTCCCCCCAGGCCTCTGAGCATCTCCATTTTGTTGACCAGCGACCAGCCCAAAAAAAGGTGCACGCTTTTTGGGCCACCACTAAAATAAAGGAAGAACCACCAAGGAAAAAAGTGTAAAGTGTGTCCGCTGGCTGGGTGAGTCTCGTAATTAATGAATTGAAACAAAGTGCTCCGAACAGATCGGTGGTTTGGACACATCGAGTTTCTTTTTTCTTTCTGGTGGATGGATGGATAAAGCCATGCTAAGCCAGTGGAACCCATCTACTAGCCATTTTTCACAAACATCAAGTTTTGCCACCTGAGTCCTACTCAAAACTCTGGTATTAGAATGGTCTACCCAGAGCCATGTAAGGAGATAAACAGGCGGATATTATGGCAAGGGGATGGCTTCCTGACTAACCTTCATCTACCCGAATCGGTTTTGAGCAAGTGGCTCACGGTCCGCAGGCCCCAGGGATCCCAACAAACACCTCAGAATGCGCCGCGGCCTATGCCAGACTTGCAGATGCGGCCGCCTGCTTTTCTTGGTTTTTTGGTTGAACGGGAACGTAAAGGAAACACAGGGCTGTCCGTTTTCCGATCCGCGAAAAGTCGACAACTTGTGGGTTACTGAACCAAAAAACATTCAAGGAAGCGGGTGGCTAGGAACCACCAAGACCAGGGCAAACAGTCAAAGAGGTCAGCTTAGCCTGGCAGACAGCCTCAGATTGGCAGGACCTCCCCTTGTGGAATCCGCCAAATGGCAAACTCATGTTTAAGACACGTAGCAGACCTTCAGCCGGTCAGAGCTACTTGCCCAGAAGAACTGACTTCGGCTTTCAACCCCCAATTCTGGGACACATATCAGTTGTGTGATGTGTTGTCAGAATTCAGTCAGCCCATCCACAATGTGTTTTGCGGAACTTAGCAAGTCCCCCCAACCTTTTGAGGGTCCGGGTGACCGGCTGCAGTTGTTTGCTGCACTTATACTGATTAAAAAGGAAAATTAAGGAAAATCCAAAGGGCAAACAGTAAAAAAGGTGAGGGTTCAGGAAGTGGACCCCCCAAATTGCAGGATGAACCCAGGCAATACCAAATCTTTCATTGGAAGGTCCCGGCATTGACTTTCCAGCACGACTTTAACCGAACCTCTCCCACCCATCTCCTCACGCGGTGGCAGGGGCCAGTTTGGGGCGAGTACCTTCGATCGTGCCCCCGAAAGCTCTGAACACCCGGCTTTTTGTTAGTTGGTATCTTTTGCGGGGTACATGCATCCTTTCTCAGTCAAGGGTTACCGTCATACCCTCAAAAGGGGTATTGGGTGTATGGGGTAAGTAGAATCCGCAAAACGCCCCCTAGTTTCATGAGATGGGTTTTGGGGTGGGCTGCCAATTCGATTAGGGCTTAACTGCAGAAATCAATGCCCGGTGTCCAAAATCCAAGGTAACAACTGCAAATTCCACAGCCCTAAGGGTCATGTCCCCGGGACCCAATGCAGACCCCACAAGGAACCCAATGGAGAACCCGCTTTGCGACCAATTCTGATGGGTTCATTTTGATGATTCCAACAATCGAATCGGGACCCATCGAGAGAAACAAAAAATACAGTCCCCTGGTAAAGGACCGCTCGGCAGTGCATCCTTGGAATGGGGGAAGCAATTCCGATGGGCCCAAAACCGACTCTTCAGGACAGTCGAATCGGAGGGCAAACAACAAAATCAGCCGAAAGGCTTCTGCGTCGAGGGAACGAAGGTCCAACCTCCCAGAACCACCTGAGTTACATGTAGCTTCTTCCTCCTCCCGAATTTCAGAACTCACATTGAGGTACTCGGCAAAAAATACAAAGAAAGAACACAGAAAGGGGGCTCCAGTTCCCAAGAGAAGTTTCCTCCATGAGTGTTCTGGGTGCCTTCCGTGAATTTGTAGGGGATCAAGAAATCGGGTTGCTCAGTTGGATGAAGATGTCTCCACATCCAGAGGTGTCGACCTTCTTTGAAGTAATCTTGCCACTCTTGGAGGTTCCAAAAAGGGGAATCGAGAAAAAACCCGCATTCTCTCTGTCAATCCGGAGAGCAATCAAGAAACGATACATCATAGTAGCCTAAACTCCCCGTGGCCAGCGAGAAAAGACAACACGATCGTCCACTCTGTTCTTGGTCGTTGCTTTCTGGCTGGGGCCCACCCCCTCCACGAGGGTAAAAGAGAAAAGGGCTGGTTGCCAACCCACTCGTCGGAGCGAAAGGTTTGAGCACCGGGGCACCCCCAATGCAAACACCACACGGGCCCTCCGAAAGAAACGGCCAGAAGGCAAACACGCCCTATGTTCTATCAGAAGCCCAGTGTAGTTCCGTGGGAACCACATTGTTGCTGTTTGTCGATTTTACAGGGACACCCCCTCCAAAGGACAGTGGGTTCCTCGATCGATCCAGTGGCGTTGTGTTTTTCTTCTTTTTTTCCGATGCACTCCAATTACAGTGACTCGAAAAAGCGATCGCAACTTGGCCACCCAGGTTGAAACCATATAACGTTTGCTTCACAATGCAGATTTGCTTAAGCCGGATTCCGCAAACCTGTCCAATATAATTTCTTGGAGAAAATCCGGGAGACACTTTCATTGAAGCTGCAAACGCCACAGAAACCAAACAATAACCCTCAATGCAGACCCGCGGACCCTCCAATGGAGACCCCCGACCCCTTCAGCCCTCAAAGACAACCCATTTTGAGGGCCCAAAGAATTGCTCAGCCGCAAGAAATCCTTGGATTGGGCGACCAATTCCGGGCCCAAGACCCAACTCTTCCCTATGTTCTGTAAGAAGCCCAGTGCATTTCCGTGACCACAATTTGTTGGTCGATTTTACAGGCACACCCCCTCCAAAAAACAAGTTACGGCACCATCTGGGTTGCTCTTGCCTGAGCAAAAAGGTCAAATCTTCGGTACCCTAACCATCATTGGGCCATTTCTTGAAGGGCTCGAACTGGGTCTCCATTGGTTTTGGTTTTGGCCCTCACAAAACATGGCTGTTTTGAGATGGCCCGTGACCGATGCTTAGGCTATAGGTTCAATTCGGATTAAGCCGATTGTTTCCGAACAAAAATCGATCGTGACCTTTCGATCACATTGGGAGCAGCTGGAATCCGGGTGGTTTGATCCCAAAACGCCCTAGAGATTTGGATCCGGCTCAAAGCTCCCAAACCCACCAACCCGACACCCCCGCTGACATCCAACTTCCAACTCTAAAAAGGGGTTCTTTAGCCCCCACGAATTCCTTTGTTGAAGGTATAGTTTGAAGGCTTGTGGGGGGGTTTCCCCCTCAAAAGACACGGAGCCTCCTTAGAATTCGGCCAGACGCAGCCCAGGCTTGAAGTTCGGCTCTCCGACTCTCCGAGGCCCCGGCGCCAAGCTCTCCACGTGAACATTGGGCTCCCATCGATCCATCCAGTGGCGTGTTCCGTTTTTTTTGGTTCTTGTTTCCCACATGCACTCAAAACCCCAAGAATACCGAGCGTTGCAGTGACTGAAAAAAGCGAGCGAAACTTGGCCAAGAAGGTTGAAACCACCAGCTTCTTTTCAGTGCCCTCGATTCATTTTTTGGGTGCTATGATCCATTTTGAAAATAAGGGCACTTAGTCCTAAATCAAAGAGGTCACTTAAGCCATTTAAAGGGCACTTAGACCCTGAAGGTTGCCCTCACCAGCAGATCCCTCCTCAGTCCGGGCAAATCAAGTCGCAGCGACACGTGAATGCGAATGACACTCACACGGGGGCGGGACCGACGCTGGGCAAATCGAGCCGCAGCGACACGCAAATGACACTCACGCAGGGGGGACCGACACTAGCGTAATTGACCTTTTCAAGGGGTAAGTGACCTCGATTCGCACCCCAATGACACTCAAATGACACGCTTTGACACTCAAAACGCCATGTTCGGGCTTTCCGGGTCGGCGCCAATCAAATGTGGCAGTTGTCACGCTTCGACACGGGTGGCTCTTCGATTTCAACAGAATCCCAACCCCTATCAAGCCAAAAAGGGCACTTAGCAAACGAATCAAAGGGGCACTTAGGCCACCGACACTGCCTTAAGTGCCCTCGATTCAAAAACAGGCCAAGTGCCCTCCATTGGAGGGCACTAAAAATATGCTGGCATATAACGTTTGCTGCGGTATTTGCAGGGTCGAATCAGAAACCAGGCTTTCTTAGGTGGTGCGAAGTGGATACCGTCCATCCTGACTGAGTGTTGCACGTAAACCGTGAACCATAGTAAACTGTAGGGTCCTTAGATAACTGCAATGCATGCGTATATCCAGTGTATATATATATATATATTCCTTGGAAACAGGTACCTGCTAAGAACTACCCTCTCGCCAGGAGTAGATGACATTGCCCGCCGAACCCCTCTTGGACTTGGTTTCGCCTTTGTGCTTGATGCTGGTTGGGCGGGAATCTCTTTTCCAGGTATCACGGTGATTAGAACCTTCATTGACCCCCCAACCTCCCCCCAACACCTCCCAACTGGGCTATCCCGAGTTATGCAGCCATATCTAGCTACATGCTGAGAGTGGGGAATCGACACCAAATGAGCCACCATCAAAACCGGTGGCAAGTGAAGCTTAGCAAGGCCTATGTTGGCCTCAAGGCCTCAAAACCCACCTGTTCTATTCGAGGTCTTTGGGTCCGGTAGAGGTGCAAAGCTTTGCCATCCGCCTCACAAGGGAAGCTTGTCAAGCTTGTCCAAACGGCTCCTTTTCACAATCCTAGAGCTCCGTATAAAGCTCCGCAAGCTCATTGCAACAAGCCCGAAAAGGCTCCCTAGATGAAATTTCAGCCATGCGAATTCTTTGGGGTCGACTGATTTCATGTAAGATGATGATCAGCGCCAAACCAAGGATCCTCTATGCATCAAAGACACCTAGTTCTGTGTGTGTTCAACCCTTCCTAGACTTGGTCGCAATTTGAACTACCTGAAAGCGCCTGGGCCATATAGATCGAATTGAGAAACCTCCCGAATTCCCTCGGTTGACTTCTCTTTCGGAGGTCTTGAGTTTGGCTCGCGAAAACATCCTCACAAAGCCTCACCCGATCAGTGGATCCCGGCAGGTAACCCTTGGACCCATTTTCCTTTTGGTATTGAAAGGCTGGCAAAGCCTTGGTTACCGTAACCAAAACCAGGTATATGGAAACACTGGGCAAGAACATCAGGCTTCACAACAGGCGAAAGCCACGCAGCACTGCTCACCGCTCTGTTTTCCTCTCCGCCACGTCACTGCTGACCTCGGCACCACAAGGGCCACACCCAAAATGCCACGCGCCATATCAAAAACCAAAATCAGTCTTTTGCTTGTTTTGATTCCCGGGGCATATGCCCTGAGTGCCCTGAGTGCCCCCAAAGGGGGGGCCCTTCCGACGGGTGTTTTGGGGGGGTCTTGTTCTATGGGTTTCATGGAGTTTTGTCATAAAACCTCGGGTCCCGGACCTGTCATGACCCTTACGTGGATGTTCTATTCGCCAAGTTAGTAAGTTGCTAGTCATTTGCGTTCCAATCCACTCATAGCAGGCTTATCTCTACGGGAGATACAAGCAGGTTATCACCTCCCACTGGGTTACCAACAACTTACTAGCCTGGACGAACCCCCAAGTAGGCTCGGGGGTGGGTACTCCACGCCTGCCGCGGGGCTAGTGACAACTCACAAAAGGATGATTTCGCCTCAGCCCAGTGGATCATGTGAGTGTGTCGCAAAAGGGCATCCCAGAAATGGCCCAAAAAAAAAGGTACACTCAAGAACAAGATGCATGCCACGCAGGAAATAAAATAGTGCGTCCCTTTGAAGGCATCCTAGCTTGACAACATGGAACCCTGTCCGGTACCAGCAAAACCCCCCCCAAAAAAAACCAACAACAACAACACAACAACTGAAGAAGAATCTTCTGAAAGCCGAGACCTGTTTCATGAATTTAGCAAGTTTGTTCATTGAACCACTGTTCCGACAAACTGAACCTCCGGAAAGCATCTCAGTTGCGCGGCAGAGTGAAAGCAAGCATACCCCTTTCTCGGGGGATGCGGAATCCTCCGTTAAACCGTTAAAAAAACATGTGCATTCCCTGTAGCTAAAATTCATTGTCCCCCTCGTGGCTGGCTCAATGCCTTGAAAGCAGGAGTGTTGAATAATGTCAACAACGGATTAATCTGGAACTAACATTTACGACTGCTGTGGAGCTGTCTGACACTCACACCCACTTCAATCCCATGTTGCCAACCTCACGCTCCGAAAAAAAATATATAAGCGTACCTCTGTGGGATCTCCGTGGGTCGTGTCATTGGATCCGGAGCTTCGGCATTGCCTCAAATGCCTGCCATGCAAAAAGGGCATCCTATGTATTTTGGTTGAGTTTCAAAGGGAAGCCCCTGCCACCCTAAGGATCTCGATTGATTTTGGGATATTTTGGGCCAATCCTCAAAATGGGTTGTTTTTGAGTGTCCTTGGGGAATTGGTCGCTTTGGGTTCTGCATTGGAGGGCCCAGGGGTGTGCATTGGAGGGATGACCCTTAGGGCATGGGAGTTTAAAGGGCGGTTGAGATTCAAAGGGAAGCCCTCCACACAAAAAAAACTGGTGGAAGCCACATGTGCAACTGGCTTCTTAGCGGATGATCCAACTTGATGGCTCAACCGGGCGCGAGGCTCGGATTTCTTGCATGCGAAGATATGCGAAGGGACGAATCTGAAGACCTCAAAGGACGCATTCAGCGACAAGTCTCGGTAAAGCTGCCTTTTGGCAAGGTAGCTCCAGGAGTCGCCTCCATGCAACTGGCGGTCCGTCTGCAAGATCTCTTTACCCTGTGCATTGTCGGCGGCAGCATAGACGGACTTCTTCATCCTCAGTGCCTCCTTCAGGTGCTCCTCGACTTGCTCCAGGTCTCTTCTCCGCTCAGCCACATGCCCAGCTTATGCAAAGTGCCTGCAACTGTCCAATGGTCGGCACCACCATGGACGGAATTGTTCATCCTCAGAGCCTCCTTCAGGTGCTCCTCCGCTTGCTCCAAGTCTCCTTTCTGCTTGAGCAACATGCCCAGCTCATGCAAAGTGACTGCAATCTCTACATTGTCGGCACCACCATAGACGGACATCATCATCCTCAGCGCCTCCATCAGATGCACCTCGGCTTGCTCCAGGTCTCCTTTCTGCTTCCGCACCATGCCCAACTCATGCAAAGTGACTGCAATGTTCACATTGTCGGCACTACCATAGACGGACATCTTCATCCTCAGCGCCTCTTTCAGGTGCTCCTCGGCTTGCTTCAGGTCTCCTTCCTGCTTCCGCACCATGCCCAGCTCATGCAAAGTGACTGCAATCTCTACATTGTCGGCACCACCATAGACGGACATCATCATCCTCAGCGCCTCCATCAAATGCACCTCGGCTTGCTCCAGGTCTCCTTTCTGCTTCCGCACCATGCCCAGCTCATGCAAAGTGACTGCAACCTCTACATTGTCGACACCGCCACACACGGATGTCTTTATCCTGAGTGGCTCCTTAAGGTGCTCCTTCGCTTGCTCCAAGTCTCCTTTATGCTTGAGCAACATGCCCAGCTCATGCAAAGTGACTGCAATGTTCACATGGTCGACGCCACCATAGACGGACTTCTTCATCCTCAGCGCCTCTTTCAGGCGCTCCTCGGCTTGCCCCAGGTCTCCTTTCTGCTTCCGCACCATGCCCAACTCATACTGCAATGTTCACATTGTCGGCACTACCATAGACGAACATCTTCATCCTCAGCGCCTCCATCAGGTGCACCTCGGCTTGCTTCAGGTCTCCTTTTTGCCTCTGCACCATGCCCAACTCATGCAAAGTGACTGCAATGTTCACATGGTCGACGCCACCATAGACGGACTTCTTCATCCTCAGCGCCTCCATCAGGTGCACTTCGGCTTGCTCCAAGTGTCCTCTGTGCTTGAGCACCATGCCCAGCTCATGCAAACTGACTGCAATGCTCACATGGTCGACACCGCCATAGACGGACTTCATCATCCTGAGCGTCTCCTTCAGGTGCTCCTCGGCTTGCTCCAAGTGTCCTCTGTGCTTGAGCAACATGCCCAACTCATGCAAACTGACTGCAATGCTCACATGGCCGACGCCGCCATAGACGGACTTCATCATCCTCAGCGCCTCCTCAGCTTGCTCCAAGTGTCCTCTGTGCCTGAGCAGCATGCCCAACTCATGCAAAGTGACTGCAATGTTCACATGGTCGACGCCACCATAGATGGACATCTTCATCCTCAGCGCCTCTTTCAGGCGCTCCTCGGCTTGCGCCAAGTCTCTTCCTGCTTGAGCAACATGCCCAGCTCCTGCAAAGTGACTGCAACGTTTCCATGGTCGACACCGCCATGGACGGATGTCTTATTATCCTGAGTGCCTCCTTCAGGTGCTCCTCCGCTTGCTCCAAGTGTCCTTTCTGCTTGAGCAACATGTCCAGCTCATGCAAAGTGACTGCAATGTTCACATGGTCGGCACCACCATAGACGGACTTCTTCATCCTCAGCGCCTCTTTCAGGCGCTCCTCGGCTTGCCCCAGGTCTCCTTTCTGCTTCCGCACCATGCCCAACTCATGCAAAGTGACTGCAATGTTCACATTGTCGGCACTACCATAGACGGACATCTTCATCCTCAGCGCCCCCTTCAGGTGTTCCTCGGCTTGCTCCAGGTCTCCTTTCTGTCTCTGCACCATGCCCAGCTCTTGCAAAGTGACTGGAATGGTGACTACACAGTACCATAGACGAACATCTTCATCCTCAGCGCCTCCATCAGGTGCACCTCGGCTTGCTTCAGGTCTCCTGTCTGCCTCTGCACCATGCCCAACTCATGCAAAGTGACTGCAATGTTCACATGGTCGACGCCACCATAGACGGACTTCTTCCTCCTCAGGTGCACCTCGGCTTGCTCCAGATCTCCTTTCTGCTTCCGCACCATGCCCAGCTCATGCAAAGTGACTGCAACGTTTGCATGGTCGACACCGCCATAGACGGACTTCATCATCCTCAGCGCCTCCTTCAGCTGCTCATCGGCTTGCTCCAGGTCTCCTTGCTGCTTGAGCAACACGCCCAACTCATGCAAAGTTCCTGCTAATAACAGCTAAAAAATCGGGCAAACGGCCATTTTGAAAACGCATGGACACGCAAAAACAGGTAGCCAACTGGAACTGAGTAATCACAGTAAGAGACCTGCATGATGGATACGCTCGTGTTACCCCCCAACGTGAGCTGAGCGTTGCGCAAGACATATTTGAACGCTCCGCCTCAATAACCCATTTCAGGAACTCTTCTGGACTGTTTGCCACTGCGTTCGACACCACGCCCACTTGCGCTGACACCAGGTGAGCCCTGCGGTGCAGAAGAAAGGCAGCGCCCTGGAACTCCAGGGAGTCGCCCCATAGCTGTCTGCCCTTGGCAAACGACTGACAGGAAAGCGCAACGTCAAGGGCACCCTCCAAATTGGGCCAAAAAATGTGTGCTCAAGGAAATGTGGATGCTGGCTCAGATGAAGGGGCTAAACAATAGACCCATTGCTTCTGCTGACAATGTTGTTTGGCTTTCAAAGCACCTGCCAGCCTCATTCTCGTTGTTTAGGCCCTTGTAAAACTTCCATAGTACATCCAGGAGTGTTCAAGCCGGACGACAACTGAAAACACACTGTAACACACCTCAACAGTTGCGCGACCGCGCAATATTTCACATTTGCTGAAGAGACGCACAAGTCTTCTCCGCCAAGTTCTGAAGGCTCTCACTGAGACTGGGATTAATGTCCTGCATCAGGACTTTCCAGTCCTTCGAGCGTCGTTTATCCTCTTTCAAATGTAGGCCCACTTAACCACCTCCTTATCCAAAGTGACCCCCGCCTTTTCATGGACATCCTTTTGAACTCACTCAAACACCTGACATGTTGAAGCCTTGGTTGACTAGAATTGTCGCGCTTGATATGAGTCGCAATCAAAACTTGTTTTTAAAATGGTCTACCCAGAGCCATGTAAGGAATCAAAAAAGAACTGCCCTGCATCCATTCATGGTTGGGATTGGCTCTTACTATCCTTCATCTACCCGGGTGTTGATTGTGGTTCATCAGGGGTCCTTACATTATAAGCCTGAACATTGCCTTGTAAATGGTGGTTTCCCTTTATTTTGGTGTTGAAAAAGCCATGTTTCAAATGGACAAAATTTGTATCTTTTAAGGAGCCCTGTTCATGAAATGACACAAACAAACACCAACACGAGGTCAGTCCTTCGCCTGCGTGAAGCTGAGCTCTCCCCTCCGCAGCCATCCGCTTGCACTGCGAAAGCCCTCGAAGACGTGCAGCTGCGACGGGTTGACCCCCTGTCGCAGCTGCACCAATTGGCTCACCTTGTCAGCAGTTAGCTGCACGACGGGCCCTGCAAGGGGGGCAGTGTGCAAGGACGCAAAGAACCAGCAAATCATGCAAGCATCAACTTGACCAATACCGCGCTAAACAATTGCTTTGGTACTTGGAGCTTCTTCGATGCTGTTGTACTTTGTGTCATTCCCAACCTGCTCTCTCTGCAATGGGTTTGGTTCGTGCGTGTGACTCCAAAGTGGTCAAGTGTGATGCGTTCCCGGAGTGCCCACACGCCTTTTTTGCAGACCTTTCCTGTGGGTTCCCCTTTGCCAGTAAACAGGGGCCATCGCATTTCCCACCCAAAGTGCAACTAACTTATTTCTGGGGACGAGCAAACGCGCAAACTGTAGGGTATCTACTGTCCCGCAAAAAACAACAAAAAGCCAACTTGAGCAAACACAATTCGGAGGTTTGCTTGATCTTCAGTGGGAAATTCAAAGACTCCTGTCTGTGCCCATCCCCTTTGGCAAAGAACCCTTTGCGACCCAACAGCCAACCAAAGGTGTCGTCGATTGAATGCTACACTCTATGCCCCGCCTGTTGCCAGATTGGCGCCGCACAGCTGGTGCACCAACTTCCTTACTTGCACAATGGCCATGGACGGAACAAAAACAAAGTCACCTTTTTTGTTTGGGCGGGGTTGCAAGGGTACCCCAGTCCAACCCAAGGAAAACAAGGAAACAGTAACGCATGTTGCGTGATTTTGCAATGAACCCCTCTCAAAGACTAGGTCCTCCAGTAGAGAGGTTCCAGTAAGGGTACCCGATTCTTTTCTGTAGTGGATTTTAGCAGGGGAACCCTCCCAGCCAATAAAGAAAGGGTAAATTGCTGGGGGACCTAGTCATAAGTCCCAATGCAAAAACTGTAAACATCTAATGTGCTGCGGGGACACCTCTGCTACTAAACTGGGCTTGATGGATAAACCCATCCTACTGATAGGTACCAAGAGCGGTGTCAACTACAAAAGCACAGGAGGTGGAAAAGAGAGGTAGTTGGTGAGAAAGGGCACCTGGCTGGGGGACCTACCCCCTACTCCAAATACCCACATTTTTTTAGGGTATGATGGTGAACCCCTCTCAAAGAGGTGGACAAAAAGGCCCTGAACGCACTGGCCGCAACTTGGCGGCTGCAGCCCTGCCGGTACGGCAGGCCGTGGGACCACCTGCAGGCGCGCAGTGTGCCAGGCGGCCCGGGACTGCCGCAGCTGCTTCGTCCAAGCCTCCAGCTGCCTGTCAACGCTGCGAAAGGTCCTGTCAAGGGAATGTTGAGGTACCCAACCCCCAGGTCAGGGGCCCAGGTCGTAAGAGGAAGGGAATGAATGTAATGAATGTTGACATAGGTGTACACGAGCGGTCTGATTCCAACCACTAAACCCATGAATGGACACCCTTCTGTCAAAAAAACTGGTTGGTAGATAAATACGTGGTCGACCATAGGTGTCCTTTTAGGGGAAGTAGATGGATATCCCTGGTAGATGAGAAAAAACCAACAGGTAAACCAGGCCCTGGATTTTTCCAGCAACCAAAAAGGACACTTACGAATGTTGAGGTACTCAAGCTAACATGGAAGCTCCCAGAAGGCCTCTGTAAATTGAACCAAGTCTTCCAAACAGGTCCTGGAGCTTCCATGTTAGTCTGGGGGAGGGTGCCCCCCAGGTCGAAAAACGAGGCTTACACAACGGGGCTTGGCACCGAAACCTCGATCTAGATACTGGGCGCTCACTTACTTCACTTACGGGCGTCTGAAAATTGGCTCTCCGCGGTTTCCAACACGTTCCCCAAGCTAAAAGCTCCGATAAGGAGTTCCAGGAGTTTGGGGGTATCTGAATCTCGCTTAGGGTAATCCTGCTTAGTTCAGTGTAACTGGTGACTATCCCTGGCAAGTCAGTGCCTCAGTTGGTTTGTATGGTAAATCCTAGGAGACTCACTCGCCAGGGCTATTGCGCAGTCATTCACTGGAATGGTCATCCAAATGGGGAGATCAAACTGACTCTTGCGAGAAGTGTCTCGCTCGTTTGCGGCCATGCGCTTGAAAAGGACTTGCTACGTGTCCTGCGTTGGTCCCACACGAAAAGTTTATTTTCATCGTGGTTAGCAGACAAACTAATTGCATATGTCAAACGGGTTAAACGGCTTGAAGGTTATTCACCTGCTGCAAACACACTCTACTTTTCCAAAAGGCTAAAAGCAAGCAAAATGTAGAACTCAAAACAACAACTTCAACTGAGGGTCTTGTCGTCAAGCTTCGCAGACTGCAGGATGATCCACAGACTGCCGGTGCCGAGGAAGAATCGGCTACCGTACTTCACAACGTCCTTCCCGTCAACATAATCAACAATCTTTTCCAGGTCTCTGAGCTGTTGCTCTGGTATTCCGGATGCACTGATGCCATTGATGACAAAAGCATAGAGCACCGGAATAACATCTTCTCTGCCTTCCTCCGCGCGAACCTCTTGGATTTCAAGCGACTCTTTTGCAGATAGTGGCAACTTGTCGAAGTAGCATTCCAATGTCTGCAAGACCTTTCTCGCAAATTTGGTTGGGAACAGCCACAACAAGCAGTGTGTTGCTATACCCAAAGACGGGAGCCATCAAAAACCACAGTTGAAACAAACAAGCAAGGTCTGCGGGGGATGAAGGAAACATATGTTTGCTTTCAGTTTGTGTGTAGTCATGCGTTTGTTGATTGCTTTTAGTTGTTTGCCTTGTACATGTGTTAATTATGTGTGCCATTCTATCTTATTATTGGCTATCTTGTATGTGGTCATGCCCATGTCTTTATATATATATATACATACATCGTTGTTTATTGCTGTTTCCTTTCTTTTGTTTCCTTCTTTTGATTTGTATGCAACTATTCACTGATGTTTGTCCTTCTGTCCCTCTCTCTCTCTCTCTTTTTGTTTCGTTCCCTCTTTACTTCTGTCGTTCTTGCTTTCCTTCTTGAAATCTGTCTGTCCGTCGCTATCTCTTTGTTGTGTTATGTGCTTCTGTATGTCGTGTTTTTCTTTAATATATGCTCATTCTTGATGTTCTTGTCTTGAAGTTCTTGTATTGATGTGGTTTCGCTTTCTGTATCACATGTATTTTCTTTGCTTAGTTGATTCCATACTTGTTTCGGTCCTTCTTTCATTCATTCATGTTGGTTCTATCTCTTAGTTATCGTTGTATGTTTTCTTTATGTCTCCCTTTAATTATGTCCTTTCTTCATTTTCTGACTTTCCTTCTTTTGAAGACTATTTCTTTCTTTAGGTTCTTCATGATTTATTTCCTTTCCTTCCGTCCTTCTTCCTTTCTGTCCTTCTCTATGTTTCCAAACGCATCAGGCCAGCGGCCTCAATGACATGATCCGTCTGCATCAGGCCCTCCCTCTGATGTCTGCGGTAGAAATCGCGACGCGCGTTGAGCACACATCTTCGAAGTGAATCCGGAACTCTTCGTGGCAAATGGCTGAAGCTCGCTGAAGGGCCTGGCTCCTGGGTCACTTTCTCGAGTGTCTCTTTGACTTCTTCCAAAGACTCGCACATGGCCACCTCAAGCTCTCGCCTCCAGTCGTCCAAGAATAGATGCCTTTTTGCGAAAAAGCTTGCTGCTATTGATCGAAGCTCTGGAATCATGTGCCTCAGCGTTGGCGATGCTGGCAATTGAATCTCTCCGTCCTCTCTCAAGATTTCTGGGTCAGCTTCCACATTCTTCAACTTGGTACCCTTCAGCATCACTGGAAGGCTCATGGCGCAATCCATGATGCAGTCCAAACATCCGTACGAAGGAATTGCGTGCCTCAGCGTTGGCTTGGAGGCTGACAGTTGCTTCTCTTTGTCCTTCAACATCGCTTTGGTATCCTTCAACATCATTGGAAGGCTCACTGCATGGTCAATGATGCAGTCCAAACATCCGTACACGCAGAAGGTGTTTAGCAAGGCGACATAGTGTTCCTGCGGCATCACATCCACCTCCTCGCGATCCACGAGCAACCCCCGTCGCCCAGCCGGGAAGAAGGGCCATAGAGCCTTTGACCGGGAAAGCCCGGCCCATTCCATATTAATCCGGCCCAATGTCACCTGGAGGAGCAGCTGGCTCATCCGCAGCAAGAAATCACTAATCGTACAGTCCTCAGCACAAAGCAAGGACCCACAAAAAAGCGACGACTGTCAAAACATATACGTATAAACACTATATGACTGGCAAGGATAAGATCAGTTAAAAACAGGTTGGCTTCTGAAGAAGCAAGGGTCACTTTGAGCTTGTATCATATGCATCAGTGCCGCTGGCACGAGACTGGAATTTCGCAGAGGATAGTACAGCTCGCAGAAGTAGACGTAGACATATGTGTTACTTTCGCTGGGAAAGGTTCTAGGTTTATATGCTGGGGAGTCCTCCGCCTTGTTTCTGCAGGAGTCCAACAGAACCTAAGCTCGGGATCGGATATGGCCGAACCCCCGAACCCTCACTCTTCTCGGTTTTCCACTATCCCCAAGCCACTACCTCCAAAGGAACAAATGACACAGAAGCTATGTATAAGCAGCATGCAAAGAAGTACCCCTCTCAGTATCTTTGGCAAGAACTAGTAGTGGTCTAGTGGTAGTGGAACCACCAACCCAACAAACAAGGCACTATGACACATACGTACTTCAGCTCATTCTCCTCCACTGCGGACACAACTGCCTCTTCCAGCACGAGGTCAAGATCGACGCTCACGGTCCGGCTTTCGTCAACGGATTCGCCATGGCCTGCATAGTAGACCATCAGTTTCTTGATGTTGTTGTCCCTCATCTTTTTCGCTGCTTCAGTGAGCTTTTCTGTGAGCCCTATTTGCAGATTCAGTTGGGCATCCTCATCCACCGGACTCCTCTCTGCAAAAACCACCGGCTCTGAGCAAAAGCCCATACACCTGGCAAACTCTGCCAGGGTCTTGGCGTCTCGGCATGGGTTGGGGCTGTTGCCGTGGTCGATGTCATCCTGGTCCGACACGCCCACGACTACTAGCTGCCACGCATCCGACTTTTCCGACATCGGCGCTCCAAGTCTACGACTTCACAGACAGCGGAGAAGCGTTTGGCTGGGTTCAGTTACCACGGTTCAAGCAATGGTCGGGTTCATATTTCACCGTTCAGGATTTCCATCATTCATTTGGGTCCTGGCCACTAGTTTAGCTCGTTTGGCTAGTGCTTATGGCAGGCCTCTGTGGTGCCCATGACCCGACTCACCCCATTCAGCCTTCGAGTGTCTTCCTTGACTGACTGGGCCAAAACAACGAAACATAGAATCCAAAAAGTTCAAGTGAACCTTCCTTCGCCTGGATCTAAGAATTCCTTAGGTTCTTAGTATTCCTTACAACTGCCTGTGTTTGTGGCTCAGCAGTCAGAATTCGTGCAATATTTGTTTGGCCCCGTTACCACTGCCTGTGTTTGTCGCTTAGCAGTCAGAATTCGTGCAATATTTGTTTGGCCCCGTTACCACTGCCTGTGTTTGTCGCTTAGCAGTCAGAATTCGTGCAATATTTGTTTGGCCCGCCCACGTACTGCGTGACTTTCTTCGTTGATGGCAAAGCCTGCGAAGAGCATCATACGCTCGTCATTGCCCCCAAATGGGATGAACTCCCTCTTTGTAAGGTACTTTGAGGCTCGGTCCAGACATCGGTGAAATGGGACTCTGCTGCATGCCATTGAAACTTTCGGCCATGGTCACGGGTCAATGCAGAACTGATGCCCTAAGGATCGCGTGCCTCCCAGCCACACCCTTGGTCACACATAATTTCAAGAGGCCGGGCAAGTGCACCAAAAAAGAACGAGCTAAACTGAGCTGTGCAACCAATTGCAACCTCCGCCCAACTGGCATGCAACCCACCAGAGGTTCCATGTCCTCGATGGCCAATTGTGGCACTGTCACGGGTTTGTCAATTCCATTATAAGAATTCCTACTTGCCAGCCTCTCAAAATTGGTTCTCCCCCTGTCCTGCAGCGGAAGATCCCCTAATTCCAATCAATCAAATCCAAAGGGACCACACAGAACAAGGCTAAACACAGTGGATGGACGAAATCCTGCACCACCTAAGAAAATCTGGAATGATGATTCCCCTGCGAACACCAGCAAACACTGACTTCAGCCGTGATTTCATTTCGTGGCGACATCGAACGGATATTTTCCCAACCATCCACAGTATGGGTCCGGAACGCCGAACAGACCTAACGAACCTCGGCTTCGGCCGAGTCAGGTGAGCCACAATCAAAACCCGGTACTAAAATAGTGAACCCTGAACCATGCTTCAAGAATTCAGAAGGCGGATCTCCGAAGCTATTTATGGCAAGGGGACTGGCCCTTAATAATCGTCATCTACACAAATCAGTTTTGAGCACGAACTCCGAAGGGGCGCATGTCAAATAGTGTCACCTAGCCAAGTTCCCCATGGCCAGAAACAAATCTGAGCCATGGGAGCCCCTGGGACCTTAAAAAGCGAGCGAAATCACCCCAAGAGACCTGAAAACATAACCTGGACCCTCGAACTATCAAGCAAAAAAAACACACGGAATTCATCAACCGACATGTTGGGATACCACTCACCATTTTTCGGGTTGGTAATAATATTTCTGAGGGTCCAACAACGCAAAGAGAGACAGTCCCAAAGGATCTCAACTGCTCCCCTTTGGCATCTCGCCGCCGAGAAGGCGCCGCTGTCCGCAGACTTGCCAGCCTGCAAGAGCTCTCGGTGAAAACACGACACAGAAAAAAAGCCGTGTTTCTCTACGCCACCTGCAAAAGGCCTGCATGCTTTCGATTTGCCCAAGAGGTGATTCACCAATTTCGGAGCAACCAACTCACCAACCAGTTGGAATTTTGAGGGTCACGGAAACGGGGGCGCATGGGGCGGCAACGACTGCGGTGAAATGAGCTTTTTGAGACCTCAAACGACCCTTAACTCAGATGCTTAGTGGATTTCCATGGGGGAAAAAAGGGCATCCTTGTTTGGTTGGTCGAGTGCAGAAATTAACCCTTCCCCCAAACAAGTTGAAAAAAGGGCGCCACTGGGCAACAGAGTTAAAAATATATTTCACCGCATGTTGGGTTGCAATACCGAAAAATACCCCCAACTGACCACCTCCCTCAAAGTACCAACTGAACGATTGGGTTTCACCATGGATTCATCGGCTTCCTGACGCTCAGCGGAGGTTCAAGATCGATCCCCCTATTAAAAAAAAAAAAAAACGAGTGGGAAACGTTGCCAAGACCGAGGCTCAGCCTGGTGAGCCTTACCCCTTGGCAGTTTTTGGATGGACTCCTGTAATGGTCGATTGGCGAACTCAAAGCCTATGAAAGAGTAAACTCGCGGTGGAAGGTTTGCACCTGCCTAGAGTCTCCATGTCCCTTCAAAAATGGGGTCAGTGCCAAACAGTAAGGGGTCGTGACCCCTTTTTGTAGGGGTCAGACTCCAGGTATTCTCAGCTGCCCAAACGAATGGTTCGGCTTTCAAGGGAAGACCCCTCGACCCCAAAGCCACTGGAAACCCCGCTTCAGCCGCTGGTTTGGGGTCTCAAAATTCCTGGCGGTGGAATCGGGCCTCACAAAAAAGAATAGCAAAACGCGTCTGGGTGAGGGAAATGTGGACCACGGGGGTCAGGGAACAAGAGCCTGGCTGAAACATCGGCTTGCTTTGGGCCCCTTGCCACCGCTGGAGGTCGGGCGTAAACCTTTTGGCACCCTTTCGAAGGGGCCGCTGTTCGGGCTCTGGAATCTACTCATGGGAAAGATGGGCAGCAGTTCTTCAGCTTTCTGAGCCATCCCCCGAACTTTGCAAGAATTGAGCAACTCCCCGCATATCCAACAAATTGACTAGCTGGACCCTCAAACTACCTTTTAAAGAGTCATTTGTGGAAGGAGTCCATGCATCGGATTCCTGATGCTCCCGTCATTGTTGATTAGTTTTTTTGGAGAAGACGGCCAAAACTGCCCTTCTTTTCCCAAACCAAGCTTCCTCTTTGGTGACTCCTGCTGTTTGAAGGGTACATTTGCGCAACTGACTCAAGCCTTGGTCTACGTACAGAACTAAGTTCGTTTGGGCATGAGAAGGGTTCCCCACGTAAACTAAGTACACGGTACACGAGGGCTAGGGGCCTAGCCTGCCACGATACTTGACCATGAGTTGGGTCCTTTCATAGGTTGTGAGTCCGCCCCAAGTGAGGCACGAACAATCAAAACCGAATCGTATTTATTTGCCATAAATCGGTGCGGATATCCGCCTTTTTAATTCTTTACATGGTGCTGGGTAGACCATGTGAAGACCGATCGTTTTTTAATTATGACTCAAGTGAGTTCACATCAGTACAAAATTGCGGACGCTGAAAGACTCAGGAGCAGTAGAGTAGCAGACCGCTTTGGATGCGCTGTTGCCAAAGAGAACTGAAAGGGAGGAGTCCAAAAAAGAGTGTCCCTACTGCAATCTTCCAAAATGTCAGAACAAATGTTCATCTGCAAAGATACAGCCTAGCTGTTCAAAGGCTTGAAGTCACCAACTTGGCTTTCCGAGACGAGGGGCCTCAGCAGCTTGGCTTTCCGAGTGACCCAACTCGAGCCAGGCAGGCGATGCCACGATGCCACGAAGGAGGGGTTCGTGGTGTCTGACTCCGCGACTGATTCCCGAATTCGTTCGCACCACATTGAAACCATGGAAGCCATAATGTTTGTTGGTATTTACGTTGGGGAATCGAATCATTTCAGGGCTTCTTGGGTGGTGCGAAGTGGATTTCGTCCATCCTATGCAGGTTAACCATGAACCATAGTCAACCGCAGGGTCGTTAGCTACCTGCAATGCATCTATCCAGAGAGTATATATATATATATATGTATATATTATGGACGTACCTGCCAAAAAACTACCCTCTTGCTAGGAGTAAATGACATTGCACTTCCAACCCCTTCTGGTTTGCAAGCCTACTCTTGGACTTGGTTTCGCCTTTGAATTTGATGCCGGTTAGGCGGGAATCTCTTTTCCAGGTAAAAGGACTTTGTGAAGAAAGAGCCAGCCAACCCAGAGGGGGTTCGGGAGGTTTCTCAGTTCGATCTCTTTGGCCCCGGCGAAGAGGCGATTGTTCAAGGTACAACCAAGTCTGCGTGGTTTTGAACAACAAAACTTTGCCTCTGATGAAGGTGTCTTTCGAGGAGAATCCTTTGTTCGGTGCTGATCATCATCTCACATGAAATCAGTCGACCCCAAAGAGTTCGCACGTCTTAAAAAAGAGCGGGTCGATCGCAGAAGATACTTAGGATCCGTTTAGGGAGCCGTTTAAGGAGCTTTACAATGAGCCTTGTGGAGCCTATACTTAGTTAGTTTAGGACTTGGACCCTCAACCTACCCACAAAAAGCTGGAATTCGAGTGTCTTTGGGCCAACCACTTGGTGTCTGCGGTGCTGAGCTCTGCTAGCGGCCATCGGCTCAAGTCCATAAGCCTCGAAAGGCTACTCTTTATGACGATCTTTTCGATTCTCCCCAAGGCAACTAGGGCAAACGACCGAGAAAAAAAAAGAAGAAAAAACACCCTTACGTGTAAAAACGGGCCAACTATGCCTTTGGACCGGAAAAAAAGAAGAAACACAAAGTGGCGTTTCGGGGCTCCAGGCAAACTTAAAAATGTTACTGGACCCTCAAACAATGAAGTAAACATGGAGTGAGTTGCAGCCCAACCTTATGGTTGGGAATTCCAACTTGTTTATGCGTAGTTTGAGGGTCGATGGGGCCAGGATAAGTAAGGACAAAACTTTGCCATAGGCAAGAATTGGTAAAGTAAAGAAGGTCAACCACAATTTACCAAATCTAAGTTAAGCTAGATAAGGCCGCACGACTCGAGATAGCCCCAAAATTTAAGCAGCTGGGAGATGTTTGAGGGAGGTTGGGGGGTCAAGGAAGGTTCCACAAAGTCTCACCCGGAGAAAGCAATCAGGTTCCAAAACGGTCGAACGCCACGCAGCCCACGCAGCCCAACTGCTCACCGCTCTTTTTCGATGCCTCTCGAGCACGCAACTGCTCACCTCGGCGCCAGAATCAGAGGAAACACGCGCGCGCCAGAAAGGAGCACAGTCGTTGATTTGTGTTGATTCAAGGGGCACAGAAGCCCTGAGTATACTTGTGCCTGAAAGGCTCTTCCGATATTTTTTTGGGGGACCCTCAATCAAGGTTGTAAGGGTCATTGAGGGTCACTATGGGTTTTGCAGTGGAGAGTGCACGGGTGGGCTCCGACACGGAAACACACGCGTGCCGCAGTTCTGGTAACTCACACGCCTGGTGCGTCCGAACTCAGTGGATCATGTGAGTGTCGCAAAATCCGGGCCCTGAAAGGGTTTCCCCTGAAAGCCACCCCAAAAACAAGAACAACATGCATGCAGGAAATGGAACATTACGTGCCTTTGAGCATGGAACCCTGTCCCGTACACCCAAACCGACACCCCCCCCAACAAAACAAGAAGAGAATCATTTCTCGAATCTGGGACCTCTTTCATTGATGTAGCAAAACAAGCACAATTTCTATAATGAACAAGTGCACACTTGGAACCGATCAAGAAACTATCTTAGATGCGCGGCAAGGTGAATCAAGGACACCCCTTGCCTCAGGAAAACAACACCCTCCGGTAAACAACACATGCGCAGCGGTGCAGTCAAACTCGAGGCTGTCTAACTGCCTTGCAAGCAGCAGTGTTGAATGATGTGAACTTCGGATTCATGTGGAGGACGAAAAATGGTTCCCTTATTGTTAAGTAGAAATCATTCGTTTGGGGCGAACCTCGGACTTTTGCCTGGTCCTTCGGAGTCACGGATCACCAAGAAAAGGTCTTTCAAGAGTGGACGTGCGCCTTCATCTTTTTGGCCCTTCTGTACGGGAATCGTCCAAAGCAACCCAGGAATTAACAACGGGAAACGTGTTCTGTAAAAAGCCGAAACTGCAATCCAATGGCAAACACCACCCCCATCTCCCGAAAAACGGTTGGGGGATTGACTCAGGCCATCTGTCTCCGCAAATTGTGTTGCAATAAAGGCAGCTTCATAGGTCACGGTGGGTCAGGAATCGGGGGCATTGCATTGCACGCGCGCGGCTTTTCCTTTGTGAAACCCGGTGAAACGAAGCGGTGCCAGCCCAGTGAGCTCTGTTGAAACTCTCAACCCTTTTCTCGGATGCCCGCCATGGGAAAAGGGCATCCCATATATATACATATATATATATATATATATACATATATATATATAATGTATGTTGGTTGAGTTGAAACGGGAAGCCTTCCACTATTCAAAAATCGGGCAAAAGGGCGGAGTCCACATGGGCAACTAACCGGCTTCCTAGGGCATTTAATTCAACTTCGGGGCTCTGGCAGTCTACTTTGCCTCAGAGTCCTGTGGGCCACATCCTGATCCGCGTGAGCATGTCGAAGGCATATGTCCGGTGAGACGGCACTTTTGGCATATGTCCCAATCGCACTCAGCACCCGAATCTCTCTCCCGCAAACAGCTTGTGTCCAATCCTCCCGCTCCTGAAGCTTATTGGGGACGAGCCATGAGCAGGGGGTATCTTTTTTGCCCCAACAAACAAACAAACAAGCAAACAAACAAATAAACAAGCACACAAACTGATGCACCAGCTAGGCAATGCTTGACCTTCAGTGGGAAATTCACAGACTCCTGTCTGTGCCCATCCACCGCTGAAACGACCGATGAGGAATCCATTGACGGCCTTTGCCAAGCCTCCTTTCCAACCCAAAAGCCAACCAAAGGGTGTCCCCGATTGAAGGCAGCACCCTATGCCCCCTCGCCTGTTGCCGATTGGAGGTGCGCTCGTGTAACAACTTCCTTACTTGCCATGGACGCAAAGAACATCACCTACGGTTTGGGTGGGGGTGAAAGGGCGCCCCGGCAAACCCAAGGAAACAATCAACCAGAAACGAGATGTTGCGTGAATCGGCAATGACACCTCTCAACAAAGCAGAAAGAAGGCCCTGAACGCACTGGTCGCAACTTGGCGGCAGCAGCCCCGCGCTCCAGCTGGCTGTGAATGCTGAAGGTCCTGCAGAGGCACCTTGGCACCGAGGCTTCTAGCTACTGCGTTCTCGACTGCCTCAAATAAGTTGAGGAGTTTAGGGTCGGGGAATCTGAATTTCCCTTGCAGTTATCCTGGGATTACCGCCCCAGCTTTTCGGTGTAACTGGCAACTGGTGCATACTCCTGGCCACTCACTGCTGTGGCTTGTGTCGTAAATCCTAGGCTGCAGGTTGTTGAGCAGTCATTCGCTATGGTCATCCTAGTGGGGGAGATCATCTGACTCGCAAAAATGCGTTCGTTTCCGGGCACGCACTTAAAAGGGACTACATGTCCTGCTTCAGTCCACGTCATCCTGGTGGTCTGTGACCCACACGAAAAGTTAATGTTACTTGCAGTTTGTAGACAAAATGCTTGCATACTTCAAAAAGGCTAGAATGCTAGTCATGGTTATTCGCCTACTCCAAACAAAGAAGTTCTGTGATTTCAAAAGCCCTGAAGCACGCAATGCTGACCCCAGATTAATAAACCCCTGCTTATTCATATGGGGGTGTTCCCCTCCAAAAGTGGTCTAAGTCCCCACGAAACACAGAAATGGACACCCAGATTACTAAACAGGGGTTTATTAATCCGGGGTCAACATTAAGTGTCAGACTCAATCCAACAACCTTTCTGTCTCGTCGCCAAGCCGCGCAGCTCCGGGGCCGAGGTAGAATCTGCTACCCCACTTCACGACCTTCTCGTCCTCAACCCTTCTCAGGCGGAGGCGGGGCTGTGCCTTTAATATTTCAGATGCAATGCCGTCCTCCATGCGAAAGAGATACAGCGCATGAATTTCCACATGTTCTTTGCCTTTCGTATCTGTGTATACTCTGCACATCTCTTGGATCTCAAGCTTATCTCTTGCGTCCGGTGGTACCTGGTCGACGTAGCTTCCCAATTTGTTCACGACCTTTCTGGCTAAGTTGGCTGTGGCCAAACACAACGTGCACAGAAACAATAAGGAACATTCTGTGAACAAAATAAGCAGGGTCTGGGGGCCCGGGGGAAAGCAGGGGAAGAGGAAGAAACTCTTTAGTTGCTGTTTGATAACTGCGAACTTCCCGAACAACAACAAACTTGTCCCCCTTGCACGGTTTTCGTCTCTCCCTGTCTCTCAATCTCTCCGAAATTGTAAACTCATCAGGCAAGAAGCCTCCTTGATATGATCCATGTGATGCAGATTCTCCCTCTGTAGTTTGCGGTAGCCCTGCTTCCGCGCCTTTACCAGACATTTGTAAAATGGATCTGGTAATCGAGAATCTGAATGGCTTGAGCCGGGGTCCTGGGCCACATTCTCGAGTGTCACTCTGACTTCTCCCAATGATCTGCACATAGCCACGTAAATCTCTTGCCTCCAGTCAACACGGACCAGATCTTTTTTTGCGAAAAATATGTCTGCTATGGATCGAAGCTCCGAAATCATGTGCGACATCACTTCGGCATCGTGCAGCATCTCTGGAAGGCTAAATACATCATCAACCATGCGATCCAAACATCCCCACACGCACAAATTGTCGGTCAAGGCGTCATAGTGCTCCTGCGGCATCACAACGACCTCCTCGCGATCGAAAGGACTCTGGTACCCAGTCGGGAAAAAATGCCACCCTAAAGCATCTGATGCAGACAGGACTAGCCACTTCATGTCGATCCGCCCCAAGGTGAGCTTGAGAAGCAGCTGGCTCATCCTCTCCAAGAAATCACCAATCGTACAGTCCTCAGTCCAAAGCAAAAACCTGCAAATCAATGACAACTCTGTCAACATTGTATGACTATAGTAAGGATAAGATCAAGAAAGAAGGCTGACTTCTGACGAAGCAAGAGTCGCTTTGAGCTTGTATCATATGCATCAGTGCCTTTGGCACGACACTGGAATCTCGCAGAGGATAGTACAGCTCGCAGAAGTAGACGAAGATATATGTGTTAGTTTTGCCGGGAACAACTTTGGGTCGGGAATATGCCGGGCACTCCTTGTCGTCCTTGTCTCGCCACTTAACTCTGCAGGAGTCCACAAACACCTGACTCGCGCTGAGGAGTTGGCCGGAACCAACACCCCATATTGTTCTGAAACGAAACAGAGCCTTGGCCCCCAACAAGCGCTTTGGGGTGGTGCAGTGGTTTGGTGGTGCTGGAAACCCTTGTGGATTGAAAGGCTGACCAACCCAGCAAATAAGGCACAATGACACATGCGTACTCCAGCTTGTGCCGTTCCACGGCGTCTACAACTTGGTCTTCCAGAACAAGGGCAGCATCAGGACACACGGTGTATTCCTGGACAGTGGATGCGCCATGGCCTTTGTAGTAGATCATCAGCTTTTTGAGGTTATTTTCTTTCATCTTTTGCGCTTCTGCATTGAGCGCGTCGAAGAGCGCGAATCTCCCATTCACTTTCGCATGACAATCCGGTTTCCTCTTTTGTCGTCTCACCAAAACAGACGGCGGCTCTGAACAGAGGCCCCTGCGCCAAAATTCCTCTGCCAGGTTCTTGACCTCACTATCGCCGTCTGCCATGATCTCGGCATCACTATCGCTGTCCGCCGGGATCTCGGCATCACTATCGCTGTCTGCCAGGATCTCGGCATCTCTATCGCTGTCTAATTTGTCAATGCCCAACATGTCCACGACTAAGAACTGCCACTCATCCGACATCGGCTCTAAGTCTACGACTTCGCGGAACACGGACAAGTGTCTGGCTGGTTTGAGGCAAGGACCAAGCAGCCTAACACATGGGTTCCTTTCAGATGCCACAGCGATCGGAACCCGTTTATTCAAACCCCGTCAGGCTGCCCTGAGATTTGGTATGTACAGGACATGTTCCGAAAACTCAAACACACGGGCAAGCAAACGACAACCCGAAGAGAAATCAAAGGAAACCAGCGCGCTTTCGTATGCTTTCGTCCAGTTTTGGTGCCAACATGGTTGTTCACAGAACCGGCCTTGCCAAAACTCCCACCTGAAACCCGCATGAAAAGGCGTTTTGGACTGCCATCCCATCGGGTGGGCCATGGTCACAGGTGCCTCACGCAAAACTGATGTTGTGAGGTTCCTGACCCCAATGCTACCCCCAAACCCTATGGCGAGCCCTGACTCAAATCCTCCCCCTTGATCACCCTTAGCTACATACCTGGACCTGTGCCCTCCTGAACAAAAACACAAAGTGTCCGCCTTTGACTGGGAATTCGGTAAATCGAAGCTCTTTTCCCCGCTGCAACGTTCACATGGTCGACACCATCATAAACGGACTTTTCCATCCTCAGTGCCTCCTTCAGATGCAACTCGGCTTGCTCCAGGTCACCTTTCTGCCGCAGCACCATGCCCAGCGTATGCAAAGTGACTGCAACGTTTTCACGGTCAGCACCATCATAGACGAACCTCATCATCCTCAGTGCCTTCTTCAAGTGCTCCTCGGCTTGCTCCAGATCTCCTTTCTTCTTCAGCAACATGCCCAGCTCATGCAAAGTGACTGCAACGTTCACATGGTCGCTCCACTATGGACGGACCTCTTCATCCTCAGTGCCTCTTTCAGGTGCTCCTCGGCTTGCTACAGGTCTCCTTTCTGCCGCAGCACCATGCCCAGCTCATGCAAAGTGACTGCAACGTTCTCACGGTCGGCATCATAGGCGGACTTCTTTATCCTCAGTGCCTCCTTCAGATGCTCCTCGGCTTGCTCCAGGTCTCCTTTCTGCCGCAGCACCATGCCCAGCTCATGCAAAGTGACTGCAACGTTCTCACGGTCGGCACCATCATAATGTCCAATTGGGATTAGTAGAGGCCCCCCCCCCCAACGATGGGGGTATCTAGAATAGTATCTTGAGATCCAGGTGAAGTGAGTTTCCATTTGATTTAGTATTGGTAGACTTGAGTTTCCATTTGAATTAGTATTGAGGGAGCTTCCTTTTGAAATTTGGAACTGGGTTTCCATTTGATTTAGTATTGCTGGAGCTTCCTGTTGAGATTTGGAACTGAGTTTCCATTTAATTTAGTATTGCTGGAGCTTCCTTTTTGAGATTTTGAACTGAGTTTCCATTTGATTTAGTATTGCTGGAGCTTCCTTTTGAGATTTGGAACTGAGTTTCCATTTGATTTAGTATTGGTAGACTTGAGTTTCCATTTGATTTAGTATTGCTGGAGCTTCCTTTTGAGATTTGGAACTGAGTGTCCATTTGATTTAGTATTGGTAGACTTGAGTTTCCATTTAATTTAGTATTGCTGGAGCTTCCTTTTGTTTTTTCTTGGGGGGCAACAAGACTGTATTTCGGGGGCCCCTGAAATAATGTCAAGTTGGGGGCTGAAGTACTACCCCCTTTGTGGGTTTGATTGTTTGCAGGTTTTAAACAAGAGACATGTAAGAAAACATGGGTTTGGTAAAGCTGACAGCTTTGGATTTAAGGAACAAGGTACCAAAGATTCAAGGACCAGGTGTTGGCTTGGCTATCTCTCCTCTCCTTTCTCTCTTTCTGTTCTTTTTTTTGGGGGGGGATTCTTTTTTGGCGCGGGTGGCGGGTGCTTGTCTTTAATCCAGGTGCATTGATTAATCCTTTTGGGCCCCCCATTTTTCTTTCTTACGCGTGCATTTTTTAATCCCATTTGGACATTACGCGGACTTCTTTATCCTCAGTGCCTCCTTCAGATGCTCCTCGGCTTGCTCCAGGTCTCCTTTCTGCCGCAGCACCATGCCCAGCTCATGCAAAGTGACTGCAACGCTCACATGGTCAGCACCACCATAGACGGATTTCTGCATCCTCAGCGCCTCCTTCAGGTGCTCCTCGGCTTGCTCCAAGTCTCCTTTCTGCCGCAGCACCATGCCCAGCTCATGCAAAGTGACTGCAACGCTCACATGGTCGGCACCACCATAGACGGATTTCTGCATCCTCAGCGCCTCCTTCAGGTGCTCCTCGGCTTGCTGCAGGTCTCCTTTCTTCTTCAGTACCATGCCCAGCGCGTGCGAGATACCGGCCACGTCTCGATCATCAGCCTCCCGGTGCCCTGGCCGCAGTTGTGCAAGGGCTGCCTCCAAGAGCGCTGCAGCTCCGAGAAGATCGCCCTTCTCCTGCAGCAATTCACTTTGCCTCTTTATCATCCACCAAACAGCGCTTTGGGGCAGAACCTTCATCTGCATCGTGAGAATGTGGAAGGCCGGCGAGACCAGCACACGCTTGGCATACATCCCAATCGCACTGCTCACAGCACAAAGTCCCCCCCTAATCTCTCCCCCTCAAAGGTGGCAGCTTGGTGTCCTACCCTCCCGCTCCTGAAGCTCATGCCCTTCTGGGCATGTTCTGATTCCAGCACGAAGGTATTCCCGCTGCAGTGCAATATGCTGAGCCGCGGCCAGAGCCCAATCCTCTCCCTGCTTCAGCTCCTTGTCCACTCGGCCAATCTCGGGCCCGCTCGAGCTAGGCCTGGCAGTACTTGTCGCCAGCGAGAAGGAAGTGGCAGCCACATCTAGCGTCGTCCCAGACTCGAGTGTGGGAAGCGTGGCAGCCTCCGATTGCTCATCGGGTGCCTCACTTGCCTCCGCCTGGCGCACCTCCTCCTCCAGCCGCCGAGCAATGTCCAGCACTCTGTGGGCAGTGAGGGCCCAGGCCTTCCGCACCTCGGCAGCTGGTCTGCCTGCGGCTGCCACAGCGCCTCCAGCAGCTGCCCAGCACCCAATCCATTGAGGACGGTGACGTCCGTGTCGCCTCCCAGCTTCACGAGGAGGACGGCCAGGACGCGTTCCGCTTGCCCTCGGGATGACATCTGCCAAGCCCCGCAGCCGGGCGGATTGCCACAGAGCGGCTGGCCACTCGGCGGCTTGCCTCGCCAGCTCGTCGAATATGCTACGGACCTCCCGGCCCGGGGCAACCTGACGAATCTCAGTCTGAGAGTTTCCAGAACGAAACAGTAACATTGAAACAAAGTTCCACCCGGGCAAAAAAGACCTGCAAGCACCAAAAAGGTGCATTGGCAACGCTACTCAAACCCCACCAAAAACATCTCAAAACATGTCCCTCAGAAAAAGGTTGAGCTGGGTTTTCCCTCCCCGTGTTGAAAACTGTCCTAGGGCTGCTGATGCACGCGAGTATTTGGGAGACTCAGGAATACTTGTCAGCGTACCAGAACCAAAACAACTTTTCCTAGGGCCCGGCCTCCTCCTTTGGGCTTCTCAAATTATTCCAATATGGAACAGGCAACGGGGCCACAACAAAATGACAACTCCAGGTTGGGCTAATCTACAAAACACATTGTCAAGTCGCCGGCGCTTGGTCTTCCGCTGGGACCAAGAAAGGGCGTCTCCCCGCGGCCCTGGACACCACTGCAAAGGATGTGCCCTCCTCATCATTCAAGCAGACAAACTCCTCCACGCGCCGGACGGATTGAAGCACCCTGCGAGCCGTAAGGATGTGGTCCGCAGGGCGCGCGGGCACAGGTGCCCCGGCACGCTGCAGCTCCTGTGACATAGCGGTGAGCAGCTGCCCAGCATCCAGCGCATACGGGTCGCGCAAGTCGAAGTTCCCGCAGCTGGGCGCCTGGAGGATCCAACACCAGTTAAGACCTACCTGGATCTTCCAAATCATGGACATGTCACGTAAAATCTGGGGGCTACCAGTTTTTTGAGGGTCTCAGTGAAAAAGCACGGAGTTTTCAAACTCCTGGTTTTTGAGGTAAAACTCCTAGAAATTGATTGTCGCTTCTGGAAATGGTTTGCACACCTGAAACCCCTAGAAATCGCAATTATTCGGTACTTGACGGAAGGAACTCTCCAATTCAGACATATTCTGAATCAGAATCATTCACCTGAATCAGAATCGTTCACCTGAATCAGAATTATTTATTCAGAATTCATAATTATTCTGAATTCGGAGTCATTGCCTTTCGGCGACAAATTGGCAAAACCGGAAAGCACCACACCTGCGCAAAACACCCGCAAAAAGCCCGCAAACTCCCGCAAAAACCCGCAAACTCCCGCAAAACAAAAAAAGACGGAGTTTCCGGAGTGTGCGTAGTAAAATCAGTGCAATACCCACTCCAGTGCAGAGTTGCATAATTGATGGGATAGTGTACAGAGTTGCACAATTGCGCGCCCAAACAACGAAACAAAACAACACCAATTGTTTCCCCCAAGAACCACTCCTAGTTTTTGATGTTCACTCCTGCCTTTTGCAAGCCACTCCTGCTTTTTGATTCCTGCATTTGAAACATCTGAAACTCCTAGTTTTCAGAGGGTCTCCTGGAAATATCCCGGAGAGAACGGAAAAAAAGAGAAAAAAACCGGAGACGGAGGACCCAGGTATGGGACTTGCCATAGCTTTCTTGGCCATGGTCACTTACCACTTGAGGCAATGCTTGACCTTCAGTTGGAAATTCACAGACTCCTGTCTGTGCCCATCCACCGCGGAAACGACCGATGAGGAATCCATTGACGGCCTTTGCCAAGACTCCTTCCGACCCAAAAGCCAACCAAAGGGTGTCCCCGATTGAAGGCAGCACCCTATGCCCCCTCGCCTGTTGCCGATTGGAGGTGCGCTCGTGTAACAACTTCCTTACTTGCCATGGATGCAAAGAAAATCACCTTTGGTTTGGGTGGGGGTGAAAGGGCGCCCCGGCAAACCCAAGGAAACAAAGAAACAGAAACGGGATGTTGCGTGAATCGGCTATGACACCTCTCAACAAAGGAGAAAGAAGGCCCCGAACGCACTGGTCGCAACTTGGCGGCAGCAGCGGGGCGGCAACACGAGAAACCACCTGTAGCCGCGCGTGCCAGGCGGCTCGGGACCGCAGCTGCCTCGTCCAATACTCCAGCTGGCTGTGAATGCTGAAGGTCCTGCCGAGGCACCTCGGCACCGAGACCTCTACTGCGTCTGGAAGTGCGTTCTCGACTGCCTCAAATAAGTTGAGGAGTTTAGGGTCGGGGGATCTGAATTTCCCTTACAGTTATCCTGCGATTATTCGGTGTGGTGCATACTCGTGGCCACTCACTGCTGTGGCTTGTGTCGTAAATCCTAGGCTAGGGATTGTTGAGGAGTCCTTCACTAATATGGTCATCCTAGTGGGGGAGATCAATCTGACTCGCAAAAATGCGTTGTTCGTTTCCGGGCACGCACTTAAAAGGGACTACATGTCCTGCTTCAGTCCACGTCATCCTGGTGGTCTGTGACCCACACAAAAAGTTAATGTTACTTGCAGTTTGCAGACAAAATGCTTGCATACTTAAAAACAAAAAAAAAGAAGCTAGCATGCTAGTCATGGTTATTCGCCTACTCCAAACAAAGAAGTTCTGTGATTTCAAAAGCCCTGAAGCAAGTAATGCTGACCCCGGATAAATAAACCCCTGCAATGGACACCCCCAGATTAATAAACAGGGGTTTATTAATCCGGGGTCAACATTAAGTGTCAGACTCAATCCAACAACCTTTCTGTTTCGTCGCCAAGCCGCGCAGCTCCGGGGCCGAGGTAGAATCTGCTACCCCACTTCACGAGCTTCTTCCCGTCGACGTTGTCCTCAACCCTTTTCAGGCGGAGGCCGGGCTGTGCCTTTTTTTTTTGAGATGCAATGCGGTCCTCCATGAAAAAAAGATACAGCGCATCAATTTCCACATTGCTCTTTGCCTTTCTTATCTGTGTATACTCTGCATATCTCTTGGATCTCAAGCGAACCTATTGCGTATGGTGGTAATTTGTCGACGTAGCTTCCCAATGTCGTCACGACCTTTCTGGCTAATTAAGTTGGTTGCGGCCAAACACAACATGCCAGAAACAACAAAGAACATTCTGTGAACCAAATAAGCAGGGTCTGGGGCTCCGGGGGAAAGCAGGGGAAGAGGAAGAAACTCTTTAGTGGCTGTTTGATAACTGCGAACTTCCCGAACAACAAACTTGTCCCCCTTGCCCCGTTTTCGTCTCTCCCTGTCTCTCAATCTCTCCGAAATTGTAAACTCATCAGGCAAGAAGCCTCAATGATATGATCCTGATGCATCAGACCCTCCCTCTGTAGATTGCAGTAGCCCTCGACCCGCGCGTTGATCAGACATGTGGAAAGTGGATCTGGTATTTCTGGAATATCGCTGAATACGCTGGCCGATTCAGGGCCCGGGTTCCTGGGCCACTTTCAAAGACTTGCACATGGCCAGTTGAAGCTGTCGCCTCCAGTCAGCAAAGAATAGACCTCTTCTTGCGTAAAAACTGCTTGCTATGGATCGAAGCTCCGAAATCAGATGCAACATCGCTTCGGCATGGTTCAGCATCTCTGGACGGCTGATTCTATCAGCAATGAGGCAGTCCAAACATCCGTACAAGCACAACGTGCTTCGCACGGCGTCATAGTGCTCCTTCGGCATCACATCGACGTCCTCGCGATCGAAAGGACTCTGGTACCCAGTCGGGAAAAAATCCCACGTTAAAGCATCCGCAGACTGCCGAAGCCCTGGACATTTCATGAGGATCCGCCCGAACGTGAACTTGAGAAGCAGCTGGCTCATCCGGTTCAAGAAATGACCAATCTTACAGTCCTCAGTCCAAAGCAAAAACCTGCAAATAAACGACAACTCTGTCAACATTATGACCAGCAAGGATAAGATCAGGAAAGAAGGTTTGCTTCTGACGAAGCAAGAGTCACTTTGAGCTTGTATCATAATCATCAGTGCCGCTGGCACGAGACTGGAATCTCGCAGAGGACATCCGAGCTTGCAGAAGTAGACGAAGATATATGTGTTACTTTCGCTGCGAATTTGTTTGGGTCCGTGATATGCCGGGAAGTCCTCGTTGTCCTCGTCTTGCCAACGATTTCTGCAGCAGTCCACAAACGCCTGACTCGCACTGAGGAGTCGGCAGGAACCAACACGCCATGTTGTTCTGGACTGAAACGAAACAGAGCCTTGGCCCACAACAAGCGCTTTGGGGTGGTGCAGTGGTTTGGTGGTGCTGGAAACCCTTGTGGATTGAAAGGCTGACCAACCCAGCAAATAAGGCACAATGACACATGCGTACTCCAGCTTGTGCCGTTCCACGGCGCGTACTACAGCATCTTCCAGAACAAGGGCAGCATCAAGACACACGGTGTGATCTTGGTCAATGGATGCGCCATGGCCTTTGTAGTAGATCATCAGCTTTTTGATGGTCTTTTCTTTCGCCTTTTGCGCTGTTGCATTGATCGCGTCGTCGACCGCGAATCTCAGAATGATTTTCACAAAATCCGGTTTCCTCTGATTTTGTTTCCTCTGATGTGGTTTCACAAACACCAACGGCTCTGAACAGAGGCCGCTGAGCGTGGAATGCTTCTCAAAGATCTTGACATCACTATCGCTGTCTGCCAGGATCTCGGCATCACTATCGCTGTCTGCCAGGATCTCGGCATCTCTATCGCTGTCTAATTTGTCAATGCCCAACATGTCCACGCCTAAGAACTGCCACTCATCCGACATCGGCTCTAAGTCTACGACTTCGCGGAACACGGACAAGTGTCTGGCTGGTTTGAGGCAAGGACCAAGCAGCCTAACACATGGGTTCCTTTCGGATGCCACAGCGATCGGAACCCGTTTATTCAAACCCCGGCAGGCTGCCCTGAGATTTGGTATGTACAGGAAATGTTCCAACAACTCAAACACACGGGCAAGCAAACGACAACCAGAAGAGACATCAAAGGAAACCAGCACGCTTTCACCCAGTTTTGGTTCCAACATGGTTGTTCACAGAACCGGCCTCGCCAACACTCCCACCTGAAACCCACATGAAAAGGGGTTTTGGACTGCTCCATCGCACGGGGGAAGCTCGGGTGGGCCATGGTCACACAAAACTGATGTTCTGAGGATCCTGACCCCGATGCCCCACCCCCAAACCCTATGGCGAGCACTGACTGAAAAATATGAGATCCTCCCTGCTCAGGGATACAGGACACCCTTGATCACCCTTTAGTTGCATACCGGGACCTTCACTCTCCTGAAGCAAATCACAGAGTTTTCGCCTTTGACTGGGAACTTGGAAAAAACGTATCACTTTTTCACGCAAACACTTGAACAACTCCAGGCAGATAGCCTGCGCCAAATACTTTGCATGAGCCAGGCATAACCAACACTGTGTGTGTTCTTTCCTCGGGGCCCCCCCAAACAAAAAAGGTGTTTCCTCTCCGTGTTCTTTTAAAACCAACCCAAACAAGGGTACCAACTCCAAACACAATCGACCCAAAGGCAATCAAGTGTAGATCCGCCCGAAATCCACGGGTCTGGGAAACTGGATGTGCTGCCCCAATGGCGCTACTTTGGGGAACTTTGCGGCTGGCACAGACAGACCTGGCCTCACCAAAGTAAGACGTTCCCGGTTCCCTAAATCCCCAGGAAAACGCAGTCCTATGGGCCCTTCACCGAAACTGTGAAGCCTCACTGCAACAAGTGATGTTTAAAAACTGCTAAAAGAAAAACATGGAGAATGCCGCATAGAGTGAGCAGGTACGGTGTGCAGGGAGTGCCCAAACATGGTCCTAAGCCGAGAAAACCCCTCTAACATGATTGCCAAGCAAGCGCCCAAACCCCATGGAAATGGCCAAGGTTTCAAAATGCCAAAGATCCCCCACGAGTAGAATCCTGCAAGTTGTCGCCCGCCTGACACATACCAAGCTGGACAGTGGCCAGCGCTTTGTGATGAGAATGAGGGGCCACAACATGGTGCTTCGTCGGGTTTCGGGATAGAATCCTGTGTGGTTCGTTGCGTTGGGAAGCCAAAGCGCTTGTCTCATTTTGAGACACACCCGTTTCCACAGGTCCGTTGCTATGCAAAGGAAGCCTCACGACTGCCTTGAAGGTCGGCCAAAGAACAGCTGCCCACTCTTGGGAGGTGCAACCTGCGAGGGAAACAGCGCCAGAAGTACTGAGTATGTGGTGAATGTCCGCCGACATTGCTCGGCGTGTCGGACACCTAAGAGAGGATAGAGGATAACCCGCCCCCTAACCCCCCCCCCCCGGCCGACGTCTGATACGTGGGGTACGGGGGGGGGGGGGGAATGGTAAAAGGAGAATTCAAGGAATTATCCTATTTACTATTTTTCTCTAACAGCAACACAACAAATAGCAAACAAAAATAAGAACAACAAGCAAACAAAATAAATAAGCACAACCAACAACAAAAAACATTTAATGAAAGCATACAGCATTCAATAATTCAAACAAGCATACCAACAAAACACAAAAACCAAAAACCATCAAAGAACCCAAACTCAAAAACACACACCATCAAATTGCAAAGCAACATACCAACAAATATTATCAGAAGAGTATCAAACATAATAAAAACACACAGCCAAAGCACAAAAAAATCAAAAGAGCATACCAAGTTCAAACAACGCACTTTGAAAGAGACAAGCAAATTAAGAAAAAATAAAATATTTCAATCTTTACAATCGATAAGTATGATATAATTATAGCATATAAGAGTATAAATGTTATAGTTATAGTAGGATTAAATATTATGAATTGAAATAAATGGTCGGGCAACATGAAAACACCAAATCACCAGTTTAGAGACACCAAACCACCAGTTTAGAGACACTAAACCACCAGTTTGGGACCACTAAACCACCAGTTTGGCAACACCAAACCACCAGTTTAGAGACACTAAACCACCAGTTTAGAGACAGCGACAGGTTGATGACGAGCCCTACTCAGACGGGTGCCTTTTGTGGATGGGTTGGGTGGTGTCTTGTTTTGGGCTTCCCTTCAAACACTCATCAAAACATCACTGATAAGATTTTGGGGTATTCTGTATAAGTCTTCCTGTGTATGAATTACCGGGTGGTCGCCCCATTCTGATTTGGCTTTGATGGCAAACGTTGTGCTGTTTCAATATGTTTCCCATTCCTAATTTTCCCACAATCCCAATTACACAATGGTCGGGGTTTCCATGCTTTGATGTTTGTCCAAATACGGGTCTTTTCCTATAGGGAGTTCCATATTTGCAATAATCTACATCATAACAAGGTAGTCCTTTCATGAACTCCTGTTCCTTCAAAAGACCAGTTTGAGAGTTCTCAAGAAACCAGTATTCGGGATTGAAGTAATCAATGATTTCAAGGGTTCTCAAAACAATGGCATTTGCATGTTCAATTTTCCCGACCCCTGTTGTTTTTGCTTTGCTGTATGCCGTACATGGAGGACTTGCCCAGATAAAATCAAAATGGTTCCTATCAAATTGCTTGTAGTCCCATTCAAGAATATCGCAATTGATGTCTGCCCCTTTCAAATCCAATGAAAAAACATTGAAACCCATTGCTTTGGCAACAAGTCCCACACTGCCTGTTCCGCTAAACATCTCTAATAAGTTCATTATTAAAGATATTCAGATAATATTCTCGATGAATAAATCCCTGTATCCTCATCATGATCTACATTGTAAAAATCTACAGTGCTCTTTGTTGGTTCCTGTATTGAACCATCATTCAATTTTGTAATATACATGTTTCTTCGGTTCTGAATTTCTAAAAGGCTCTTATTTTGCACCAACACCAAATCCATTCTTTCAAACAATGCTTTCAAATCTTTGTCCATGATATACTAATATAGCAAAATAAAACTATACTTTTTGTTTTATTAAGTATTATTTTTCATCATTCCACGTATAGTGTCCCGTGTTTCATTATCACAATTATCGGATGGTGATGCTTGCCTTCCCCATTTGATAGCAATATTACGCACGTCAGACTCAAGGTTAATATCCCCATCTTTAATTTTATCAATATTCATTTTCTTATCCTTCTTACTAATTTTGAACCCTATTGGCATACAAGAGCATTTGCATTTGCCCTTCTTTTGTATTTCTATTTATATTTCATTTTTCATTTCTAACATCTTTTGACACATTGGACACATAAACTCAATGACCGATGTTTGTTTCACAACTGCTTCTTTATCTTCCTCAGTAGAAGAACCACAGGAAACGTGCTTGTCTTTTTGTTTTTCTTTCTTCCCATTTATATCAATATTCACATTTTTTTGATATATGGAATTCCTAACTTAAATAATTCTAATGAATAATATCAACAGTTTGTCATTTTATTATCGGTTATTTTTACTTGTTCTATATTCTCTACTTCATCTATTGGATTAATATAATCTGAATAACTTCTATTCAATCAATTAATAAGATAAATTATGATAAATTGATCTTATTATTTCTTGCAAGATAGAATATTCGGGGCTCAGCAATGGGGTTTTCTTTGCACTGGACAACGCAAGCGGGGTTTCAAACTAATTCAAACTAGTTAGTTTCAATGCTTATTGATTGAAACAGTGGAAAGCCTGTTCCATTTTCATGATATTCGCCACCATCATATCATGAAAAAAGATGTTCCATTTAATTTGAATTAAATATTTATTTAAATCATTTATTTTTATTAAGCGTGACACGCTAATATCTCTAATGTTATTATTAACAACTTCTAGAACAATTTTCATTTCGTTTGTATATCTATCGGGAAAATATTTCATAAAATTTAGTACCTTTCTAAAATTTAGGCTATCATTACTTTCGATTGATGATTTTGGAATTACAATATTTTTCTTTTTAACTAACGATAAACAATATAACATTGTATCGTGATACATTTGGTTAGTGCAAGGTATTATGACATTACCAAATTTAAATAAATCTTGAACATCCCCTACATCACTTAAATTAATATATTCTTGTGGCTTTATAATATTAACTTTATTGTATTTTATATGTAATTATAATATTACTTTATTATGCCTGATATGAAACCATTTGATGAAATCAAATATGACTTTAAACAAAGTAAGTATCAGCATGTGCCACGTGTGCCAATGCGTGCCATGGTTGTGGGCCCGTCTGGTTCTGGAAAAAGTACCTTACTTGTTTCATTTTTATTGGAAATGTATTATAAAGTTTTTGAGAGATGCTATCTCTGGTCACCATCTGTAAATTTGGATAGTTTGTGGTTGCCGGTGAAGAAATACGTCAAAAGAAGACTTAAAAGTAGATACTGATGAAGAACCATGTTGGTGGGTGAGTTCCATGTAGAAAATTAAGAGAAAGTAATTGACACTCAAACTAAAATAGTAGAATATCAAAAGAAAATAGGGATGAACCAATTATATAATAGGGGGTATTATTTTGGACGACGTATCTGATAATCCAACAATAACAAGAAATAATAAACTACTGAGTTCGCTTTTCTGTAGAGGCAGGCACGCGGGAATAACTACAGTTTTATCTTTACAGAAAAATACCACTGTTCCACCAGTCACTAGGGTAAATATAAGTCGTTTATTCTATTATAAAGTTAGAAATTTTAAGGAGGTGGAATTGCTACAAGATGAGATGTCAGCTATTGTTAGAAGTGACAACATACATCAAAGCAGCAAACTAATATATAAATTAGTTGAAAAAGCAACTGAACAACCACATCTTTTTTTAT